CTATTTGTGTCCTTCCAAGCGGGCACCTTGGGGCGGAAAGTTTCCGCGGGCACCATTGGAAGGTGGATCCGAAGCTGTATCGCAGAAGCTTACAATGTATCATCCCTGCCGCCCCCAAGTCATCTCACAGCCCATTCCACCCGAAGCGCTGCAACTTCGGCGGCATGGGCTACCCAGGCGTCAATCGAGGAAGTTTGCAGGGCCGCGACATGGTCCTCGCCTTCCCCGTTTATACGACACTACAAGATAGACCGCTTTGCATCGGCGGACGCCTCCTTTGGTAGGAGGGTCCTCCAGCAAGTTGTCTCAGAGATCAATCTACCGGCCTTATCTGTTTCCCACCCCTTGGGACAGTGAGGCTTTGGTACGTCCCATCCGTGGATTATCCATCTCCTGTACTGGAGAAGGGGCGTTGGTCTTACCTGAACGCCTTTTCTCAGTACGGAGATGGATAATCCACACCCACCCCAAGGCCAGCAGGCCGCTAGTAGGGAGCTGAGAGCCAATACCTCGTCAATCATCAGCCAATTCGCCCTCGTTAAGAATGGACTCCACAGGAAGTGGGAGCGTGTCAAGCTTTGGCTACTTGGTCTCAAGAGCAGACAGACAGAGAAAACCCATCAGTGGATTATCCATCTCCGTACTGAGAAAAGGCGTTCAGGTAAGACCAACGCCCCGTAACGGCCCCCTCTGCCTTGGCCCTGGCCCAGGCCAGCTGGGAGCCAATGTAGAATTTTGTGATGGCCATCTTGGCACTTGCCCCGGTGGACCATGCCTTGTCGTTTGTCCCGGTCCCAGCCCCTTCTGCTAGAGACCCTCAGATCTGTCCCACTCCTGCCCAGGCCCCCACAGACACCCTTAATGTGAATGATGTAGAACTGGCCATGCCCACCCAGTAGGCCACATCCACTTCATCCACGCCCACCCAGTAGGCTGCACTCACTCTGGCCACAACCACCTGGCCCCCCAGGGCAACCACAATGCTGATGCGGCCCTCAGTGAAATTGAGTTTGACACCCTGTCCTATACTATTAGTATAATTCTTAGCATTAATGATGAATTTAACTAGATTTTGAAAGTTATAGCTGATGTTGGTAGATTCTGGGCAGGCTTTGTTGAAATAATATTCCTCATCTTGAGGCAGAATAGATCAGGGCATTTAAAATCTGTGTATAATGATAGATAGGGGCATTTAAAATACATATTATAACAGTTTTCACTTATTTAAATAATCAAACGAATTGGAAGAATAATGTGAAAACTGTACTATAGGATAAAAAATAAACCATTAAACCAACTAGACAGTTATAGAATGGGAAAGATTAACATGACCAAATAAGTGTTTTTAGACAGTGTCTAAAGCAGAAGTGATCAAAGATGTCTGTATTATTGTAAAATGGAACTTCCATATTGAAACGTTCTTGTATTCCTTTGTTTCAGATACTAGACAAAAAAGCAAGGAAAAATGTTTAGCTACTTCCAGTGTAATATAATTGGCTACCTTTGGTTTTAGTCTAGTTCAACACTTTTTTCCCCAATCAACTTTACTGCAAAATCTCATAATATTGGAGCTGTATCATTACAGAGGATAAGATATAGATCAGTGTTTCTCAACCTTGACAATTTTAAGGCATGTGGACTTCAACTCCCAGAATTCCACAGCCAGCAATGTCTAAAAACACTTATTTGGTCATGTTAATCCTTCCCGTTCTATAACTGCCTAGTTGGTTTAATGGTTTATTTTTTATCCTGTAGTACAGTTTTCACATTATTCTTCCAATTCGTTTATTATTTAAATAAGTGAAAACTATTATAATGCTGGTTGTGGAATTCTGGGAGTTGAAGTCCACATGCCTTAAAATTGTCAAGGTTGAGAAACACTGATATAGATTTATCTGGGACATGTCAATACAATTCCCAGTATTCTTTAAAATTTTATTTTATTGCTGTTTTCAGGAGAAAACAGCAAATCTCATTTGTCAGCTCTCTATATCTTCATTTGCTTTTTTCTTTTTAATGAAAAGATTATAAGTAGTTAATGAACGTTGTCCATTCAGTTGTCCTTCAAAGTTTTTGTTTAAAATGCAAAACAATACCGACTAAGCTGTCCATTAATTTTTGTACTTAATGGGTGATCATTTAAAAAATCTTTTTTCTGCTTTCCACTACTTTACATTAGAAAGAAATTTATAATCCAGCCCACATCTTCACAGGACTTCATTCAATATGGGTGATCATTTAAAAAATCTTTTTTCTGCTTTCCACTACTTTACATTAGAAAGAAATTTATAATCCAGCCCACATCTTCACAGGACTTCATTCAATATGGATAGTTCTGTCCATATTAACATGTTTGGAAATCAAAGTTGCCCTGATCAATTAAATGAGCAGCATGTAAATGTAATAAATAAAATGTTTTATCCTTAACAATGAAAGTTAAAAGACAATTTTTGGGTTTTTTTTTTTGTTTAAAGATTTGAGTATAAAATGGTTTCCTCAATGATTTGATTCATTCCTCAAATGACAGTTGGATTAGTTTAATTATAGCGTATTAGTAGCTTATAGCATTGACTACTCATTAATTTTAGACTGACAAATATAACATTCTGATAGAGAATATTTTTGTACACAATTGTTAGATTTGTTGGAGCATCACCTGTTTTTGCTTTTTTCAAAACAATTTGTAAAGATGGGATATACATTTCCTAATTATTTATAATTTCTGTTTTCTGACTCTTGTCAATAATGATAAACAATTTCAGGCTCTTCTTTGAGCAATTTCAGTCAGTAGAACTGGGGCATCTTTAAATTAATATTACTTTTACCTGTGGAATGTGAAGATCTTATAGTCAGTTGTCTGCTTCCCATTTCATCTGTTCCTCTTGGCCTTTTTGGAAGATTATTAACTGAAGAGGTTGCAGTATTACATTAATCATAGCAGAAAAGGTAGCTATATAAACAAATGATAAACAACTTCAGCTTTTCTTTTTAACCCTAACCCTAATCTTTTTTATTCTTTTAAACTTCATCCTATATGTTTTCACATTCTGTGAAATATGTTGTTTTCTTTTCTAATGCAAGTTTATCTTAATGTTTTGTGTTTAATATTGTATACTAATATACTTTTTAGAAGGTACCCGTTTTTCTATAAATGTACCTCATTGATTGAGTTTCTGTAATAAAATACTATAGGTTTTAAAAAAGCCTGAGCAGTGTAGAATGCAGCCCTTATAAATTAACCTTTCTTGATATTAAGACATTCATTCCATTCACTTTCCAGTATGCTCTAGAAATATCCCAGATCTTTAGACAACTCCAGACTACACGCAATTTAAATACACGTTAATCTCAGACTGTGAAAACATCCAATTTCATCTTCCTTAGCAAAAGACCCACTTGAGGCTCCAATTTCATTTCCCTAAATCTCATCCAGATATAGTCCTACTGTAATCTCGTTCATGTAATTGAAAACAGTCCTTGATGAGAGGAGTGCCGTCTTATCCATCAATCTCATTAAATATTTTTCCCCAGGAGGTAAAAAGGAGAATCTGAATATACCGTACTTTCCGGTGTATAAGATGACTTTCGCAAGCGTTAAAAACGGCGCCAAAGTCGGGGGTCGTCTTATACGCCGAGTCGTCTTATATGCTGGAAATAAGTTTCCGGCATATAAGATCACTTTCTAGGCATGCAACTCGGCGCCGAAGTCGGGGGTCGTCTTATACGCAGGAATATACGGTACTAAATATTTATGTTATTCAGCCAGGAGGGAGGCATTCTTTCCTTATGAGAAAATAAAAGAGAAACTAGAGGAGTGTGAATTTGGTAAAGAAAGAATGAGTGAATTTAAAATATTTTTTAAAAATCAAGCAATGGCTACTATCCTTAAAGGAAAATAAAATAAGCATTTCTATCTCAAAACAGCTGTGCTAGAAACATCGAGAGATTTCAATATTGTTCCTCAGTATTAAACAGAGACCAGATTTTCTTACTGCAGTGCATATTTTAGCCAGCTCATTGATTCAAGAATGTCTGCTTCACACCCAGTGACTGTTAATGACCATTATTGGTTAGATAATTTTTGCTGACTGTACTTTCTACGTTTCATTTGACCTTGCCTTTTATTGCTTTCTTTCTTCTCTCCCTCCCTAATGCTCTTACACATCTAATTCCCAGGAAAATACTCCATGCATCTGATAATATGGATTGAGATTTAAGGAAGTTTATTGCTAATAGATAATTTGTTAGTGTTTTTAAGATACCAGAACAGCTCCTGTTTGTTTACCCCCACTTGCATTCATATCTATGGATTAGGCATATTTTATATAATCTGCCTAGAGTCTTAACTAACCTGTTATTCATCAGGTTTATCTACTGAAGCTTCTTAGCTACAGTCTTAAGGCACACTGGCGACCATTTTATTTTTCTTCAGTGTGTATCAGAATAAGACTTGCTGCCATAAAATGTGTTGATTTTCATCTAGATAATGTTCCAGGCAGTCTGCCACTGAGAATTAGTATCTGGGAAAAAATCTGGAGAACTATTTAGAGTTTTTCAGAGAGGCTTCTGATTGCATGCTGCAGGAAAAAAATGACTGAGTTGGGTAGATCTTATGTTTGTATGACAAATCAGCACAATATAGGTTCATATGATGACAGTGATAACTATAACAATGATTTTTCAAGTTATATACATCTGAATCCCCATAAGTCCTGGTGGGTAATAGTGAATCATTCACAATAAACCAGCAAACCTGGCATCGACTGACATTTAACTTTGTTATAAGCATAATAACTCAAGTTGTACCACTTTTATGCAGAATTTCCAACCTGCTATAATAGGTTTGTAGTGATTCTTCATTAAGTTCCACATTTTTATGAAACCAGAAGTTCTTCCTCTTCTTGAAAAAGAAAAATCAAGCCTTTGGGGTGGGTGGGGGAATGCTCTTAAAAAGGTTTGATTTGTTTAATGACCTCGATCTTTTTTTTCTTTTTTTTCAGAATGAAGAATTAGATAAGAAATATGCTGGGCTCTTGGAAAAAAAATGGACATCAGTTATAAGATTACAAAAGAAAGTAAGTAGAAATTTACATTGGTATGTTACTGGCAAAAAAATGCTGTGCTGAGATTTTTAAGCAGCCTCTGAAAAATAATTTTTTTTGAAGAACTGTATATACTTTTTAATTACTGGTTTCTTCATCTTAATATTTAGTTTGGTCTGGTGGTTAAGATATCAGGCTAGAAAGCAGGAGACTGTGAATTCTAGTCTTGCCTTAGCCATGAAAACCAGCTGGGTGAGTTTGGGCCAGCTCCCCTCTTTTCAACCCAACCCATCTTGGAGGGTTGTTGGTGGGGAAAAGAAGAGAAAGAAGGTGTATGAAGTATGTTTGGAATATTTACGAAAACAATAAAGGTAGGATAAAAATAAATATTCCGTCTTTCTGATAAAGAGCTCAAAGCAGAATGTATATGATCCTCCATGTAGGATTACTAACTGAAAGTTACTAACTGGCTCAAAATTACTCAGTGAGCTCTCTGCCTAGTAGGCTCTTAATAACTGAATCTCCCACATCCAAGTTCAACATGCAGTACTTTCCTCTTAGCGTTTTATTTTAAAAACAACAAAGAGAGCATTTACTTGTTTTTATGAATGTATAAATTGTGTAGAACGAGATACCGTAAATGCCGGCGTATAAGACGACTTCCGCGAGCGCTGAAATCGGCGCCAAAGACGGGGGTCGTCTTATACGCCGAGTCGTCTTATACGCCGGAAATACTGGTAGTTTCCGGCGTATAAGACGACGTTCTAGGAATGCGGCCCGGCTATAAAGACGGGGGTCGTCTTATACGCCGGGTCGCCTTGTACGCCGGCATTTACGGTACTTTGACATTTGTTGAGGAGAGCTGTTCAAAAAGTAATATTGACATAGTTTCCTTTCCCCCTCCCAAACAAAACTTCGTATAAAACATATATTAATTCATTGTTTCAATATTGAAGTAATTCAGGCATTCAATAATTATGCTAAAAATTAGTTCTGATGCACTAGCCCAGAGGTAAGCAACCTTGGCTCTTTTATGACTTATGGACGTCAACTCCCAGAATTCCTGAGTCCACGAGTCATAAAAGAGCCAAGGTTGCCTACCCCTGCACTAGCCAAATACTTCATTATTCCAGTATTTTGTAATTATATGATGGATAAGACCATCTTTGGACTGCAGTAAACAAAACAAGATTTTTTAAATCCTTGGGTACTGAATGTCTTATAAATTTAAATGGATGCATATTTTGAAAGAAGACATTTAGTGTTTTTTTTGTTTTTGTTTTTTTTTTTTGGTCTAATACAGTGATACTAAATATCTTTTCCATGGCTTTTAATTTAAAAGCACTGTGAAAATACTTTCTTCTGAATAATATGCAATGATTCTAGGATTAAGTGCAACCAAGGGGATACATGAAGGATATGATTTTTTCTTTTTATAAAATGTAAGTGTTCATGTGTTTGTGTGTATTTGTTTGTACATGCATCTGTACAACCCCCTCACACATATTTGTTGAACAAATTGAAAGTGATAACAGGAATTTACAGAAAAAAATGAATTTCTCTGGATTTGCCAAGCTTTCAAATGTATTGATGTTCCAAAATTTAAACAAACTAACCTGAAGAATTTGAAGGAAAAAAAACCTCGCAATTAAAGATGGCATAACAAATGGAATTATCCAGTAATATTTAAGAGAAAATGGTAAATTTTTATTACTCAGCTAAAGCTGGATTTATTTTGCCTTAGTATTAATTAAAAAAAGAAGACTGAATTGATTCAAAGTAACCAGGCAGATGTCGAATTTTGTTGAGTTTCTTTTAGAAAGCTATAATATATAACTTCATGATTGCATATAACAGACTTTCCCCAACCAATACCTTCTAGACAGGTTGTACTATTAATCCTCTAATCCCTTTTGTGATGTTGGCAAAATATGTGGTTTGTTATCCACTATATTTCAAGTTGAGGAACTTTGGTATTCAATATATATTTGGAGATCACTGTTCTATAATTATTCTCTGAGAGCTTTTAGTATACTTGTACATTTGTACTTACCTGGCCTCTCTACCTCTCTGATCAAAACTAGCTCTGGCTGGCTTATGTGCCCTGTTTACATAAATAAAAAAATTAAGAAGTACGATGTGTAAATAGAATAAAAATGAAATAAAAAAAATATCAGAAAAAATAAATAAAGTCTGGCATTTGTTAATTTCCACACAATATTCTCATTCCTAAACCTGTTGAAAAAGGATAGGGTTTTTTTAAGAAAAAACAAAAACAGTGTGTCCTTTGTTAGATCTTTTTCTTTTGATTCGAAATGTAGGTTATGGAATTAGAATCCAAATTAAATGAAGCTAAAGAAGAATTTACATCAGGTGGGCCTCTTGGTCAGAAGCGAGATCCTAAAGAATGGATTCCCCGTCCTCCAGAAAAGTACGCATTAAGTGGGCACAGAAGTCCAGTCACAAGAGTAATTTTCCATCCAGTTTTCAGTGTTATGGTCTCTGCTTCAGAGGATGCTACAATAAAGGTAGGACCTTCACAACCTGTGCACTCTACTGTTACTTTGGGTCTAAATGTCTGGTGCAAATGGCTGAACAATGACTAAAGGTCCTTTGATACCTTACTTATTGTTGGTCACATTGCCAGCTGTTTAGCCTTGATCTAGCATTTTTATCCACCGTTTGAGTCCTTTCCAAAGACATAGGATATGGATATTGTTTGATGGTTCCAAAGGTGGTGTTGCAGGATGTAAGCTGTTACCTGTAAAGCTGCCTTTTGCAATTGACTGAGGGTGATTTTGTCAATGCTGATGGTGTTCAGGTGGTGCTCCTGATGGTTGCACCCAAGGCCCTGTTACTATTGATACTATATTTGTTTTTTTATCTTTTCCCAAAGTAATTCTATTTCTATTTGCAGGTGTTTGTATTTTGTGACTTTCTCCAGGTTTTTTTTTCTCCTCTGGAAAAAATGCAAGTCATCAAAAGATGGGCCTTTTTTATTGTTCCAAGGGATTTTAGCATCTGACTAAAATGATAAGAACACATCAAGTTTGGTTATAACAGGCAGGGGATGGGAACTAGTTTATATGAACACTTACAGTGGGGCAAAAAAGTATTTAGTCAGCCACCAATTGTGCAAGTTCTCCCACTTAAAAAGATGAGAGAGGCCTGTAATTGTCATCATAGGTAGATCTCAACTATGAGAGACAAAATGAGAAAGCAAATCCAGACAATCACATTGTCTGATTTGGAAAGAATTTATTTGCAAATTATGGTGGAAAATAAGTATTTGGTTACCTATAAACAAGGAAGATTTCTGGCTCTCACAGACCTGTAACTTCTTCTTTAAGAGGCTCCTCTGTACTCCACTCATTACCTGTATTAATGGCACCTGTTTGAACTTGTTATCAGTATAAGAGACACCTGTCCACAACCTCAAACAGTCACACTCCAAGCTCCACTATGGTGAAGACCAAAGAGCTGTCGAAGGACACCAGAAACAAAATTGTAGACCTGCACCAGGCTGGGAAGACTGAATTTGCAATAGGCAAGCAGCTTGGTGTGAAGAAATCAACTGTGGGAGCAATAATTAGAAAATGGAAGACATACAGACCACTGATAATCTCCCTCGATCTGGGGCTCCACGCAAGATCTCACCCCGTGGGGTCAACATGATCACAAGAACGGTGAGCAAAAATCCCAGAACCACATGGGGGGACCTAGTGAATGACCTGCAGAGAGCTGGGATCAACATAATGAAGGCAACCATCAGTAACACACTAAGCCGCCAGGGACTCAGATCCTGCAGTGCCAGACGTGTCCCCCTGCTTAAGCCAGTACATATCCGGGCCTGTCTGAAGTTTGCTAGAGAGCATTTGGATGATCCAGAAGAGGATTGGGAGAATGTCCTATGGTCAGATGAAACCAAAGTAGAACTGTTTTAGAAACACAACTCGTCGTGTTTGGAGGAGAGAGAATGCTGAGTTGCATCCAAAGAACACCATACCTACTGTGAAGCATGGAGGTGGCAACCTCATGCTTTGGGGCTGTTTCTCTGCAAAGGGACCAGGACGACTGATCTGTGTACAGGAAAGAAGGAATGGGGCCATGTATCATGAGATTTTGAGTACAAAAAATTTCATTGAAGATGAAATGTGGCTGGGTCTTTCAGCATGACAATGATCCCAAACACACTGCCCGGGCAACGAAGGAGTGGCTTCGTAAGAAGCATTTCAAGGTCCTGGAGTGGCCTAGCCAGTCTCCAGATCTCAACCCAATAGAAAACCTTTGGAGGGAGTTGAAAGTCCGTGTTGCCCAGCGACAGCCCCAAAACATCACTGCTCTAGAGGAGATCTGCATGGAGGAATGGGCCAACATACCAGCAACAGTGTGTGCCAACCTTGTGAAGACTTACAGAAAACGTTTGACCTCTGTCATTGCCAACAAAGGATATACAACAAAGTATTGAGATGAACTTTTAATATTGACCAAATACTTATTTTCCACCATAATTTGCAAATAAATTCTTTCCACATCAGACAATGTGATTGTCTGGATTTGTTTTCTCATTTTGTCTCTCATAGTTGAGGTCTACCTATGATGACAATTACAGGCCTCTCTCATCTTTTTAAGTGGGAGAACTTGGACAATTGGTGGCTGACTAAATACTTTCTTGCCCCACTGTATCTAATCGTGAATTTATTATGCCTGATTCTCAATCTAGAATTGTAAAGAATTTTAAAAATGATGGGAGAAAAGCAATAAGAAAAGGGAGGATTTAAAAAAATGTATTACCTCTGCCACTGTTTACATTTCTACTACTATTTATTATTTCTTCTTTCTAGAATAGAAGAAGGCCATGGAGAAGACTAACTTTACCCCTATCTTATTATGCTAATTTTAATTAGGTAAAAATAATGAAGATTATTGGACTAAAACCCCCCTTATCCTATATGTCTCTGTTGTAGTCTTGAGTGAGGAAGCCAAGATGCAGCCTGGCCATCTTGATGAGAATTGGGGCTGTTTATTTTTATTTTTAGAACAGATCTGCTTAATTTTTTTTCTCTTGTCAAGGAAGTGATCGGGCCCAATACACGTAATCCTCGACTTATGACCACAATTGAGCCCAAAACCTCTGTTGCTAAGCAAGACAATTAAGTGAATTTTGCCCCATTTTATGTCCTTTCTTGCCTTTCTTGTTAAGTGAATCATTGCAGGTGTTAAGTTAGTAACACAATTGTAAAGTGAATCTGACTTCTCCGTTGAGTTTGCTTGTCAGAAGGTCGCAGGGACAATGCAGCCGTCATAAATATGAACTAGTGCCAAGCATCCGAATTTTGATCACATGACCACGGGGATGCTGCAACAGTTGTGTGAAAAACTCATAAGTCACTTTTTTCAGTGCCGTTGTAACTTCAAATGGTCACTAAATGAACTGTTGTTAAGTGGAGGAATACTCTGGAATTCCTTCCCCATTGAACTCCAGCCTGCTGCTTCTCTTCTGGGTTTCTGGAAAAGATTTAAGACCTGGTTGTTGTTTTTTTCCCCCATCAGGCTCACGAAAAAGGAATATTTGAATCTAGCAGATGTATATTTTGTACATTTTTCTTGTTTGTATAATTAGGATATTGGGCTTGTTTATTTTATGGGTGGATTTTTTTTTTCCAAGGGGTGAGATGTTTCTGATTGTTAGTTGCTTAGAGTCTTCCGGAACGAATGGCATACAAATAAATAAAAGGCTGAGCTGCTTTGTGTGCTGTTAGAGTAAAGCTTTATTATTTTTTGTAAGAAATTACATAATACATCCCTCCGAACCATTGAATTGTTAAGTGTGCTTTAAAAAACAGCTTTTGTTATGTCTTTGTGGTTTCAAGAGTTCTTAATAGTATAGCTCCTGAGACTAGAACATAAAAGTACAAGAGAAACTCTGGGTAAAAACATCTTGAGAGGAAACTGCCTCTTTTTTTTTTTTTTTTGCTAGTTACAATTCTTATATGCACTATATGGTTCAACCATTTATATTTTTAGCTGACAGTGCTCTCTGCTTTTGGAGGCAACAGAAATCTCATATGTGCCTACAAAATGCACATGTGTGAATTCTCTCATGCATAGTTTGCAAACAAGTTGTTTTAATTCATGAGGAATATACTTAAATCTTAATTTGAGAAGTTGTTAACCTTTTTAAGCATATGTTAGCATCTTTCTTTTTTTGATCAGAAAGGATCTTCTCTCTAAAATCTATTAGGTTTTGAGGAATCGGTTGGGGCTTGGGGGAATGTCAGCATTGCCAACTGTGTAATACAGGGGTCTTCAAACTTGGCCCTTTTATGACTTGTGGACTTCAACTCCCAGAATTCCTCAGCCAGGCGTGCTGGCTGAGGAATTCTGGGAGTTGAAGTCCACAAGTCATAAAAGGGCCAAGTTTGAAGACCCCTGGTGTAAATGGATCCTTATCCCTCCTGATAAATTTAAGACCTTGTGAGAAGTGATCAACTATTGGCTTCAGGTGGTGGTTAATTCATCCTTGAATTGACAGGTTGATGTATTAGGCAGAGAAAACCATCATTAGACCCAGCATTGGTATAATTTTTACCCGTTTCTATCCTTTTGGAGGAAGATTATGGAGAATGCGGTATGCAATAACTTCAAAGGACTCTGGAAAAAGTGAATTATCTAAGATTTGCATATAGTACTGACTGTGCTTGTGGATGAACTTTGGTGGTGGTAATGGGGGGGGGAGGTGGTCCAAGAGTGATGTGATCCTGCTTGATCTCTCAGTAGCATTTGATATCATTGATTATGGTATCCTTCTGGATCATCTCTGGCTATTTGGGGGAATGGCTCTATTTTGTTGTGTTTCTTCTTCCTTTGGGACAGTTTCTAATTGGTATTGTTAGGAGAGAAAAAAAAATCCCTCCTTTGCTCCTTGGAAAAGACCCAAGGCATTTGTTTTGTGAAATCCCACAGAATTTGACACTCTCTTCAATTTTATTCAGCACCTGCATGAAACCACTGGGCGAAGTTATCTGCTGGCATGGGGTTTGGTTTCGTTAGTATGCTGATCATGCCCAGTTCTATATCTTGATCTTTAGCCAAATAAGCAATGCTGTAGGAACCCCAGCCTTAGTGTCTGGGTATGGCTGTGGATGAGAAGAAAGAAGCTTAAGCTCAACTCTAGCAAGACTGAATAGCCTGGGTTCCAGGGACCTGCTAGTCACAGTGATTCTGCCATCTTCAGTTCTTGAAGAGATTGCATTGTCTGGAAAGAACCGATATGCAGTTTTGGTGGTTCTCCTGGACTTTTGTTTCCAGCTCTGTGAGAAGAGGGCAGCCATGACCAGAAGAGAACCTTTGTACAAATTCATCTTCTGTACCAATCACGTCCCTTTTCTTTTCTTTTATGTATTTCTCACATTTATATTACTGCCTGTTTGAACTAGGAAGCCCTCTTACTTATGCCGTAGTACTTATATGAACTGTTGCAACATGTTGTACTAGGGCAGTGTTTCTCAACCTTGACCATTTTAAGGCATGTGGACTTCAACTTCCAGAATTCCACAGCCAGCAATGCTGGCTGTGGAATTCTGGGAGTTGAAGTCCACATGCCTTAAAATGGTCAAAGTTGAGAAACACTGTACTAGGGGCTACCCTAGATGAAGCTAAAAGTGGGCCAAAATGCAATTGTCCAAATAGCTATAACCCTGTTGGGTTATAAAGCCACAAATAATGGCTTTTCTGACAGGTTTGGTATACAGTATAGCAGTTGGTTGTCTGATGCTGGTTAGTTGCCAGTACGTTTGTTTGGTTGCCTTCCTTGATGTGCGCCATGTATTTTAATGTTAATTTTGTCCTTTTGTTTCTTTTACTTATTTACTCAATAAATCTGTATTTAGAATCCTTTTATGATTGAGATGGCATACACATTGGTTTACAAACAAATGGGTATTAAAATAATGTTTCAAATAGTTACAGGTAGTCCTCGACTTATGATGAAGTTGAGTCCAAAATTTCTGTTGTTAAGCGAGACAGTTGTTTTGCCCCATTTTACAACCTTCGTGGCCATAGTTGTTAAATGAATCACTGCAGGTATTAAGTTAGTAAGACAGTTGTTACGTGAATTTGGCTTCCCTGTCACATGACCCCAGAATATGAACCAGTTGCAAAGCATCTGAATTTTGATCGTGTTACCAGGAGGACTACCTGTACTTTTGAAAGAAATGCGCAAAAAAAATAAAATAAAAATAGTTTGTGCAAATATATATTTACCAATTTGTTTCTCTTAATTCCTAGGTATGGGATTATGAGACAGGTGATTTTGAACGCACCCTGAAAGGCCACACAGATTCTGTGCAGGATATTTCCTTCGACCATAGTGGCAAGCTATTGGCCTCTTGTTCTGCAGATATGACCATTAAGTTATGGGATTTCCAAGGCTTTGAGTGCATCAGAACCATGCATGGTAAGAAATTATTTAAAAATCATTAGCCATAATAAGATAAAATTAAAAACTAGGTATGTACCTCTTCTTTCCTATGATGATGATGATGTGAACCAGAGGACATCACATTCAAGATATTCATCCCAAGGCTTAGTTCTCATATGCAGCTTGATACCCATATACTGGAGCATTTTGTGTAGCAGGTGACAACTCACATCTTTAAAAGCTGTAGCATCTTCTCCATGAATGCCATAGTTCAGGGGTAGGCAACCTTGGCTCTTTTATGACTCGTGGACTTCAACTCCCAGAATTCCCGAGCCAGCCATGCTGAGGAGAAAGGGAGAGGTTTCCATGCTGAGCCATGCTGGCTCAGGAATTCTGGGAGTTGAAGTCCACGAGTCATAAAAGAGCCAAGGTTGCCTACCCCTGCCATAGTTATATCCTAAGCTCCCCTTTTGTGTATTAGCAGGTTGTTTTCTAGGGTGTTGCACAACATGGGGAGACACGACTCACAACCCTGGAAGTGGTGTGATCCAGTTCATGCACACGTTAAACATTCTTGTCACTAATCTGTTACGTTGCCTGGTGTATTTTGTTTCTTATTACTGGCTGCTTATAATTTAACTTTGTTGTACTCTACTAATATTAAAATGTTACAGGTTTCATGCAACATAATACGTCGAGTGGGAGCTAAAGGCTGTAATGCTTACTGTTTGTTTACTATAGGATGCCATTGCCGATCAGTAACCATAGGAAGCATCCATTTTGGTTCATTTTGTTATGTATTCAAAAGCAGAAATTGTTTCTCTCTTCAATTCCTTGAATCAAAAACTTGCCTGTTCTACAGTTTCAGAACTGCAGCCATGGCTGAGAGGCATTCAGAGATTTTTGCTTCCTGAGAGTGTCTTTAAAGAGCCCCAGTAGGCAGAGCATGTTTCTGAAAACAAGTTTATTGCTTTTGGAGGAAGTTGAGTAGCGTTGTTTCTAGCCTAGAGGCAGAAAATGTTTGCTACTTTTCAAAAAGAGCAGCTTAAAAAATGGTGGCTAATGTCTACAAACTTTCTCCCTGGGGATTAGTGAATGGAGAGATTGTTACCCTCCAAGTGTTGTGATTTTAACCCAATCCCTGCCAGCCTTAGCCAGTATGAGCAGCAGTTAAGATTTCTCTCTTCTCTGCACTGATGATGTTACCTAGCCTGATTATTAAATGTCTGCAGGGAACAGCCACTCCCCACAAGCTTAAAAAACGCCAAGAACTTTTAGCACCAGGCATAATTTTATATTTCAGCAATCCTCCTTCCCACTTTAAAAGTCTGCAGTGCTGTGTCCTCTTTGGGATTACCAGTCTGTGGTTATTCAGCTACCCCCCCCCCCCGTCAGTCTCCTTTTCAGTTCTGCAGTGACCTTTTTTGAATGTGACAACCACATTTTGCTATTCAAAATATAACTGTCCCCCCCCCGCCCATTCAGATGACGTAGCCTTGATTACAGATTCAAAGAATAGATTCAGTCTTCGGGACTGAAAAAACAGTCTGTTTATAAGTTGCCTAAAGTCAAGGATGCCACTTGTCCTTTTTTTTTTAAATTTATGTAGCAATCTTTCTTTGATTTAAAATTCTTGAGCATACTGACATGAAACCGCTCCCTTGCTATTTCCAGATTCTTTCAGTATCTGCAAGGTTACAACCTTAAGGGCTGAGGCTCCTTGCTCAAGTACCTGGGGTGAAAATGTGTATTCTTGAGGTTTAATTAGCGTACCACAATTATTCCTCAGAAGCTGTGCAACAAATCATTATATATAGCCAGGCAACTGCCAAAGCATACTATGTGCTTTTTTTAGCATCCCATCTTGTTTGCCTCTTGAGGATTACCATATGGCAGCATGCTGACTGAGATTGATGGCAGTTATAAGCTGGCACATCTGGAAGGCACCCAGTTTGGCACTTGGGTGTCTTATAGAATTGTGCGAAGGGGTGAATTCAATAATGGTATTCACATATGTTGTGATAAAGTCACATGGGAACTTAATTTTGAGTTTGTGCTTTCTTTTTTCTTCTTCTGTAGGACATGATCATAATGTTTCTTCAGTAGCCATCATGCCCAATGGGGATTATATAGTATCTGCTTCAAGGGATAAAACCATCAAAATGTGGGAAATTCAAACAGGGTAAGATCTTGCAGATATATTTATATGAAGGTGAAACGATACATCTTTAGACTTGCCTTTAGGAAATGAGATGAACACCGTAGAGCAGTGTTTCTCAACCTTGACAATTTTAAGGCATGTGGACTTCAACTCCCAGAATTCCACAGCCAGCATTGCTGGCTGTGGAATTCTGGGAGTTGAAGTCCACATGCCTTAAAATTGTCAAGGTTGAGAAACACTGCCGTAGAGGAACCATCGGCTTGTAGTTAGTGGAAGAAAGGCATTTCATAGAGAAAAATTCAGATTGACTTCTCAGCATCTCTAAGTTAACAGGATCAAGTGGCAGGTAATAGGGAAGACCAGTCTGATGCAGAACTAACAAAGCTGTTCATCAGATGACGATATTCTTTGGTTGCTCAATTAGTAGATGATGACCATCAACAGATGCCTGACCTGTGGTGGGTTAGGCCACAACATAACCAAGTCTGTTTAAAATATGTGCCAACCTGTTCACAGCTTTCCTGGTTCTCCTGGTCTATTGGAAAGCAAAGTACCGTACTTTCAGTCGTATAAGACGACTTTCGAAAAAATTGAAATCGGCGCCGAAGTTGGGGGTCGTCTTATACGCCGAGTCATCTTATACGCCAGAAATAACGGTAGTTTCCGGCGTGTAAGATGACTTTCTAGGCATGCAACTTGGTGCCGAAGTCGGGGGTCGTCTTATATGCCGGGTCGCCTTATACGCCGAAAAATATGGTATTTTCTTTGTCAATATAAACTTCCATACTAATTGTGTAATACCATGCATAAGGCCTCTGTTTGTTCCTGGAGACAACATATTGGATCCTTACCTTTGATCACAAATTTTCCAGTGTTTCATAACATGGATTCCTGCTACATTAGCTGCCTGAGCAGAAGGTTATCTACTAGGAAGAGATCAGTCTCTGTAGCCAGTTTGGCTGTTATATTTTAGCACAGAGATGTACAAGTGAGAAATAAAGGCAAATTGCCTCTATGAAACTCTGGGCTTGTATAGTGACATTTTCCCCTCTGTTTTTTTTTTAAACCACTGTCATAAAGACTGAAATTCTGTTCATGGCTGAAACTTACTGATCTAATATAGTATCTGAAAACCTTGTAATTTGTAAATTGGAGGGGGAGAAACCAGTGCATGGAGAGTGATCATGTTAATTCAGCTCAACATTGAATCACTTGGTTTTGTCCTTCATCCTGGTTGTCTCAATTTTAAAATACGGTCTTTGGCATTCTACACAAAAACCAAGTGTTGTCTTCGGCCTGTGTTGTTAGTTTACACAATTCCAGTTTAAAAACTTTGTATTTGTTGTGGATAAGCATAGTTCTTTTCAGTTGTCACGTACTACAGCCCAGGAGCATTGGAAGTGTGATACATACATTTCTTTAGACTTACAAGGAAAGTGATCTCAGATTTCCTGTCTTTCTTCAGCATATCCAATATTTTGGATACTTTCTGTAGAATTGGTCTGATATTGGTGGCTATCCTGGAAAACCTCTGAGACCATTTTATGCGCCTGCTCAAATCTTGATTTCTTTAACTGTTCTCCCCCCCCCTTCCTTTGTTGTCTGCCTATTCAAAACTCCCATAGCCTTCCCAACCCAGTTTCATAACACAAATTTCTAAACTAGGTTGGCAAGACTACAGGCTAGCACTTTAAAAAAAAATGCAGCCACCTGAATTATTCGCAGACCGTCAGTTTTATTCGTTCTGTTTTGTGTAGCAATCTTGCATTAATACAACATGTTTTCTTTCCTGTCAACAGCTACTGTGTGAAGACTTTCAATGGACATCGAGAATGGGTCCGCATGGTACGGCCTAACCAGGATGGCACGCTGATTGCCAGCTGTTCTAATGACCAGACCGTGCGTGTCTGGGTGGTAGCAACAAAGGAGTGCAAAGCTGAACTTAGAGAACATGAGCATGTAGTAGAGTGTATTTCCTGGGCTCCCGAGAGCTCTTATTCCACCATATTGGAAGCTACAGGATCTGAGGTAAGAGATTTCACTTAGAGAAACATCCTTTCTTCCAAGGGAAATCTTTTTTATCCCCTTTATAGAATCAAAGACAAGTTGTTTTGCCCCATGCCATCTCCCTGCTGAACACTTAATTCCCACGGCATTGTCTAGAGCAGTGGTTCTCAACCTTTTTAATGCCGCGACCCCCCCCCCCAACCGGTCATAAGCCGAGGACTCCTCAACCGGTCGTAAGTCGAGGACTACTCAACTGGTGCAGCACCGTTTGCAGAATGGGACTTTTGGCGGGCTCAGCAGGGCAGAGACAGCCTGGACAGTTCCTATTGGCTTTTGAAAGCCAATAGAATTAGACTTTATTTAAGAGAGTCTATTCTATTGGCTTTCAAAAGCCAATAGAATAAAAGGGAGTAGCACAGCTAAGGAAAAGGGGAAAAAATGGTGGACTGCGTTGTTTGGCAACCCCCGTGAAATGGTCGTTCGACCCCAAATGGGGTCCCGACCCACAGGTTGAGAACCGCTGGTCTAGAGGCCTAAGAAATTTACCCATATTGTAGCTATTGCTACTACCATCTTTCTCATCTTCTCATTTCTCCTCTTTTCATCTTTCTTATTATCTTTTATTGGTATCTTACGATTTATCACTTGTTGTTTGTATCTTATGATTAATGATTGTAACTATGAGTTATGATCTATGACATACCACTTTGTTGTTGTATGTGTGTACTGCGATTTCAATAGTGTGACTGTCATAACTTTGAGGACAAGTCAGAAGTCACTTTTTCTGAGACTTTTGAACCATTGTTGAACAAATGGTCGTAAATCGAGGACTCCCTATATTACGATGCATTACAATATAATTCTGTAATCTCATTGGGGAATTGTGGAAGCTGTAGGTCTGAAACATTTAGAGCAGGGGTGCCCTTTATAACTTAAGTGCTTCAACTCCCAGAATTCCTGGTTCAGGAATTCTGAGAGTTGAGGTTCACAAGTCATAAAGGGGTCACGATTCCCCACCTCTGATTTGGAGGAATAGATAGCATCAAATTGGGGAAGACTCAGCACAGTCCTGCTACTTTGGGTCATTGGTATTATTTTGAGGAAGGTGATGGATTTTTTTTTCATTTTCATTTTTTTTCTGTAAGAAAAAATGGGGTGGTTTCAACGTTTATTTAAAATCATTTGCAATTCCCTACTTCCAAGTATAGCCTATACTTAACAAAATAGGCATAAGATACCCAAAACAAAAAAACTTGTGGCCACCTATGTGAATTATACCACAGTCTTTCTTTCAACAATTAAGATAGTAAAGATGTTTTAAAAATGACTAAATTCAAATATAGAAGTGACAGTTAATCCTTTGGGCAGCAGAAGGATTTTTAACGCTATGAGTCTTAGGTTTTTAGCTTAGCATTTCAGTGAAGCATAAATGAAATCTAACTGAATGACTCTAAGGAGAATATGAGCAGGCCCCCCACCGGCAAATCTAATTCCTTAGTAACCTTTGGCCATAGCATACTTAAGGGCCTTAAGTATGAGGATCTAAACCAGGGGTAGGCAACCTTGGCTCTTTTATGACTCATGGACTTCAACTCCCAGAATGCCTGAGCCAGCATGGCTCACCTTGGAAACCTTTCCCTTTCCCCTCAGCATGGCTGGCTCAGGAATTCTGGGAGTTGAAGTCCACGAGTCATAAAAGAGCCGAGGTTGCCTACCCCTGATCTAAACCATGAGCATGGGCAACAGTTGATTTTGTGAATGACCTACTCCCTTGTCACACAAGATCTACAGCAGAAGCTCTTCATGTTGCTTTGCAATCAGTTGGAAGTCAATGTAAGGAAGCTGTCATTCCATCTAGGTGTTTTTCCAAATAAGCCATATTGTTGCCTTGTATTTAATAGGGCATGAAGGCAAAGAGGTTGATAGGAGAAGAAACAAGAGTGGATTTTCATTTATTCGTTTGTTCATTCAATTTCTATAGCCGCCCATCTCAGCCAAGTGACTCTTGTTAGAATGAGTAAAGGGAGTCATGGCTGGCCATGTTAGCAAATTGCTGCTTGGCTTGGGGAATCTGGCTAAACTCCTAGGGAACCATATCTGCATTGCAGTACAATTTATATATCAGGTAATCAGTGTGTGAAGTTCATTTTTATTATCATTTATCTAACCATCCTACACCGTGATCATTATTTTTTCTTTCTGTGAATGAAGTCCTCAGAGGGCAAGCTACGCAGAGCAGGCTTCTGGGTTCAATTTCTACCCATGCCGGCTCCTCTGTGAAAATTCGTTTACTAAATGACTATGGAGATCTCAGTCATTCAGGTCATGGTTGTCCCAAAGGTGCTTTTCCCAAACACAGAACTGAAGAACCTTCTTGGATGAGAAACGAAATGTTTTGAAGGGGGAAAAAAAAGCCCAATTGCCTGTGTGTGTGTGTGTGTGTGTGTGTGTGTGTGTGTATGTATGTATGAATAAAAGAATAAAACACGATCACCGGGAGGGTTGAAGTAAGAATACTTTACTAAAAATATACTTATACTAAAAAGTTGCCAAACTTTCGCTGGGGAACTCCCCAGCATCGTCAGGGCTAAAAGGCCATTGCAATAAAGGTGGTTTAAGTAGGTTCAAGTAACGTTTGCGCATGGCTCCTAGACTGTGTTACTGGCCCTGATTGGCCAGCTGATAACCAAGATGTGTCTATAATGTTATGTTCTTTTCTTCGGATGCCCTTCCCTATCCCTCCACTACTGGTCTTTGGAGGCGTTAGTAACCTTGCATCCCCTCCTCTTCCAATAATATCATCACCTGCCGTGTCAGGGGGAGGATTCGATCTGATGTTTTCTTGTGTCTTATGATGGGGATAGGGTTCCACTAACTGTGGGTTAATATCCCTTCCCAATTGTATACCTCTCCCCTCCTTTGTCGTGTCCGCAGCTCTTATCTGAATGTGGTATGCCTCAGTAATCATGTCTTTATTCCCCACCCCAGTCTTCCTTACCGTTCCCTCCCGTTGTTTTGCACTCAAGTGGAGGGATAGGGAAGGGCATCCGAAGAAAAGAACATAACGTTATAGACACATCTTGGTTATCAGTTGGCCAATCAGGGCCAGTAACACGGTCTAGGAGCCGTGCGCAAACGTTACTTGAACCTATTTAAACCACCTGTATTGCAATGGCCTTTTAGCCCTGACGATGTTGGGGAGTTCCCCCAGCGAAAGCTTGGCAACTTTTTAGTATAAGTATATTTTTAGTAAAGTATTCTTACTTCAACTCTCCCGGTGATCGTGTTTTATTCTTTTATTCATAATTATGCCCGGGAGTCGCACTTTTACCAGTATGTATGTATGTATGTATGTATGTATGTATGTATATATGTAGGTCTTTGGTTATTCGGGTTTTCTCCCGCGTAAAATTGGAAGTGTCTTGGCGATGTTTCGACAAAGTCCCATTCGTCATCTTCAGGCTGGTGTTTTCAGCTTTGTGCTTCGAGGAGATTGCTCCTCGAAGCAGGAAGCTGAAAACACCAGCCTGAAGATGATGAATGGGACTTTGTCGAAACGTCGCCAAGACACTTCCAATTTTACGCGGGAGAAAGCCCGAATAACCAAAGACCTACATACAAACACCCGCGAAAACTTCAGAAAACATATACATACATACATACATACATACATACATACATACATATATACATACAGTTTAAAAATTTAGAATGGCAGCATCAAAGGATTGCCACCAATTTGCCCTTATTGTGATCAGGGTTGCAACTTTTCCAATTTCTACAAAGGTTATCCCTGCATTCTTATCTTGGTCATTTCTCTCAGCTGACTTTTTTTTTTTTCTCCTCCACCCTGTGCTGGCTCAATGCTGGAATGATAACCAACAGCCTCCAGGGCTGAAGAATGTTAGATTCCCATAACTGTTTAGTAAGACCTTATTCCAGCTTTGCTTTTGCTTTTAAGGGGGCCCTACAGTCACGGGGACAGAGAATGTATGTTGTAGCAAAGCTCAAATTTTGGCTGAACATACATCAGCCTTCCCCAGGGTGGATTCTCAAGGTTGAGAACCTCCCTTGAAAAATTCCCAGTCAGCATGGCCCACATTTCTGAAGGGAACCAGCTTGTGGAAGGCTGACAAAAGTAGCTTTGTGTCTGCAGTTCTGTTTTTATCTTCAACATTTAAGAGTAAATCATAACATAAGGTGCCTCAGGCTCCCTTTTCCAGCATGCCAACGGTAATGACCTGGTTGCTACTTAAGTGTCTTCAGTGTTTTGTGTCCTGTTTAATTCTGGATTTCTACATGTTCTTAGGGGTCCCAAAAGTGCTTTTTCACGAGGCAACTGGACTTCCTTGTGTTTCTTTGAAGACATTTCGCTTCTCATCCAAGAAGCTTCTTCAGCTCTTTTTCTGAAGAGCTAAAGAAGCTTCTTGGATGAGAAGCGAAACGTTCAAAGAAAAACAGGAAAGTCCAGTTGCCTCGTGAAAAAAGCATCTTTGGGATAACTATGACCTGGATGACTGGGAATCTCCATAGACAGTGTCTTAGAAGGATCTCTTAATCGGTTCTTCTGACTCTGTAAATGAAATGGTTCTCCTTGAGCACAGGAAAAGAGGAGGCAAATTAGGGAGGCCTAATGGAAGATGATGCATGGAACAAATTATATCTTCATCATTGTGTCTGAACAGACAAACTGTTCCATATCTGTTTCAGATATAATAGTATCTTTTTTTAGATCAGCTAAAAAGAATTCCCCAAGTAGTTATCCTAAACGTGGCCACAAGTTGGATGTTAAAGTGTTGAAGGAGAAAAGATATATTTGAACATAATGGAAAATCCTTTCAACATCATGCTGTCAGATATCTTGCATGTTGTGGATCTAACCCACCTGAGGACAGCAGATTATACTGTACTTGATGAGAAAACATGGAGTGAATTAGTGCATTCTCTCTATTTTGAAAATATGAGACTCAGGAATTATTCAGGTCAAGTTCTTCTGCTAATTGGAAGGCAAAAGTCCCCAATATAGCAATCCTTACATGGGCAAAGTTAATAATATCTAGTGTGGCTGTGGGACATCTTCAAACCTCTCAGTTCTAAAATCACTTTCCTCAACAGGTCTCCTCTGTTAATGAAAGCAGCCCTCACTCAATGAAGACAAAGTTCACAGTTCATTCTGTGAAACTCCATAGACCAGTGGTTCTCAACCTGTGGGTCGGGACCCCATTTGGGGTCGAACGACCATTTCACGGGGGTTGCCAAACAAGGCTGTCCGCCATTTTTTTCCCCTTTTCTTTGGCCAAGCCCCTGGCACCCGGTGATGTATAAGTGGTTGGGGGTCACCACAACATGGGGAACTGTACTATGGGGTCGCGGCATTAGAAAGGTTGAGAACCACTGCCATAGACGTTTATGATGGAGCAATGTTTTTTTTTAAATTGGACAGATTTTATTTTATTTTATTTTTGCTTTTTTTTAAATTGATGATTTGTGTTCATTGGCTGAACCTTAAGCAGCTCTGTTGTTTGTTTTATTTCTTTACCTCTGTTCCTCCCAGAGGAGCTTTGAGCAGTTTGCAAGCGAATTATAAGGAAGTCCTACATGTGCAAAGATCATGAGAAAACAATGAACACAGTAAAGATAAAAAAAAGCCACGAAATTTATTTAATGAAATAGAAAAGCAAAATAATAGGCAATTATTCAGCCCAGATGTATTATATCTTAAGCACTGAAGCTTGGCGTAGATCAGTGGTTCTCAACCTGTGGGTTGGGACCCCATTTGGGGTCGAACAACCATTTCACGGGGGTTGCCAAACAATGCAGTCCGCCATTTTTTCCCCCTTTTCCTTAGCTGTGCTACTCCCTTTTATTCTATTGGCTTTTGAAAGCCAATAGAATATACTCTCTTGAATAGAGTCTAATTCTATTGCTTTCAAAAGCCAATAGGAATTGTCCAGGCTGTCTCTGCCCTGCTGAGCCCACCAAAAGTCCCATTCTGCAAACGGTGCTGCACCAGTTGAGTAGTCCTCGACTTACGACTGGTTGAGTAGTCCTCGACTTATGACCGGTTGGGGGTCGTGACATTAAAAAGGTTGAGAACCACTGGCATAGATCCTCCTTACCATTGAGGGCAACTGTGCTTCTAGAGCTAGGTTAAAGTCAAGGAAAGTACCAGGTTGGGCATGTCTTCCTTTGGAAGAAATGATACCTTCTGCCATACAGAAGTTATTTTCCTAATCCCTGGGTCTGGAACCTTCCTGTCAACAGAACCTCTGACTTAGGAGGGTACAAGAAAAGAGATTGTCTTGAATCTCGCGGTGATCACCCAATCTCTTCCAGTGGCTTTGGATAGACAACTCAAGCGAAATCTCTCCATTCAAAGCTCTCTGAGGATGGTCCTACAAATAGGAATAAAACTTCCATATACTGATCCTGCATTTCTTAACTCTCTGAGCTGTTGTCGTACTGTTTCACGGTCATTGGTCTCAAAAGATACAATCTCAGTGGTGCTGAGGTAAAATCTCAAGAAAATTAAGACTATAGTTTGTGTGCAGGCACCTTCGCCCCCTCACACACATACGCCCACACACATACACCTTTTTGTGCCCCTTCAAGCTAATCTAAGCGGTGTACAGTCTGTATAATAATACACCCAAACAAACAAAATATATAGGTGTATTTACATCTCCTGAGGCCAATCCAGTCCCACCATGTCTGCTGGATCCCAGCAGCCATGATGGGCAAGGATTTAGAACATAGGAAGTTGGCCTGGCGTTTTGTCCCTTTTCTGTGGTTGCAATAATTCTAATGAATGCTATAGATTCTCACCAGACCGTGTCCTTATGCTTTCAACATAATCTGCAGTGGCATCTATTTTAGAGCACACAGGAGCAACTTTGTCTTACTCGAAACCATGTGTCTATCTGTTGGGAGACTCTCTGCTGTTGTATTCCTTCTGAGCATCTTGAAGGGAAAATACTTAGAGCTTCACTTAAGTCTCCACATTGTTTACTTACTTCTTCATGCAGAATATCTAATTTTTACAGAGTGTTCCTTTTTTCCTTCCCTGTAGACTAAGAAGAGTGGTAAGCCTGGGCCTTTCCTGCTTTCTGGATCTAGAGACAAGACCATTAAGATGTGGGACATTAGTACTGGCATGTGCCTTATGACCCTCGTAAGTTCCCTGAATATCCTTTTCTCTTGTTCGTTTGCTTTGCAACTCTTACCTAGTTGCTACATGAGGGAATAGATCTGCACTTCTTACAGGGTGAACTTCAGGCATTCTCTGAGGAATCCAAGTGCAGGCATCAGAATAAATAGAATTGGGAGGGCTTGAAGGAAGACTAGAAAAACAGGTTACCATTGCCAGCCAAGAAACTCAAAATGCTGTTAAGTTTAGCATATAGCAAATTTGGGGCAAGGAGCAACGTACTCTGAACTCTGGATTTAGACTTGTGTTATTCATATCCAGATATCCATCTGTGATCTGCTTGTGACTTTGGTTTGGTTTTTTTTCCCCCCCTTCTATTTTCGCTTAAAAGGTGGGCCATGATAACTGGGTACGTGGTGTCCTGTTCCACTCTGGTGGTAAATTTATTTTGAGCTGTGCCGATGACAAGACCTTACGTGTCTGGGACTACAAGAACAAAAGATGCATGAAGACTCTTAATGCGCACGAACATTTTGTTACCTCGTTGGGTATGTATATGCATTAAGTGTGCTAGTAACGTGCACCACAGAGAGAGAGACAGAGAGAGACAGACTGAGAGATTCCTTGCCTTGCTCTGTGAATGGGAGCTGGGCTTGTATGTTGAATGCATCACACCTCAACCAAAAAACCCAGTCAACAAATGCCCATCAAGTCAACTTGCCTCCATCAACAATAAATAAGTAGCTTGTGCAGGGAAATTCCAGTTATTTCTTTAATCCTCTCCATACACATACATCATGGTTCCTACCCCTGCCCCCTTTCTACCTCTCTTAATCTTTTTTTTTTTCACTCATTCTGCATGCTTGTAGAGAGAACTGCTCTTCCTGATCATAACTTCAATCAGCCTTTATTTTTTCCTGATTGTTGTTGATCAGTTGCTAAGTTGTGTCCAGCTCTTTGCGACCCCATGGATTATAGCATTCTCTCTCTCTCTCTCTCTCTCTCTCTCTCTCTCTCTCTCTCTCTCTCTCTCTCTCTCTCACACACACACACACACACACACACACACACACACCCCAATCCTCCACTGTCTCCCTGAATCTGCCCAAACTCATGCCCACTGTATCAGTGGCACCATCTAACCCTCTCCTCCTCTGCCATTTCCTTCCATCTTTTCCAATATCAGGGTCTTTTCCAATGAGTCCTCATTTGGTAGCCAAAGTATCTGAGCTTCATTTCCCCCCCCTCAATCAATTGATTAATTCTTCTTATAGAACATGTATTTTAGTAACCCTCTCCAAATTAAAATTTGAAGTTATTCTGTCACTATTCGACTTTCATAGTTGCACATAACCGCAAATGAGAAAGCATCACTACTGCTATTCTGATCTTTGATGTTACTGAAATCCTCTTAATTTTTCAGGATACTTCCCACTGCTTTCCTTCCAGGGAGGAACAAAACTATTTCCCTTTTTTTGATATAAAGTTATGGACCAAGCTTACATAATCTCTAGACTACACATTTTTGTTTCAGAACTGTTGACAGAAATCTACTCTGCTTCCAACCAGCAAAATCAATTGAGGAAGCCAGATTTACTTAATAACCGTGTGATTCACTTAACAACTCACATGATTTACTTAACAGCTGCAGTAGAATGGTTCTGAATTCAGGCCCAGTCATGTAATGACTTACCCAGCAACCACATCATTTAGCAAATGCAGTTCGGTCCCACAAGTCCAGAACTACCTGTATAGCTACTCTTATTTTTCTAGGTTTAACTGGTATATTTGATACCAGTAACGTGTGGTTTGTTCCACAATTTGTTCCTGGAAATATCTCAACTTCTTTCAGATTCTGGTTATCAGCTTCATTCTTGGAGCAGCTTCTTTCTAGCAGTATTGTTTGAAATGTTCTGGTCCTAGGAGACACGTTCAAAGAGTTGGGCCATTTTCCATTTTGAGGATTCTAAGCTCAAAGCAAAGCTCTTACGTTTCAAGGCTTTGTTGCAAAGGAACATGGCTGGTCTGGAACACTTGATGGCATTGTAACTGGGCTTTTTGGTTCCGAGCATGAACTAAAACATATTTCCTGTTTGTTTGTACCTCTGCTTCAGAGAATATTGCTTTTTCTGTCTGTCCCAGCCCAATTTTTGTTCTCAGAGCATGTGGGAGCACATTCTGCATGTTTGCCAGCCACTGCTAGCTTGCTATGTTAGCTAGTACAAATGTTACAGTCAGGTGGTGGGGACAGAAGGGATTAATACCTTCATTTTGCCTTTTGTAGCTTGCTGCCTGGCTCTAGAAGGGCTGGATGCTTAGCAATTTGTTCTCACACTGTCTTGAACTAATTTAAATCTAAATCTAACAAAGAGAAGGACTAAGGGTGACACAATAGCACTTTTCCATACTTGAGGGCCTGCCACAAAGAAGAGGGGGGGCGGGGGCAACCTATTCTCCAAAGCGCCTGAAGGCAGGAGAAGAAGCAAAGGATGGAAACTAATCAACTAGAGAATAAACCTAGAACTAAGAAGAAACTTCCTAAGAGTGAGAACAATTAATCAGTGGAATGGCTTTACCTTCAGAAGTTGTGTGTACTCCAACCCTGGAGGTTTTAAAGAAGAGACAGCCATATGTCTGGAATGGTATACGGTCTCCTCCTTGAACCAGGGGGTGGCCTAGAAGACCTCCAAGGTCCCTTCCAACTCTACCCTGTATCTGGTACTCTTTCTTGCTACCCATAGCATCATCATCATCACCACCATCACAATAACAACAAAACGATAATGACAGAGTTGGAAGAGACTTTGGAGGTCATCTAGTCCAACCCCCTGCTCAGGCAGGAAACCCTATACCATATCAGACAAATGGCTGTCCAGTCTCTTCTTAACAACATCCAGTGTTGGAGCATTCACAGCTTCTGGAGGCAGGTTGTTCCACAGTATTGGAACATTCCTCTTGGAATACTGTACATATAGCAGACTGGTGTTTCATCTCCAGAAGTCTTAAGGCTGGAAGGGAAACAGTTCTTGGGAGGAAGCAAAGGAGGCCTGTCTTTATCTCTTGCTTAAGAAAAGGGATTTTAATTGTTGGGAACCATGATGGGAGTTTAAAGATTCATGCAAGAAGCTTGTAATTAGCATCAGCATTGTGTGTGCTCATATTCCATTTGTTTGATTTGTAGCATTTAATACATAGGTTGGCAGTAGCGTCTGCAGTCCAAAGAACCTTAACAATAAATTAAACACGCATGGCAATCTTCAGACTCCTTACTAAATTGCTTGGGGTCCATCACAGAGCTTGTAAGAGCTGGTCAAAACCTAAACAGAAGATGCCCGAGTTCTCACTTGTTCTTGTTGACTAAATTTGAATGGAGCATATAAACTTTGCTTTATTGGTAAACACATGGCCTTCACCTAATGGGTTGGCTTTCAATCTCTAAACTTGGAAGTGAAGAAATACTTGGCATGGGAAAGGGGGACAATTTCTCAACCTTAGCCACTTTAAGATGTGTGAACTTCAACTCCCAGAAGTCCACAGCCAGCATGCTTTAGGATGTTACTTGTTATTAATTTAATGAAACATTGACTAACGTTTTATGTAAGAATTGACAGTATTTGATTTCATTCAGTAGTTTTTTTTTAATTGGTTTACCTCATCCTGATGTCCTGCAGGTATGAGGTGTTGGAATTGTACCCGTAGTTCAAGTGATATTAGTTCATAAACTTTTTAGTTCAATTTCAATAGAATTATTCTATGCACACTAGCTTCCCCCCCCTTTTTTTTCCCTCTCTTCCTTGCAGATTTCCACAAGACAGCGCCCTATGTGGTCACCGGCAGCGTAGATCAAACAGTAAAAGTGTGGGAGTGCCGTTGATTGGATTTACATCTGACCCCTCCCCTCCCTGTCCCTCTGGATGCACTCGGATACCATGGTTACCCATTGAGCTCTGTTTAAAATAAATATTGTCCTTTCATGTAAATTATTCTGGATGTAGATTGAGCTTATTAAATGTTACACACAAAGTATTCATGCATGGTGAATCCAAATTGTATACTGTAAATTTACATACGTTGTCTAGAAGTACCATAGGTTTAAGAATTTGGGCTGGCATTGGTCACATCAGACCTAAGAAGGCAGAAGCTGGTTGGTTGAATTAGGGGCACTTCAACTGGTGACAGCAAAATCATTCTGTACTGGATAAGCTGAATCCCCGACTCTACTGTTGGTGGTGCCTATTTACTAAGTGACTCATAACGGGGTTCTTTTGGGGGGGGCGGGAGGGTTATTTCAGAAACACGTATCTCTGTAACATCACTTAAGTATGCTTAAGAAATCTAAAGATACTAGATTTAAAACAAAGCTGCAACTTAGAATCTTAAATGTAATTAATGGAAACAAATAAAATTTCTTCGTTTTTTTCCCCTGTCATGGTATTTGCCAAATCAATAGGATATATTTCTGTTTTGGTTTCCTATCACATTTAAACAAGAAAAAAAAAGCAAAAAGTTAGTATGTTCATACTACCAAGCTGCAAAATAGGAAGAGAACCTTGGTATGATGTGTGTGTACTCCTCCCACCCCCAAATTTGGTTGTCAGCATCCTTGCGTTCTAACATTTGACGCTTCACGCAAAACCTGTTGTAGGAGTCTGCTAGTCTTGCTCTTCGTTAGCTATCACTTGGAGCAGTTAGAGGTGAATCTTCCCCCAGTTGACTCCTGAGGGTTCAGCCATGCTGTCTCTCGGTTGGTTTTGATTATGGTTTCAGGTTTGTGCAACACCAACAGTAGGGAAAAGCCATCACCTCTCTTCCCCCTCTTCCAGCCGCCCCCCCCAAAGCTGCTGGATGTTTATTAAGTGGGACAGTTCTGCACTCCTTTCCTTTTCCAGCTAGTAACTCCTCAAAGCAAGCAGTCCCAGATTTCCGAATGTTTTGTGGAGAACGTAGCAAGCTCTTAGAGTACTACAAAAATTCCTGTTACAGCAAATGAAGAAGAGTTATATGCTGATTGATACCTTGCAAGTTTCTAGATTAGTGTTTCTCAACCTTAGCCATTTTAAGATGAGTGGACTTCAACTCCCAGAATTCCCAGTCATCTTAAAGCGACTAAGGTTGACACTGTTCTCAATAATTTCATAACCACGTTTTGTTCCTTAATGCCACCCCCCCCCCAACCTATTCTTAAGGAAATGCAGGCTGCAGTCCTATTTCAATGTGGAAAATTCGAAGAAAAGTCTTAAATTATCCCTAATGCCGATCATCTCCTAATAAATGTATTTACCCCATTTGTCAGCACCATAAAATCTAATCTTAATTAATCAGGCATATCTTTTTCTACCCCCAAATCCAGATGAATGTAGCAAGCTGCCAATCAGACCTATTTTAAGAGAAAAGGGTTATTTGCTTTTATTTGTTCTATGACTTATTTAACAAACAAACAAAAAGCAAAAAGTCTCCTTGTAAAAAAAACAAGTAACAGAAACACATTTTGGGAGGATTGAAATGCATGCCAAGAGAAAGAAGATTCCATCACAAACATTGGTTCACCCCACTGATAGTGTGTGTGTGTGTGTGTGTGTGTGTGTGTGTGTGTGTGTGTGTGTGTGTGTGTGTGTTGAGGGTATTTGGGTTTCTTATCCAGGAACTAGGAGACCAAAGGTAGTTTGAGAGTAGAGGCTGGACGTGATCCTGTCATGTTGTGGTCAGTAAGAACTTCCTGCTCTAGTAGACCTTGGATATTGGAGATTTTCTACTTTAAAGCAATGACTATTTGGTTTTTTTTTAAACATGTAAACAGTTCCTGCTAACAGATGAAAAATATTTCTTGGCCAGATGTAGTGACTCTAATGATTTTTTTTTTTTAAAGTGGAAGTAAATATATTAGCATAATCAGTAAAACAAGGGTACCTTACTAATGGGAGCTTACCACTGTTGCTTTTTTCTACTGAAACAGCAAGCAGCGATTGAAGCAAAATGTTTTTCTTCAATTAATTTGGGGAGAAAGGCCCTTGCAAATTTGCCCCTTAATAGTCCATCGTCAGTAAGCGTTCTCAGGGATGGTTGTGGGTTTAACTAGTTAACTAGCCCCGTTTTCAACACAAAACCAAATGGGAAAAAAGTTCACCGTTGAAGCATTTGGTCATTCAAGCATGGGCAAAATGGCTACAAAGCGCCAGATTTCTCTATGGACGGGTCTGTCTGTCTGTTGAATTGCAGGCAGTTTTTCCTTGAACTATTCCAGAACTGCAAGAGCTGAGACTGCCCCGGAAATGTCCTAGATCCTTCTTTTTTTTTTTTTTTGGTTCTTTCACCTGAAAAAAGTGCAAACTTTTTTTTTTCCTCCTTTGGTGATTGGAACATAATCCAAAAACTTAAGTCAGGGTGTCCAACCTTCGCAACCTTTAAGACCTGTGGACTTCAATTCCCAGAATTCCCTAGCCAACCTATTTCTTGGCCAGATGGCTGGCTGGGGGAATCTGGCATCAAAGCCACAGGTCTTAAAAGTTGCCAAGGTTGGACACCCCGACTCAAGTCTTGGAGCAATCTGCACTTTACACTTTTTTTTTGTTTGAAAAGCCGTCCTACTTTTGTGTGTGGTGTGACCAATGATGTGCCCAGAGCACTAATAATGAAACATTTAAAAAAAAAAACCCACAAAATACTAGTTGCTAGCAAGTTGTCAAGAGCTGTGGAGCACTGTAGTATTTTGAAAGCTTTGGCGGTTGCTTCACTGCCCCTTACCCTGATCCCCAAAACCCCTTCCCAGGTCTGTTCTGTCTGCTGCTCTTTCTGTTTGCCTCTTACCTTTCTTTCTGTCAGTCGAAGAGTTGGTCAAATCGTTCTTAAATGGCCTTTTCTCGTTCCCTCCCTCTTTGCCTATTCCCCTGACTCCACAACCCGATCCATTGAAAGCTATTTAAAATGATAATATTTTGTGCTGGGTTTCACTCACAGTTGTGGCTTGAAAATCCTGAAATGCAGTTTGGAATGTAAAATGGACCGAATTTGGAGTGTGGACAGAACGACTTCTCCGTTTATGATTTCACAGTTATGTATTTTTAAAAAATGCCCAAGGTACTAGCTACTACAAATCTCTATTAATAATGGTATGTAAAGTTAGCAAAAGTGATCGGGGAGGAAATAGGATAAAGCTGATAAATGTGGAACTGGATTTCGCAAGTCACAGCTGGATATTAAGTCGGTTCCCCTTCCTTTTTTCCCCCCCCCCTCTGTCCTTGTAAATTGCTTTCTTGTCCTAAGTATCTCTTTTGAATTTTCCCAAAGTTTTTTTCTGGAAGTAATTAGCAAAAACTGTCCATGTTTTAGAAGTTTGAGCCTGACACTGACAAGAAGACACGAGTCTTTTTTTTTTTTTAAATCCAGTAAGAGCGATGTAAAAATCGCTATTGGAGAACTTTTTTCCTCACCCCCAGAATGTAGGAGTTAACTGAAGATATTGACACGATTAAAATTAAAAACAAAAATCAGTAAAGGAATGTATATAATACTGCTCTGTGTTTTACAGTAAGATTTGTTGCTCTCAGACTGTGTAAAACAAAATTTATTCATGTTTTCTGCATATTAAAACAAAAATCTTATTGTACCAATTGGTAAACTATTAAATGAATATAAAACTAAACGTGTTTCTCTTTTGTTTAGGTGCAGAAAAAAAAATTGGATGCTTTTACGGCTTGCCGTCCGGGTTTGCCGTAAGGGGGAAAGCAGATGTAAATTGCTCTCGGGCTTCAATATAGAGGACAATATTGATCTGAGCTGTAAAGCTGAGTGGTTGGTTAATGGAGGGGAGATAATGACAAGGCTCGGGACAGGCAGCTGATGAGTTTGGGCGGCACCCACTTCCTTGCCGTCAGAAAAGGAGCTCCTCTTCACTCACTGCTGTCATTTTTATTTACACACTGCCCTCCCAGGAAGGCCAGAATGAGGGGATCCGGAATGCCACCTTTGGTATCAGGCATCAACATTGGCTCCCTCTTTAGTGTGGTAAAGGAGCCCATGAGCGTCTTCCCTCTCTGGGCTGCTGAAATTTGATTCTTTTGCACAAAAAGGATGGAAGTAGCACATGAGGCCTAGGCCAGGGGTAGGTAACCTTGGCTCTTTTATGACTCATGGACTTCAACTCCCAGAATTCCTGAGCCAGCCATGCTGAGGAGAAAGGGAGAGGTTTCCAAGCTCAGCCATGCTGGCTCAGGAATTCTGGGAGTTGAAGTCCACAAGTCATAAAAGCCAAGGTGGCCTACTCCTGGCCTAGGTGAAGGTGATAGTGGTGATCATCATCATTATCCCACCGTTATATAATGATCCTGCCTGAGCAGTGTGGTGGCCTAGTGGTGAAGACACTGCCCTCCCACTCGGAAGGTTGAGAGTTCAGTCCTAGGCAGTGATTGGTGTTTATCAGGGCGCAAAGAAAATATCTGCTGTGAACTCTGTGTAGGTGTCAGGAAGGGCATCTGGCCAGTAAATGCTCAGCTCAGTCGCCCGACTCCACCCCAAAGCAAGGGATTATAGCGTCATTTTAAAAAAATGATTCTGCCTCCAATTAGATGGGTTGGGCTGAGAGAGAGGGACCCAATCAGCTTTCATGCCTGAGGGAGAACTACAAGTCACAGTCTCCCAGTTCATAGCCCAGCACCTTCGCCACTATGCTAAACTGCCTTTGAAATATGCACAAACTGCCCCTTAAGCCCCCAGAAACGCTAAGAACTTTACAGCTAGTCCTTGCTTGTTTTGCAAGCAGTTATGACACTATAGGACAGATGCTTATAGCTTGTAAAGCCCCCGTCCAGCTTTGGTAAATGAGACCACCCGTGGTCATATATCTGCATTTCAGACAATCACGTGTCTGTATTTCAAGTGGGCCAGTTTTACAACCGGTTGTGGCATTCTGTAATTGGTCATGGCTTATTGCGATCCTCTGGCTGCAATTTGCAATGATTTTTGCCAGTTTCTGGCCAAAAAAAAAAGCTAATTCAAATGAATTGATTAGCTTAAGGAAAAAGGCCAGAAAATTACTTCCAGTCCCGTAGGAGCTTCAGATTATGACCATAATGACTTACAACCATAATTCCAGGCTCAATTATAGCCATATGTTGAGAACTACCTGTAAAGCATAGCTGTGATGTTACTGGATATATTCCCTGTAGCAGGAATTGAAGGGGTATAATGGATTTAACTTGCTGGTCCAAGAACATTTCAACCCTTGTGGTTAGGGAAATATAGGGTGGAGTGCAAGCTTCTTTGCCACTTAACACAGTGGGTTTTTTTTTTTTTTTTAACTTCAAGTTTGCACTCTGCTATGGAAGTTACCTTAGTGATTTTGGCTTAGTCACTGTTCCCGCACAAGAGATAGCATGATTGTAGGGGTGAATAGGGAAGGCAGGGTTATCTATGGTGCCTTACGTCCTTGGGCAAAAAGCCACATTAGTAATCTAATCAATTATAAATGGGCTTTTTCCTAATAAGAGTTGCTCAGCCTGAGGGTTCCACTACCACTAGATTAGCGTCAGTTCTGCAAAGAGATCTGCGTTTGTGTGTTAATGATTGCAGCAGTGCGTGAATGACTATAGCAGGACTAGGTTCCACCCTAGAGCCGAGAAAACAACATAAATGGGAAAGGGGCTTAGAACGTGGTCTCCCTGGAGATTGAGCAATAGATTTGGGGTTCATCAGGTTTTTCATTGCACAATTTTTCATTGCAAGGAGGAACCTCAAATCTGAGATCCTTTAAATTTCGAAAGGAAACTGAAGTGAGCCACTTGGCCAGCGCTGAGATGTAGTAGAGTCCATTTGAGAGAATGAGAGAAAGATTCTTGCTAAGGGAGATGTATGGGTATTGTATAGGGGAAAGATTGATTTAGCAGATGCCTCCAGGCCCTGATTAAGTTGTCAGGCTTACTATACACCTACAGCAACACAAACCACAAGAAGACATGTATGGTAAAATGACAACCTGTATTCGGAAATTAAAAGGAAAGTGACTATATACTCCATAATACCAGATAAACAACTACCTAATAAAATGGTTACAGGTGACACCCTGTCCAAAGTTCCTCCAGGAGAGACCTTCTGGAAGGATATCCCCAAGGGGACCAGTCTGGTGGCCAGAAGGAAGCAACTTTAGAGCAAGTATGGAAACCAGAATCAGAAAAATAGTTGTAGATTCAGTGTTAGTCATCTGGTAAAATTAGAGAATCGGACACAGCTTCTGGGAGGAATTCCTTGGACAAAGCTGGAGGAAGCAGATGGGTTTTTTAAAGAGAAAACTAACACCTTGAATTGCATCCAGAAAGTTTAATGAGAATCAGTATATCCTGCAGGATGGATGCAATAACTGAAGTAGGTAGCACAAGTCGGTATGGGTGGCAGCCTTTCGGATCAGTTGTAAGGTCCAAGTGAATTTCAAAAACAGCCCCATGGAATGCTGTGGATATAATTTACTTGGACTTCAGTAAGGCATTTGACAAAGTAGATCACAACCTACTACTTGATAAGATAGAAAAATGTGGGGTAGACAGAACCACCACCAGATGGATCCGTAGCTGGCTGACCGGCTGTACTCAGCGTGTGGTCCTCAATGGAACTGCATCTACATGGAGGGAAGTGTGTAGTGGGGTGCCCCAAGGCTCTGTTCTGGGCCCAGTGCTCTTCAACATCTTCATCAACAATCTGGACGAGGGGATAGATGGGGAACTCATCAAATTTGCAGACGACACCAAGCTGGCAGGAATAGCCAACACTCCAGAAGACAGGCTTAAGATACAGGAGGATCCGGAAAGACTTGAACACTGGGCACTAACTAACAAAATGAAATTCAATGGTGAAAAAAGTAAGGTTCTACTTTTAGGCAAGAAAAACCAAATGTACAGGTATAGTATAGGGGGTACCTTGTTCAATAATAGTAACTGTGAGAGGGATCTCGGACTCCTAGTGGACAATCACTTAAATATGAGCCAGCAGTGTGCTGCAGCTGCCAAAAAAGCCAACAGTGCTAGGCTGCATTAACAGAGGGATAGAATCAAGATCACGTGAAGTGTTAATACCACTTTACAATGCCTTGTTAAGGCCACACTTGGAATCCTGCATCCATTTTTGATCACCATGATGTAAAAAAGATGTTGAGACTCTAGAAAGAGTACAGAGAAGAGCAACAAAGGTGATTAGGGGACTGGAGGCTAAAACATATAAGGAACGGTTGCTGGAATTGGGTATGTCTAGTTTAATGAAGAGAAGGACGAGGAGTGACATGATAGCAGTGCTCCAATATCTCAGGGGCTGCCACAAAGAAGAGGGAGTCAATCTATTTTCCAAAGCTCCTGAAGGCAGGACAACAAGCAACGGATGGAAACTAACCCAGGAAAGAAGCAACTAAAACTAAAGAAAAACTTCCTGAGAGTTAGAACAATTAACCAGTGGAACAACCTACCTCCAGAAGCGGTGAATGCTCCAACACTGGAAGTTTTTAAGAAGAGACTGGACAGCCATTTGTCCAAAATGGTATAGGGTTTCCTGCCTGAGCAGGGGGTTGGGCTAGATGACCTCCAAGGTCCCTTCCAACTTTATCATTATTTTTTTTATTAAATCAACTTTATTATTATTATTAATCATATGCCAGAATTCTGTGTGTTGATAAAAGGTATATAGTCTTCTGCTCCAGGAAGGGTTGCAATTGGTGTACCTGTTGAAGCTGGGCAAAAGTGCCTTTGGCCATGATTTTACACTGTCCATCCAGGAGCAGCAGAGAGACCAAGAGACCTCAGTGTTGCATACCTGCTCCCCGCTTAGGGGCAATGCCAACTCAATCAATGGGTCCTGCCTCACGGATATCCCATGCCAGTAAATCTTAAATGAACCACAGCAGCAAGCCAGATGCAATGCAGATTATGATACAATCATGGAGAATGGGGATTTACCTGCCCATGGTTGCTAGACAGAACAATTAATCAGTGAAATGGCTTGTCTTCAGAAGTGGGTGCTCCATCACTGAAGGTTTTTAAGACGAGATTGGACAACCATTTGTCCAGAATGGTATAGGGCAGTGTTTCTCAACCTTGACAATTTTAAGGCATGTGGACTTCAACTCCCAGAATTCCACAGCCAGCATTGCTGGCTGTGGAATTCTGGGAGTTGAAGTCCACATGCCTTAAAATTGTCAAGGTTGAGAAACACTGGTATAGGGGGTTGGACTAGAACAGTGGTTCTCAACCTTTTTAATGCCGTGACCCCCCAATCAGTCGTAAGTCAGGGACACTCAACCGGTCGTAAGTCGAGGACTACTCAACTGGTGCAGCACCGTTTGCAGAATGGGACTTTTGGCGGGCTCAGCAGGGCAGAGACAGCCTGGACAATTCCTATTGGCTTTTGAAAGCCAATAGAATTAGACCCTATTCAAGAGAGTCTATTCTATTGGCTTTCAAAAGCCAATAGAATAAAAGGGAGTAGCACAGCTAAGGAAAAGGGGGGAAAAAATGGCGGACTGCGTTTGGCGACCCCCGTGAAATGGTCGTTTGACCCCAAATGGGGTCCCGACCCACAGATTGAGAACCACTGGACTAGAAGATCTCCAAAGTCCCTTTGATCTCTGTTATTGATATTCTAATATGGATGTTATGAGCTCCATGGTTTTCCAATATATGATCCTAATACATGGACTTAAGCCATTCAATACCAGAAGGCACGCAACTCTCAACACAAGTCTGCACATCAGATTTACGTTGGGTAAATCCATGTGTTAACCACTACCACACGTGGCTACAAGGCTTTGTTCCAGGGCTTAGATCAGAGAGAGAACACACTTGCGGTTTGATGAATCTGCTAGACAGGGAAGAGCATGTTGGATGAATTGCAGACACACATTATCTGGATGTGAAACTGATTTCCGAGCCTGCGAGGTTAATGGTTAGCAGGAATAAATGGAATTCATTTTAAATCCTAGTGGAAAGCCTCAGAGCTGTGATTTGACCTAAATTAAACTAGCCCCAATGAATTATGGTGTTAATTGGAGCAGACACCATTTAATTAACCTAATTAGTATCGATTCTCCCATATAGTCTCTTCCAATAAATGGTTTTTTCTTAGACACACTTTCTTTGCCTTAATTTTCCACATCAGGAAATAGTAACTTTTGATTACCACCAGTTTTATAAATAAGATAACACTCAATTTGGGATAATCATTATTTTTGAACAAACCACTAGATTGCTCAGTGTAGAAAGCATGGTGTGTGTATATGTATCTCCAAGTTGTTGGCTTCCCCCCCCCCCACTAAGAATAAGCAAAGAACACACAGGAGTGATTGGTTCTTAAAGGTTGTCCTCAGTTTACAGCGGGTCAGTTAGCAACTATCTGAAATTACAACCAACCAGAAAAATAGGACTTACAAACTAGATTCAAAGTTCTGACATTTGGCTCCCTCTGAGCACTTAGTAAAACAGCCAGATTGCAGCCATTTGTAGTATCCTGACTTCACACATTTGCATTTTATGAAGGTTATTTCTGGTTTTTGGTGTGCCCATAGCAAAGCATTGGTTTTCTTAACCAAAAAAGGTAAAATTAGATCAGTCATGTGACTGACCTGTTTTACAATTTTTATGACAATTACCGCAATGGGCAGGCCCCATTATGGTCCTATGTCGACTACCTATACTAGTGCAACAGAATCATTTAAACACCTAAATTCTTCAAGAGGAGCCTTTTCATCTTATAAAATGGTCTCTGTACAAATATTCTGATATTGCATATGAAAATACCTATGTCCCAGATCCAATGATCTGATGTAGACACTTCTGTTAACTGCATATCGGAAAAGGTTGATTGTAATCAAAGAAAAAAATGGTATGACAGCTGCTTTCCTAGTGAGGGCAAATTTGATAATTTGATCACTTGAAATCCTATGGGAGGAATGTAAACTTCAAACTCATGATTGGCACCTAATGGAACCTGCAAATGGTATCAAATACTTTATACCTCTGTTCTGGAAGAAAAAAAATAAATACGACAGTATTAGCCAGGTTGCAACTGTGGGGAAAGTAAAACCAGCCAACACCGTGGAAAATATTGTTAGAAAGCCCCCCTCCCCTCAGGACCCCAATATGAAAGATGAATGCAAATGTTCTCAAAGATGAATCAAGGGTGCACTTTACTCCTTCAATCAAATCATGACAATTCTTCCTAGAAGTTTGGGTCCTGCCATCTTTCTATAGTATGCCTGGCTGAGGAATTCTGGGAGTTGAAGTCCACAAGTCATAAAAGAACCAAGTTTGAAGACCCGTTCTATAGCATCCAACATCATTTGTTGTTCTCACAAGACCATCACAAACCCACAGATGTGAAATGGGCAAATTGACCATCTGAAGACTATTTTATTATTATCAAATGTATTTGCCACCAATCTTGCAGTTTGAAGCAACTCTTGAGCAGACTACTTCAGCACCTTCCGTAGACTATGGGATATATGTAGGCAGGAGAGCCAAATTCCTTCCCACTCAGTAAATAAAATTGGAAAATGAGGTGCAAGACAAGTTTGACCATCTCTCTACTACCTTTTAGTTCATTTCAGAAAGCCCTGAAAATCTAACTCACCTCCACATAGTGAAGTAGATCCTGCTTTAAGCAGAATGGACAAGTGAGGGTTACAGGTAGTCCTTGACTTGCAACAGTTTGTTTAATGACTTTTCGAAGTCACGGTGGCACGGAAAAAAGTACCTTATGACCATTTTCACACAACTGTTAGTCATCTCATCAAAATTCACATGCCTGGAAACTAACCTCATATTTATGACCGCTGCAGTGTCTAGGGTCGCCTTTTGCAACCTTCGGACAAGCAAAGTCAACGGAGAAGCCAGATTCTTTTAATTGTGTTACTAATTTAATAACTACAGTGATTCACTTAACAACTGTGGCAGGAAAGGTTGTAGAATGGGGCAAAATTCACTTAACTGTCTCACTTAGCAACAAATGTTGGGCACAATAGTGGTCATAAGTTGAGGACTAGCTGTACTGCAAAGGTTGCTAGAAATTTAACTACAGCAGTATTCTCAACCTTGGACACTTGAAGACGTGCAGACTTCATTTCAATGGAATTCTGGGAGTTGAAGTCCGCACATCTTCAAGTGCCACCGCTAAGAAGTGCTGGATTATGCCATCATCTAAACACTGTTCTTATTGGACTCTGGAGCAGAGATGGGTTTTATGGCCTAATAGGTCAACAAGATACCTGTGGAGTTTGACAACTCTAAAGAGCATCATTTTACCTGTCCACAAGCATTTGTAGTGTGGGCAAAGATGGATGCTGCTCCCTGGAAGAAGTGTCCCATTTTTTTTCTGTTCCCCTAGAAAAAAAAAAGGACCCACAGTGAGTAGAGGTCAGTTTCCAGTGCTGGAAGTTGCTCTGTGGGCCCCAAGGAAAAGGTGTCAATACTGTGTTTCTTTATTTCTTGACCTGAGGGCACGACAAGAGGCAATGGATAGATACTAATCAAGGAGAGAAGCAACATAAAACTAAGAAATTTACTGACAGAACAATTAGTCAGGGGAACCACTTGCCTCCAGAAGTTCTGCGTGCTCCAACACTGGAAGTTTTAAAGAAGAGATTGGGCAACCATTTGTCTGAAGAGGTATGGGATTTCCTGCCTATGCAGGGGGTTGGATGAGAAAACCTCCACGGTCTATTCTATTCTATTCTATTCTATTCTATTCTATTCTATTCTATTCTCAATAAAGGCCTGTTCTATTCTATTCTATTCCTAATTTCTATTCTATTCTATTCCTAATTTCTATTCTATTCTATTCTTATTCTACTCTACTCTTATTCTATTCTATTCCTAATTTCTATTCTATTCTATTCTATTCCTAATTTCTATTCTATTCTATTCCTAATTTCTATTCTATTCTATTCTTATTCTACTCTACTCTTATTCTATTCTATTCCTAATTTCTATTCTATTCTATTCCTAATTTCTATTCTATTCTATTCTATTCCTAATTTCTATTCTATTCTATTCTTATTCTACTCTACTCTTATTCTATTCTATTCTATTCCTAATTTCTATTCTATTCTATTCTATTCTATTCTATTCTATTCTATTCTATTCTATTCTATTCTACTCTACTCTATTCGGTGTAAATATGTGCTTTGCACAGAAAGCAAGCAGAAAGAGGAGAAACAAAAGCAGATGCAGAATTAGGTTCATGATTCTTCGTTTTTAATACATTCACAGATAAACCTTAGAAATAAAAAGAGACATTGATTTGATTCTACTGCTGGGGCAGATTTTTTTCCACGGATGGCAATCTTGGCTGCAAGTGTCAACTGTTTCTCTGCCACCCACTTCCCAATCCCTACCTCTGTTCCATGGATGCTCTGGCAAGTGGGCTTCCTTTTGTGCAAATCCCCCCCCCCCAGATTGGGAGGGGGAAGAGCACTGAGGCACTGAGAATTATCCAAGAGGCAGGTGATGTGTAACAGTGCGGGTGACGGAGAAGTGACAAGATTTAGGTCTGATAACAAGACGATCAGCCCTTCCCAGGCCCTGGAACTCAGTAGCAGTCAGTGGTCAGTGGAAGTCAGTGGAACTCTCATTCCCATCACTCTGGGCCCCACATATAACCATTCACTTGCAAATGCTTGGGAGGGGGAGAGGGAGGGAAGGAGACACCTTTGATCAACCAGTATCGAAAGTGGCTTTTAATTTTCCAGTTCCTGTACTTTCTTTGGGACGTTTCATCTTATTCCATCTTGTGTGTACCAGAAGGAATTTATTTAGGCACTCTTTTTCCTGGGAAGTGACCAGTTGCAAAAAATAAAATATTCCCCGTTTTTTTGAAGCTAAACGTGGCACCTGAATGGAACACAGTGGCTTTTCTCCTAAATGTGGCCCGGGGGAGGGGGAGGGGGGGAGGGAAGGAATTATGTGCCTCAAAAGTTTGCCTCTTCTGTACCAAATCCATCTGGGCTTTTTAAAAAAATCAATATTCAGATAAAAAATATGGCTGAATTTATATTTAATATATAATATTTATAATGTTGCAGACACCTAAACAGTGTTTAAGGGGCTGAGGTTTAAAGGCAGGAAGAAAGGAGGGGAAGAAAAAAAAATACACTTTAAAATCCATAGTGGTGGGGTGGTGGCCCAAAAAAAAAATAAAATAAATGTCATTTTGCAAAGTTAAATGTCTTTTTTTTTTTAAAAAGTCAACGTAAAAATGACCTGAGAAATATTATATTATCCCTCACTTGGAATTAAATCTCTTATGTACACAGTAGAAATGGATGGATGATACACGCACGCACTCACGCACGCACACACATACACGCAACGTACATCTCCTGCCCCTCTTCTACCTCTCCCCACCTCAATGCGGCATCCTTGGCCTTTGTCTACTTGGGCCGTTTTGGACACAGACCTTTGCTGTTCCACTCCACCCGAGATGCCAGTTGGCGGTACTTTAGACAGGCAGACTTCACTTCTCAAAATTTTGTTCTTTTGCATTGTAAAATTCATTGTACCAGTGCAAATCAAACACAAACAAAACGAAACGAAACCCTCCCCAGAAACAAACAACATTGCCAAAGTTGTCCCAGAGTGAGGCTGAGCCACCCGGGGCAAATTCTTGTTGTGAGGACCAGTGAACTAAAAAGCTCTTTAAGCTCTAAGGGGTGTTTGGACGGATGGGCTGGCCTCGGTCTTCCTCTTTGGGGTTTTTTTTCTCTTCCGCCTCTGGCTGATCACTGCTCCGGAAAGACTCTTGCAGCTGCTGCCTTCTCTGAACCTCGGCCTTAAGGCTCTCTAAATCTTTTTGGCTGTGGAAAGAGGAGAAATAAGGAATTATTTCGTTCCGTGGGAAACCCCATTTGGGGCGATAGCAGAAGGAAGGCAGATATTTTTCGATTTGGTGGACCAAAAGAGAAGCTGAGCTCCTTTAAAGCAAGAATCTGAGCGGACATTTTGGGACAGGAAGACCATCAACTTCAAATACGGAAGGTTCCCGGGGGCCAATTGGGGCCCTGTTAAGACCGGGCCTAAGCTGCCATATCTAAAGAAGAAGGAAACCCGCAAACAGGGTAGGCAAAAGCCAGGAAAAGTAGGCAAAGTAGGTAAGAAAGAAACAAAGGAAAAAAAAAATCTGAAACCAGAAAAAAAGAAGCTGGGTCTGAGCACATGGGAACCCCCTCCCCAAATCCCATCAACAGCTACCTGATGTGTAAATCAACAAGGCAAAAGAATAGCTATCACTCTTGTGAATCAACAAAGGAAGGACTTGGGGGGATAAAAGGGGTCCTGAGGTCCATCCACTCTTTGAGTCGTCTTTGGATCCAGACATGGCAGCTTCCTTCTCTCTGGCTAGCTAGTGCCTCCCAGCCTAGTTGAGGACATGGGTAAGTGTGGAGGAGTGTCTGTGTATGTGAGAAACAGCAGATATATATTTGCTGTATATATATGAGCGTGAATGACCATAAGCCAAACCTGGGATGCTAACAGATGCTATGCTGAGATGGGAAGTCAATACATTTTAATAAATAAATAAATAAATAAAATAAAATGCTCCTCCTGCTCAAAGAAATGAGTGATGGGCCTCTCTAGAGAGTTGGGCTAGGTGGATTGATAAATCAGATAGATAGATAGATAGATAGATAGATAGATAGATAGATAGATAGATAGATAGATAGATAGATAGATGGAACCTATCAGATTTATCAATCCACCTAGCCCAATGGATTGGGTAGGTAGGTAGGTAGGTAGGTAGGTAGGTAGATAGATAGATAGATGATGGATCTATCTATCTATCTATCTATCTATCTATCTATCTATCTATCTATCTATCTATCTATCTATCTATCTACCTACCTACCTACCTACCTACCTACCTACCTACCTACCTACCTACCTACCTACCCAATCCATCCCATCCCATCTAATATCTCTCTATATATGCCATCAATCTCATTGACAAGTGACTCTGGGCAATTTACATCATAAAAATAGCAATATAAAATATTAAAATGTCAAAACGTGAAAAAACAAAGAACATTAAAAGTTAGCAAAACCAGAGTAAAATAGGAACCAGTACATAAACGGGGTGGAGATATGATCTTCTTCCCAATCTACCGGTATTGATTGCATGTGTGGGTGTGTTAAAACTCATGAAAATGTTAATTATGCTGGCAAATCAATATCTAGCACCAGAATTTTGTGCAAATGAGTTATGTGTAATAAAAAAAAATTGCCCCAGGTACACTTTTATTTTAACTGATAAATTCAACAGCATCCTGGGAGCAGTCTACTGTGGTTTACAAATTATGAACAAAGGATGAAAAGAGACACAGGACAAAGGATTTTTTGGGAGGAGAAGCTGAAAAAGCAGATGGAAAACTTTAAAACAAAATTTGATCAGTAAAAACGTGCCAGGCCCTGAAGATCTGTGCAAAAACCACATCGGACTGATTTCTCCCTGTCCCTGACTTCCCCTTACATGCAGTTTGCAAACTTTCTTGGAAGGTTCCCGAAATCGCCTGCTGTTGGACTTGAAGTGAAGCAACATGAGCACCCGGGCTCTTTACCTGAGTGGAATGAAGAGGATTCCGTTGATAATATTCAGCTGCTCTAAGACGCTGGCCATGCTGGGAGCTGTGAACTAGGAGGTGAACAAGCCGAGTTTAGTGCCACATTAAGAAAGAAAACAACCAAAATCACACTTCCTCCTTGACCTATGACCACAATTGGGTGCAGAATTTCCACTGCTAAGCAAGGCGGTTAAGTGACTTGTACCCCATTTTTTTTTTTTTTGCGACAGTTGTTAAGCAAATCACTTAAGTCACATGGTCGTTGTTAAGCTAGTCCAGCTTCCCCTACTGATTTTGCTTGTCAGAAGTCAGCTGGAAAGGTCACGAAAGGCGATCACGTGACCTTGGGATGCTGCAACTGTTGTAAATACATGTCAACATTGGGCCAAGTGCCCAAATTTTGATCACGTGACCATGAGGACGCTGCAAGCATTGTAAATGTGACGGCTGATTGATTGGTTGTACGCCACTTTTTTTCACTGCTGTTGTTAACTCTGAACGGTCACTAAACGAATGATTGTTAAATCAAGGACTATCTATACTCCATTAGCAAGTCAAGAAATTGGCTTCTTTTTAAGTTCCTTTGAGTTTTGAAAACCTCTGTGATTCTTAACAGAGAACAAGCCTGGATTCAAATTCTTTTACCCAGGGATTAAAGATCTGCCCAAATGTGCAATGAGAATGGAATCTTTAAAGGCTGTTGCTTCTTCCAGGTGCCTAAATTAAGTTGTGCTTTGAAGTGGAGGAACAGGAAGAAGAAGAGCAGGGCAACAGTAAGCAGGCTGAATGGATGATAGGCTAGGGAATCCTACGGCATGGATGATGGACTGGGGAGACAACCAGACCTTCTGGCACGACTGTACTCCTACCCGTCTTTTCCTAAACCTTGGATTTCAGTAGCTGATGGCTGCTGCTACTGCTGCTTTCTCCTTCCACTCTTCCTCCATTTGGTGTTAGATCAGCGGTTCTCAACCTATGGGTCGTAACCCCATTTGGGGTCGATCGACCATTTCACAGGGGTCGCCAAGCAAGGCTGTCCGCCATTTTTTCCCCTTTTCCGGCGGGTGCCTTACCTCCCTTGGGCTGGGCCAGCTGGTGGCCCAGCCGGTGGTCGGCCTGCTCTGTCTCTGCCGCTTGCCAGCTATGCCTCGGCCGGCGCAGGGGGCGGCACCACGCATGCGCAGCGCTCCCGGGCAGGGAAATCCTTGACTTACAACCGGTTGGGTAGTCCTCGACTTATGACCGGTTTAGTCCTCGACTTACGACCGGTTGGGGGTCACGGCATTAAAAAGGTTGAGAACCACTGTGTTAGATGAACTTCCCCAGCCATTTTTGTCTCCTCCAATACTTTGTAAATGCAGAAAGGCATGAACAAGGGTCTATGGAGAGTCTCAATAATGCAGGTCATGATTGTCCCAAACTTGCTTTTTCCAAAAGGCAACTGGACTTTGTTTTGGTTTTTTTCTTTGAAAACATTTCGCTTCTCATCCAAGAAGCTTCTTCAGTTCTAACTGAGAACCAAGGAAGCCCAGTTGCCTTTTGAAAAGCACCTTTGGGACAAAAGCATAAACAGAGTTTGTTTTGGGGAAGGGAGCTATGTTCACATCCCTGCTCAGCCAACCAATCAAACATCTTCAACAGAAAGACAGAGATTCTTCCCGTCCTCAAAGGAGATGCAGTGTGCATGGGGCAGGGCAAAAATTTTGGAACCCATTTTTTTTTCAGTTGTCAATAATTAAGAAATGCCTCATGCATCTCTTAATTTTTGTTTAATTTCCCCCCCCCCCAAAAAAAAACAAGTAAAAGTGATGCCACTGAAAAACAACATTCTGTCCCCAAATTTGATTTTGCAGGATCGAGGGATTCTAGAGACCAGATATAATCGGCCAACATCTTGAAGCACCATGTGACCTGGGCAAGACCAATCAAGAAGGGGCTGCAACCAACGTGGACTCTTCCAGATTTAAAAAAAAAAAAGCCCTCTTTTACAGCGGTGCAGAATAAACTGCACAAGCCCATTGAAGTGCACTGCACAGGTTCCTTTCCAAAACTAGACTGGCCACTGAAAACGAGAGAGGAAGAGTAGAGATGGGCTAGTTCATCTCCAACACCCCTGACAGGGGACAAATTTGAGCCACTCACTTTCAAGGGCATAATGTTGGCGTTGGATCCGTTTTTGTAGATCTCATTCATTGTGCGTTGGAGGGCCACAGCCTGCTGAGTCAAATATTTCAAGTACTCCGAGCTTTCTTTGGTCTTCTCGTGATGCTCACCAAGCTAGCCAGAAAAGACACACGTGCATCAAAGAGGAATTAAGAGGAAACCTACTGCAATGCGTTCTACACATGGGGCTACCCTTGAAGAGTATCCGGAAGCTGCACCAGCACAAGCAATAACAATAGCCCTTACATATATATATACTGCTTCACAGTGCTTTATTAGCTCTCTCTAAGTGGTTTAAAGGGGCAGCACAGGGCCCCCAGCAATCTGGGTCCTCATTTAACTGACTTTGGAAGGATGGAGTCAACCTTGAATTGGTCAGGATCAAACTACAGGCTGTGGGCAGAGTTAACCTGCAATATTGCCTTCTAACCACTGTGCCACCAGGGGTTCAGTTTTGGTTCTGCATGTAACACCTGTGCTACGGAAGCTGCATTGAGTGCCAGTTTGCTTCTGGGTCCAATTTAAGATGTTGGTCATTACCTATAAAGTCCTTCACGGCATGAGACCAAGTTATTTGAGCTTGTCTCAATTAACTGACACATCCCACCTGGGCAGGTAGGCAGGGTATATTGAGGATGCTATCAGTTGAAGAATTTGACTGGTGGGTCTAGGAAGAGATCCTTCTCTGCTGCAGCCCCACCCTCCTATGAAGCAGCCTGCCCATGGAGGCGAGGCAGCCCCCCCCCCAACTTTCCCAGCTAAGATCTGGCTCTGCCAACCGGTCTGGGTTCTAGCAGTGCCATGCAACCCAGTGGGTAAAGGTTGGTGGGCTAAAAGTACTTCCTCTGCCTTTTAACTCTGCAATTGTTGTTTTTCTTTTTGCACTTTGTTTTAACCTGGTTTGTAACTTTGTTTTTAACTGTAGCGTTTATATGACTTTGCTGTTTTCTTTGTAAACCACCCAGAGACATGCAAGTGTGGGCGGAATAGAAATTTGGGTAAACAAATAAACAAAATACTGCCGTGCACTCAGAGCACTTTTTCTTCCATTCAGTGGCTAACTAGGTACGGTGGCCAACATGTCCGGCAGCTGCACTCATAAAATGCAGAAAGAAAAAGATCTTTTTGAAGGTGCAGCACCCGTATACTGCACTCTTCAGAGGTCAATAGCCTTTAAGGGATCTCCAATTGGTCCAATTACTAACGTTTCAGTACGGCATTTTGGGAAAGGGTCTGCCTGTTTTCTTTTAAAAGTTTTCTTTTTTAAAAAAATACATAGAACAGTCTTAAAAGAGTAAAAAAAAATCCCACTCGGTTAGAAAATAGGTTGTCCACAGATCCTAACATTTAAACAAGTGCTTTTTTTTTTTGGCACATGTGTCAGAAGCACTGAGGCACTTCCGGGTTGAAAGGATTAGCTGGTGACATCACCACTGTCCCGGGGACACCCAGTTGGGGGTTTCTTTCATATCCCTGGCAGGAGCTGGGGTGAAGGAAGAGAGCTCAACCCCCCCACTCCACAGTGGCTTTCAGGCCCCCAACGCAGGATTGCTAACCTCCTGTCAAGTGTCCCAAACATTTGAGCCACCATACTGAACAAGTGCTTACTACACCTTTCTACTGGATCTTTGCTACCTGCGATCCAATGTACTTGTTGATCATTTCCCAGTTTCTCCACCCTTTTTCTTCCCTTAGACGTTTTACCGACTGTGAATGTTCTATGACTGGATCTCACCGCTTTGCAAATGCTCGGCAGAACAACCTGTTTCAAATTACACTACGTAGCAATCCGCAGCTTAGTTTTAAAAGCACGGAAGACAGATAGATGCTCTATTGAGCTAAGCAAGGAAAAACAAAATCGAACCTGATTTTTATAAATGGTGTAGCCTTCTTTCTCGTGCTGCAGAGCTGACCGAAATTCAGCTTTACTCTCATATACGCGGGCTACCAAGTGATGGCTGAAAGACAAAAGATAAAAGAACAGAAGATGGGACACAGTTTCCAGGCATGACTGAAAGAAAAGTGTGCACGAGACAATGAGAAGTGCCAAACGGCCTGGGATACTTAGCTTCTCTTAGAGATAGCATACTTAGAGGCAGTTTGCTCTAGTGGTTAAGGCTCCAGGCGAGAAAGCAAGAGACCCTGAGTTCAAGTCCCGCCTTACCCTCGAAAGCTAGCCGGGTGACTTTGGACCAATCAAAAGGAGATTGTGAGTTCTATTCCCGCCTTTGCCATGAAAGCTGCCTGAGTGACTTTGGGCCAGTCACTCACTCTCAGCCCAGCCCACCTCACAGGGTTGTTGTGGGGAAAATAGGAGGAGGAAGGCATGTTGGGATCTGTTCGCCACCTTGAGTCATTTGTAAAAATATCGAAGGCGGGATATAGATACACAAATAAAACAGACAACACTTGCCTTCTGCAGCATTTTGTACAGGTATCTATAAAGAGAAGACTGGTTCCCCTTTAGTGTTTAGGAAAATACATTAGATTGTTTGGAAAGAAGGGAAAATACCAAATGGAAGGAGATTATTGAAAATCTATTAACAGGAACATTCCACACTTTTGTTGAAGTGACCATTTGCCTCTGCCCCTCTCTCTCTCTCTGTGTATGTGGCTATTTGAACAATAATTCTTGAATACCTTCAGTTTCACCTCTGCATGTTGCTGGTATATCCTGAATAGATTGAGGCAAGCTTCTACACAGGATGTTGAGTTGTCACCTGTTAGCAGAATTGGGAAGAGGGAACTCACCTCAGTGCAACTTTTAGGGACTTGGCCCCGTGGAACTTGGAGTTGATCACCAGAGCGTTCTCCAGGAATCGCAGTGAGAGGTCATATTCCATAACTCCGTGAAGGACCAGGCCAATGTTGTTCTACGGAGGGAGATCATGTGCCGGTTAGAAGGCAAACTAGGACCAAGTTCCTACTCTGGGTAAATTTCTATATACAGATCAGGGAAGGACCATCAAAGACATCCATCTCATCACAGTGGTGGTCCTCAATTTCTGACCACAATGGGGACCATAAATTACGTTGCTAAGCAAGGCAGTTCTCAAGTGAGTGGCACCTAATTGTATGAGCTTTTTTTGTCATGGTTGTTAAGTGAATCACACAGTCATTAAGTGAATCTGCCCCCCCCCGCCCTCCGACTCTGCTTGTTAGAAGCTGGCTGGGAAGGTCACAAATGGTGATTACATGACTCTGAAACAGTGCAACCGTCATAAATACAAGCCAGTTGCCAAGCACCCCGATTCTGATCGCATGACGGTGGGGATGTTTCGACAGTTTTAAGGGTGAGGATGGGCTGCAAATTATTTTTCAGTGCTACTGTGACTTCAAACGGGCACTAAGCGAATAGTTGTAAGTTGAGGACGACTTACATAAAAGACCAGCTCAAAAATCAAAGATAGAACAAAGAGTTTCCGATCCAATGCTATTATTTTTGGCCCAACACTTGCCAATTTTTAAGTTCTGCTTATACATCAAGCTTAACCGAATCAGTTTAAAGATTTGGCTGCTTCGTTGCCAAAATACAGGTGGTCCTTGATCGACAACAGTTCATTTAGTGACCATTCAAAATTACAACGGCACTGAAAAAAGCGACTTATGATCGTTTTCCGTGCTGATGACCGTTGTAGCATTCCCCAGGGTCACGTGATCAAAATTCAGAGGCTTGGCAAGTGGTTCATGCTTATGACTGTTGCAATGTCCCGGGGCTCAGCTGTCTGAAAAGGAAAGTCAATGGGGAAGCCAGATTTGCTTAACAACCGTGTTACTAACTTAAAAGTGCAGCGATTCACCATGACAAGAAAAGTCATGAAATGGGGCAAAACTCACTTAACGGTCGTCTTGCTTAGCAATGGATATTTGGGGCTTCAATTGTGGTTGTAAATCGAGGACTACCTATATGCATGTCTTGCCTAGGCTTAACCTTAACCTTGCCCTATTGCAGTTCAGGATGTTAACACCAGAGCATTTGGCTGATATGTACTTCAGTGCACTGTGTGAGCCTGGAGTGATGTAGGAATCCAGCCTGGATTAGAATAGAATAGAGCTGGAAGGGACCTTGGAGGTCTTCTAGTCTAGCCCCTTGCTCAAGCAGGAGACCCTGTACCATTTCAGACAAGCGGCTGTCCAGTCTTTTCTTAAAAATCTTCAGTGATGAAGCATCCACAACTTCTGGAGGCAAGGTGGTTAATTGTCCTCACTATCAGGAAGTTTCTCCTTAATTCCAGGTTGCTTCTCTCTTTGGTCATTTTCCATCCATTGTTTCTTGTCCTGCCCTCTGGTGCTTTGTGACAAGCCCCTCAAATACCGGAACACTGCTATCATGTCACCCCTAATCCTTCTTTTCTCTAGACTAGCTAAACCCAAATCCTGGAACCGTTCTTCATATGTTTTACTCTCCAGGCCTTTGATCATCTTAGTAGCTAAGCCATAAATGGTTTATACATTGAGGCATAGTTTGAAATCCGCACACATCCATTATATTGATTGACCTGGATTGAAGCTTTGGCAAACCATGTGACTTTATTCCATTTGTTTACCTCCACAAGGAGGTGTATAAACTGTTGAGTGAGCTACAGGTGCATTCAAAAAATAATGGGTACAGAAGTAAAAAACCCCACAACCTTTTGTTTAATTTCATTTACCTTTCAACACTTAAATTAAAATCTAATTAATATGACTTCTTTCCAGTTATTTAGTTAATAGTCTCTCCCTTCCACTGCATCAAAAACTACAATGGGCTTTGCTACGACATTAGTTGTAGTAAATGCAATGTTGTTGTAATGTATTAATCCGTATTCAAGTGGGGGGGATAATATATGTGTATATGTGGGTCTTTTTTGTGACGCACCCTTTTCTTTTTTAATGTTTTGATTGTTTTATGGTTTTTTTCTTTTTTGGGATTTTTTGGGGGGAGTTTTGTATTTAACTTTGTCTTAAATAAAATAAAAATATATGATAAAAAAAACTACAATATGCTAACAATATTTAGAATCTTTGGACTCTCGACAGTCCGCTAGTTCTTTTTTACAGGCTGCATGTTGTTAGCATATTGTAGTTTTTTTTTAAAAAAAAAAAACATGTATAGTAATGGATTGGTAGGTCTGGCACTCTGATTAAGACAAAGAGTGACACGAACCACTGAACTGAATCAGGATGATACCACTCACCCCAAGGGGATTGTAAGCAGCTTCAAGGGAATTACAATTTTTATTTTCCAAAACAGGTCAGGCAAAACAGAAAGCTAAGAATGAAGCACGCTTTGAAGAGATGGCTAAACTTGGGGCTTTATTTACCTCACAAAACCCTCCAGCGATCCCCAGTGGATAATTTCCTCCCCACTGGGTGCAAACCATCCTCTTTGCCTCTGAGAATCTGCAGAAGAGCTTTTTGTAGTAAAGTTCAGTATTTTTATCCCTTTAAATGTCTGGTTTTTCCAAAATGGATTTGTTTTTAGTGAGAAGAGAAAAACTAAGGACGACCAATCTATTGCAAAAAAAAAAAAAAAAAAAAAATCCGGAGCCTGGTCACACCTTTTCCAACTCACAAATTTTATTAAAAAGGCAAACAGTTTGTGTGACCTGCGGTTGTAATGCCGTGAGTACCTCTAGCCATTGTGATTTGCAAGTCACGCTTAATGGCTTGAGAAGATGTGAGTCAGGCAATCAAGGCTTGTTTAAAAAACCACTGTTACAACAAAGCTGAAGTCTGATGTGCAAATGCAGCCTAGTCTCTAGGGGAAATTTCCCTCCCAAGAGCGTAAACCCCGTGAGCATCAGAAGCTGAAAAATCATGATTTTTTTTCCACCGAGGATCAGCAAAGCTAAAGAGGAGACTTACATCCAAAAGGGCCATCTCTGGGTGATCCTCCCCGAACACCAACAGCATGAGGTAGCGTGTGCGGTACAGTAGATTGAGTGCTGTGGACAACTGGCTGTTTGCAAAGCAGTACAAAGCAAGATGCATCTGTAAAGGCAGGGGAGAGACGCTCAGACACACAATGGTGGACCAGGATGTCTTCTTGACCGAATCTTTCAGATCTGCACCACGGTAGACACAAAAGGCAACAACTTTCTTTCCTTCAGCCCATCCCCCTTTATGTTATGCTACTTACATATTCTTGGATTGTGTTGGGATGCTCAATGCCCAGGACCCTTTCACTCATTAGCACCGCTTTCTGTTGATTGCTTAAGGCCTAGAAGGGAAGAAAATACAGTCGGGAAAACCAAATCAGCGGTTGTGGCTGGCATTATCAGAAAGCTCCCATTTTGTGCAGGGAAAGTTGGAGTTAAGAGGGGGCGGCTTCAGCTGATGTGAAAAAGCCAAAACTCGGGTTTTTATAAATCTCTAGACCAGTGGTTCTCAACCTTTTTAATGCCGCGACCCCCAACCGGTCGTAAGTCGAGGACTACTCAACCGGTTGTAAGTCGAGGACTACTCAACTGGTGCAGCACCGTTTGCAGAATGGGACTTTTGGCGGGCTCAGCGGCAGAGACAGCCTGGACAATTCCTATTGGCTTTTGAAAGCCAATAGAATTAGACTCTATTCAAGAGAGTCTATTCTATTGGCTTTCAAAAGCCAATAGAATAAAAGGGAGTAGCACAGCTAAGGAAAAGGGGGAAAAAATGGCGGACTGCATTGTTTGGCGACCCCCGTGAAATGGTCGTTCGACCCCAAATGGGGTCCCGACCCACAGGTTGAGAACCATTGCTCTAGACTACTGCAGCACTCTGTACATAGAGCTGCCCTGAAAGATGATCAGAAATACAAAATACAGTGGGCTTCTACCATGTTTTCCCCAAAATAAGACCTGGTCTTATTTTGGGGGGGGGGGTGTCTTTTTCACTCACCTTGTGGTGGCGGCACCAACAGCTCCACCCAGCAGGCCCACTTCTTCTGTGGCTGAAGGAGCAGCTTCATTCTGCAGCTGAGAATGGAGCTCCAGCTGCATTTTGCAGTCAGAGGCCTTCTGGAAAGGCCTCTGCAGCCGAGAACCGAGTTACGGATTGAATCCCCACCCCTGCCCTAGCTTGATTTTTAGGCCTGCACCTCACCCCAAAACTAGGGCTTATTTTGGGGGGGCTTATATTAGGCCCACCCCCAAAAAATCAAGCTAGGTCTTATTTTCGGGAAAACACGGTATAAAAAACACTGTTGTGGATGCTGTACTGGTTGCCGGTAGGTTTCTGAGGATAAAGGATAGTTCTCGTCATCAGCTAAAATGACCTACATCAGAGGTCCCCAACCTTTGCAGCCAGCCACTCACACAGCCTAATTCTGAATAGGCCGTGGCCCGGTACTGGGCCGTGGACCTGACCTACATGCTTATAGCACCTAGATCAGAGGTGTCCAGCCTTGGAAACTTTAAGACCTATGGACTTTAACTTCCAGAATTCCCCACCCGTGCATGCTGACTGGGGAATTCTGGGAGTCGAAGACCACAAATCTTACAAAGTTGCTAAAGTTGGACACCCCTGGCCTAGATGCTTCAAGGATCTCCTCTGCATAATGCTTGACAATTCAGGGCCTGCTTCCCACCTAAGAATATTGACAATACCCTCTCTTGGTCCCATAAGGCTGATTTGGGCATGGGAACAAAATGGCCATGTGTTTAATATACACTTTCTCCCCAGGATACTTTACTTCCAACAATAGCAATTTTTTTTTTGTAAGTAATACTGCCTTGGTTTCTTGGACATTTTATCTGCTCTGTTCTGCAACTTTTCCAGCTCCACAATATCCTTTTAAGGTGTTCTCTTGAGTCTGGTTATTTTCCTGTGGACGTTTCATTACCAAACTCATTACCAAACTCATTATCAGTGAGTTAGCACTGAGCTACAAATAGTCTCTCCTGCAGCCTGTCATTTTATCACATGAGTTAATTTAAATTGTATGTTAGGCAGAACAGAAGGAAACATGAACCACAGATGCTACAAGTTGTGGCAATGTCTTCCAACTAATGCTAAGCAGGAAAGCCATACATCATTAGGATTGAGAAAAGGGAACCTTTCCCAGACATGCAAAACCAGATGTATTTCTGTCCTGATTTGCTAAGGCTGTTATGATTATGTAGAATAAGCAGATACTTTGAGCAGACTCGGATTCCTATTTCTCTGTACCTCTGAATAATCTCCCATGATGTAGTTTAGGCGTGCCAACAGCCGAAGGCAGGCACAGATCTCCACATGCATCGCACCGTACACGTTGTTGAACAGGTTTAAGGCTTCGCTGATCAATTCACAACCCTCTTTCAAGAAACCTAGGAGAGAGATGGAAAAATAAGATCCTGTTCTCTTAACACACTAACCTCATGTGCCATTACCACTGCAGCCACGCCCACCCAATGGGCCACACCCAGCCAATTGGCAACACCCAGCCAACAGGCCACACCCACCCGGCACCCTATGATGCATAAGTGGGTTTTGGGTTGCACTTTGGGCACTCAGTCTCTAAAAGGTTCGCCATCACTGTTCTAGGACTATACAGGTAGCCCTTGACTCACAACTATTCTTTTAATGACCGTTTGAAGTTAGAATGGCACTGAAAAAAGTGACTTACATGTCATAATACGACTAACAATCACCTTGCTTAGCAATGAAAACTCTGAAATACAATCCCAGTTGTGACTGTTAAGTCAAGTACTACCTGTAATTGTATTCCAGTGATTGTTTACATACGTTTGAAGAGGAAACAATAATTTAATGTGCTTCTCTTTATTAAATGAATGTATTTCTTATGAGCGTCTATATCCCTAGAATTGAACGTATGGAAAAATGGGACCTTACTCATTTCAAAGGGAACCAGATTTAATCAACAACTCTCTCCCACCCCGACTGTTCCTTTCCCGTATGAAGCTTGAAAGGTATTTCATCGGGGGTTCACACCTTGCTGAACCTTTGCCTGCCCACTCTGGAAGAAGTGGAAGGCATCTGAAGCTTTGGGGTTGACGTGCTTCACAACGGGGAAGATGTTGAGGATGTCCTCCTCAGTGAACGTTGGCTTGTGACGGTTATCAAAGTTATATTCTTTCAGCAGGATCTGAAATACAAAAGAGCCAGAGTTTTCTATGCTTTCCTGATGTCCACAGGAAGGCATAGGGAAAAGATCCTCTAGGACAGGTACTGGGCTGTGGGTTCTTGGCCAGCGGGCCACAGAAATGGCTGGCCAGGGTGCACACATGTGGGCGCGCACTCCCCTCCACTTATGCTAGTGCCCACAGCCGTTTGCGCATCCGTTTGGGTGCTAGTGTGGGGTGTGTGTGGGTGCCGTTTGCACATGCACAAACGGGTGCTAGCTGCTGTGGGGTGTGCGGCTGTTCACGCATGCTCATGGCAACAGTGCAGGGCGCATGTGCAAATGCAGCTGCTAGTACTGCACCAGTGGGCATAGGCCTGTTTGCGTGCATGCATGCGAGGGTACACGCAGTAATTTGGAAGCTCTCTCTCCATGAGCCCGGAAAGGTTGGAGAACTCTGCTCTAGGAGATCACCTTCAATTACCTAGGGCCTGGACCCTGTGGTGGAATATAGTCCAGATTGGCAGGAGGGCGAGGCACATTCCCAGGGAACGATGAGACAACATAGCTTGGAATCTTTGGTATGCAGAAAGAGGGTGAAGGCAGACACCCTCCAGCACAGAGTTCCCCCATCTTTCAGGGTTGGAGGCCCGGAGCAGGGGAAAGGGGGAAAAGAAGGGATGGTTTTGTGTGTGTGTGTGTGTGTGTGTGAACACACATGTATAACTGTTGTTCACGCAAGTGGGGTCGTGAGTGACGCTGTTTGTTCGTGGGCCACAAACGCACCCGATGACGCTTACATGAGTGGGGCCACAAATGCCCATGACGCTTGTGGCAATGCTCCCGAGAGTGAGGCTGTGCATGTGCACACCATCCAGCCACTTACATGGCCTGGTAGTGGGCTGCGGCCCACAGGTTGGGGATCCCTGTTTTAGCACAGGGGTCCCCAACACTTTGGCCGTGGCCCACTAGCAGACCGTGGCCTGTTTGGAACCAAACTGCACAAGCAGCAGGCAAGCACACATCTGCCTGCACCTCCCACCTGCACAAATGGCAGGCGCTCACGCTCAGGCGCGCAGCTCCATTTTTACAAGTGGCAGACACTCGTGCGTGAAGCTCCATTTGTGCAAATGGAGTCGTACATCCTTACGTGCACACCTGTCACTCACACAGAACCATCCACTTTCCCCCGTCCCCACCCTGCTGGTGCGCCAAGCCAGAAAGGTTGGGGACTTGCTGCTCTAGCAGTTCACAGGTATATATAATAGTTACGCAGAGAAGTGCTTTAGTCTGGCAAGATTCCTGTCTATAGGTAAGCAACAACAAAGAAACCATTCTGTAGTAATTCCTCCTCTCCTTCTTGGTTCCTTGGGCCTGACAGGCACAAACAATGGCAGCCCTCTGAATTAAAATCACTTTAATTCCCTTCAATTAATCCCATGCTGGCTGGGGAATTCTGGAGCTGAAGCCCACGCATCTTAAAGCTGTTCAATTTGCTGATCTAAAAGATCTTTTGAGAATCCCACCTGCACATGAGGGTTTTTCAGTGAAAGCTTTCACGCCTGGTAGATGGGGCTGGACTTGAAGCTGCTCTTATTCTAGAAGGCCCAAAAGATGGCCTCTGAACAGGATTTGCCCAAAATATGGCAATTTCTTTTTACGCTTGTTACATTTTACGATGTTTCTGATTTATGCGGTGCACTACTCAAGAGTCCCAAATAACTCATCTCATTACTGTCTCCACCCAAACCAGGCAGACGGATGCCAAGGAGATGATCTAAAGAAGCTTTCTTCAGCCTGTGGATTTCCAAACTCTACAGCAGTAACTATGCTGGGTGGAGAATTGCATACTGAGAAGGTGGTGCAGGCTGAAAAGACGAGCCTATGCGTGGAACGTTAGCCCCTTACTGGGTCCCTCTGAATGATGTTGAAGAAGTGAAGTGTGGAGAACAGAGCAATGATTTATGTATGCTGATCCCACCTGTATTCCAGTTTTGAGAGAAATCTCCCGTAACAGGGTAATCTTCTGCAGGTTGTATACTTCTACTGCTTGGTCAACACTTTCACTGCAAAAGGAAACAAAAGTCAGGAGGAGGAAGCAGATCATTAAGCAGATCGGATCGTTCGATGAACTCCTCAATTTAGGTAAAGGTGCTCCTTTGAAATCCATGCAGTTTCCCAGCAACAGTATGGAAGCGGTTTGGCTTTTTCTAGGATGTTATTTTTCCCCAATTTCCCAGTACAAGTAGTCCTTGCCTTTATTCACTTAGCGATTATTTAAAATTACGACAACGATGAAAAAAAAATGACCTAGGTTAGCCCGGGGGCTAATGCTGCAAAGCTCCTGATCCTCGCAGAATGAAAAATCAGCACATAAAAGTGACACAGCTGGAATAGAACTTTGGCCAAGTTTAAAAAAAGAAAAGGATTTCGGCATAGTAATTTCAGCAAACGTTGGTGGTAGGGAAGCTGTGTCAGTGGGAACATTTATTTTATTACATTTATGTGCTTCTCATCTACACTCTGCAAGGCAACTCTGGCCAGCTTACAATTAAATGGGATGACTTTGCTAACAACTCAAGCTCTGCCAGTTTCCTAAGAGGGTGGTGGGAATTTCAGAGTTAGTTGTCCCTGCCAAAAAAAAAAAACACCTTTCTCAAGGATTGCTGCCTGCCTTATCTTTGGCAGCTTCTCACTTCTCTCAAAAGTCTCCAGAAAGATGTTAATCCTAAATTAAGGGGGTGTCCTTACGTTGAGGCTGCCCAATCCTCTTTCAACTGTTCTTCCTTTGAGACGACACTGCCAAAAATGGGTGGCAAATGATGTAACAGGGATGCAACTTTCCATTTAAAAGATTATTAAACCCTTAATATGCTCGATGATCTTGTAACAGTGGAGAGAAAAACAAGAGGAATAATTCTGTCATTTCCTATGGCTCTTGATAGACAAGCATCATCCTGCAGATCCTGAAAAGTTACATCTCTGATGGCTTCCATGATAGCTTGGGATTCTTAAGACTTACAACCTACTAGACCAGTGGTTCTCAACCTTTTTAATGCCGCAACCCCCCAACCGGTCGTAAGTCGAGGACTACTCAACCGGTCGTAAGTCGAGGACTACTCAACTGGTGCAGCACCGTTTGCAAAATGGGACTTTTGGCGGACTCAGCAGGGCAGAGACAGCCTGGACAATTCCTATTGGCTTTTGAAAGCCAGTAGAATTAGACTCTATTCAAGAGAGTCTATTCTATTGGCTTTCAAAAAGGAAAAGGGGAAAAAAATGGCGGATTGCGTTGTTTGGCAACCCCCGTGAAATGGTCGTTCGACCCCAAATGGGGTCCCGACCCACAGGTTAAGAACCACTGTACTAGACCCAGTCTCCTAGAGCAGTGTTTTTCAACCTTGGCTACTTGAAGATGGGTGGACATCAACTCTCAGAAATCCCCAGCCAGCAATGAATTCTGGGAGTTGAAGTCCATTCATCTTCAAACAGCCAAGGTTGAGAAAAACTGCTCTAGAATCAAGGAAGGTTTTGTAGTTCCAAGGGACATGACAGAAACATCTTGGTGGACTCTGGATCTGCTCACAGCTTGGATGTGACAGCCACTGCATATAGAAAGAGTCTCAAATTCCAGAAGGAAAAATATGGTACTGGTAGTCCTCAACTTAATAAGTTTATTTAGTGACCATTCAAAGTTACAACAGCACTGTAAAAATGACTTACAACTGTTTTTCACACTTATGACAGTTGCAGCATCCTCATGGTCACCTGATCAAAATTCTGAGGGTTATTTATCACGGCTGCAGTGTCCTGGGATCATGTGATCATCTTTTGTGATCTTCTGACAAGCAAAGTCAATGGGGAAGCCAGATTCACTTAACAACTGTGTTACTAACTTAACAACTGCAGTGATTCACTTAACAACTGTGGCAAGACAGGTCATAAAACGAGGCAAAATTCACTTAACAACTGTCTTGCTTAGCCCCAGAAATTTTGGGTTCAATTGTGGTTGTCAGTTGAGAATTACCTGTAATTAAAACATGTATAAAATACCGCAAGGTATTGAGATCTCAAAACGCACAATGCTGGCTTGATCTCTAAAATCAAATTGGACTGCGATTGCCATCTTAATTTTTCACTCACATTTCCAGACCAAAGTCAAAGTAATTCTTGGCTTCTGAGCAAATATTCTTCCACAGCTCCTGGGGACTCATCGTAGCCCAGGCGGTGTTGTCGGCAGTGCCCAAATTCCGGTTTTTCCTTCTCTTGTTTTTCTTCCGGGAGACCAGCTCGTCGGCAGGCAGGTGACCCACGGGGTTAGGGAAGGCGCTCAGGAAGCAATTGAGGAAGTGACTGATGGCAGCTGATAACCCTGAAAGTTCCACTCCCTGCAGGGGAAAGAGCCCGGGTTGGTCTAGGACAGGGGTAGGCCAGCATGGCTGGCTCAGGAATTCTGGGAGTTGAAGTCCACGAGTCATAAAAGAGCCAAGGTTGCCTACCCCTGGTCTAGGATTCATTCAATGGCTTCATTGCTTAGCAACCAAAATTCCACCCTTAGCTGAGGTAGTAAGTCAAGGGGGGGGGATTATTTAGTTACATCCAGCCTTTATTATTTTTTTTACAAATAACTGAGAGCAGCACACAGACCCCAACACTCCTTCCTCCTCCTTTTTTCCCCACAACAACCCACTGACTTTCAGGGCTTTAGCTGACTTTCATGACTAAAGCGGGACTTGAACTCATAGTCTCCTGCTTTCTAGTCTGGTGCCTTAACCACTAAACTAGGGGTAGGCAACCTTGGTTCTTTTATGACTCGGTGGACTTCAACTCCCAGAATTCCTGAGCCAGCCATGCTGAGGAGAAAGGGAGAGGTTTCCATGCTGAGCCATGCCGGCTCAGGAATTCTGGGAGTTGAAGTCCACGAGTCATAAAAGAGCCAAGGTTGCCTACCCCTGCACTAAACCAAACTGAACTGCTTCTCTTCTGCACTATTCAAAGAGCTAGTAGGGGAAAAAAAAAAAACCCAAACCCACGGAGAGGTATTATACTGTAAGCAATGCTCAACAACTAGGGAACCTGGCTTGTACATCAGACACTGGCTTAGAAAGCGTTCCATCCACACATAACTGCGGGCAGGCGTTGGGAGTCTAATTAGCATGCAAAAAAACAAAAACAAAAAACCATTTTAGCACAGGTCCTTATTCTAGAAAGTAATCCAAACAAGGTTGCAGGTATCTGGCTAAACAAGAAGGCTAGCTAAATACACCTTTACTCAAGGACAGACCTTTTTTCAGCTGTGCCAAAAACATGTTGCTGAATCTGCAACTTTCATCTATTCCCCCCCTCCTTTCCTTTGCTTGTCAAGAGAAAAATGCCAGGGAAGACGGGAACCTGGATGAGAAATGTTTGCAAAGAGGCATGCATGCATGCAAATGTTGCTGCAGCTATCAAGAGGGACTCTCTCTCACACACACACCCATAGGTCTGTACCTATTCAGGTCCTAATGAGATTGCATTTCCAGTTGCTAGGCAACAGTCCCAAGGGCCTAATGAGGAACTGGCTTCTCTTAGCTTGAGGAAGGAGACTGGGGAGGGCAGGGTGGTGTGGCAGAGGGGGAGAGAGATAACCACACTAAAGAAAGGGCAGCAAGTGATGACATTCAGAGCCAGATAACCCGATTCATACCTGCAGGTAGATCTTGAAGATGTGCTTGGCTGACCGAGTGATCAGTTCCATGATTCCTATTTTCTGTAAACCAGAGAACAAAAGCAGTTATAAAAGGGTAGGACTGGGCTATTAAAACAACATTCTCAAATCCACATGTGAGCTTGCTTGGCATTCTTTCTCTCAAAGACAGAAATAACTCAGGATTCCGGATCTGGCGCTCTCTGGTCTATTAGAACTACATCTCCCAGAATTCCTAGGCACTGCTTAGGTTGGCTCAAAGTTCAAGCATTGTAGAAATATTACAAGCCCCAGACTGCAGGAGTCAGAAACTACTCCCATTTTAGATGGCTGGCTTTTCTAAATTAGATGTTCTGCAATTGAAAGTTTCAAAAGACCCAATTTTAATTTTTTTTAGAGTCCCCCTCCCCCCACTTTTATTATTTTTATAAATAATTCAAGGTGACAAAAACACTAACACTCCTTTCTTCTTCTATTTTCCCCACAACAACAACCTTGTGAGGTGAGTTGGGCTGAGAGAGAGAGTGACTGGTCCATAGTCACCAGCTGGCTTTTGTGACAAAGTCGGGACTAGAACTCACAGTCTCCTGGTTTCTAGCCTGGTGCTTTAACCTCCACACCAAACTGGCTTTCTTAATGGTGCTTTTCAGCCCCAATCCAGGTCAACTTTGCTATTTTCATAGCATCACTGATTGGAGACTCAGTTACACTATGGGTTGTGTTCACACCGCACACTTTCCCAGAGCAATTAAAAACACCGTAGAGGTATCTGCATAATTAGTTTTAACCTTGATTTGTTTTTCTGGGTTAGCATATTATGCAAACCCAGCCTTTTGGTTAATTGATGATTCAATATTTTAGGGAAATCTCAAAAAATACATTCATTCTATAACCAGCATATGGTTACAATCTGTATATTGAAACGAGCTGCTTGGTGTGTACTTCTAAATGGAGACTTGTTGAAAACCTAGATTTAACTCGATGAGAACTCACATCCCAATCTAGATGTGGTCTGACTACAATTCCCATCAACCTTAGCATGCAAATTAGTCAGGCAATATGACTGTCCTTCAACTGCTGCTGAATATGAAGGCTTCATCTGGTAATCCCATGTAATAAGCTAACAAACTAATCTATCTGGCTACATTGGAGGTAGCAACCCACAGCCTAACTGGTCTCCAAGTCTTTCTCTGGATCTCGCAGGATCTGCAGATTCCTTCTAGAACTTTTCAACCTCCTCCTTGCTTTTTAGATCAAAATGCCAGTCTTCAGCTCTGCAGTTGCAAATAGTAGGGAGTCACAACAAGATAAAGAAATGTTCTCTATGGTTCCTGAATTACTGTATCAACCCACCAATCTCTAACCAGGATAACCTTTATTTTTATGGGGAAGAAGAAACACAGCTGGGGCAAATTACCCCCAAGACAGCAGCAATAGTTAGTTAAAAACGCAGCAGTCATGGCTAGGAGGGTCTTTGCACAACACAGGTTGTGTGCCAGTTACACCGATTCCTGGAGCAATGTGTCTTTCTCATAGTCACCCATGCCCTGGTAACTTCCTATTTAGACTACTGTAAGGTGTTCTATATGGGTCTGCCCTTAAAGAGTAGCTGGAAGCTTCAGATGGTTCAGAATGCAGTAGCCTGAATAATTTTGCACAAGCCTAGATTTGTGCATGTATTATCTCTTCTGCGGGAGCTGAATTCGCTGACAATTAGCTTCCAGGTACAATTCAAAGTATTGGTTATCACCTTTAAAGCCCTACATGGCTTGGGTCCAGTCTATTTGAAGAACTGTTTCTTCCCTATTTCATCCACCTGGCTCACTAGGACAGGAAGGCAGGGTATGTTGTGGGTCCATCAATTAGGAATGTACATCTGGTGGGACTAGGAAAAACAGCCCTAAGGTATGAATGACCCCCACCTTCTTTTGCCTTTCTGCAAGACCTCAAAAGCATAGGTTTTACCTAGGGACCACAAATGGTGATAGAGCCAATCAAATGGTCGATATGATTGTGTGCCTGTTGTCCCGGGGGGGGGGGGGAAGGGGCTTTATGAGTTCTTATGTTGTGGATTTTTAACATTGTAAGCTGCCCTGGATTCATCTGTATATAAGTTGGATGACCATACACATTTGTTTAATTAATTTGATGACAAGTAGGAAAAATAGAAAGCTTACATAAATGTGATCAAGCTGATTCTGGGCACGAGTCTCCATAATGAAGGTGACCACTTTCCCCAGATAGCGCATGTTGATACCCCGTTGATGCATGGCTTCTGCTAAGGTGGTGCCATCCATTGGCAACATGGTGTGGTCGAGGCAGTCTTTGACCTTCAAGAGAAAGTAAAATTGAAGGGGGCAAAGCGTCTCTGTTGGAGAACAGCAAGGCAGTAGTGGGTGAGGCCAACCTCTTCCTGTCTCCTTTTTCCATCTCTGGAGATTCTTAAGGAAAAACTGGACACTCACTTATCAAGGATGGGTTAATCAATTTCTTACGATTTATGATTATGATTAGTTTCTTATGATGGGTTAATTGTAACATGATTTATGATGATTGTATTTTATGATTGTGATCATGATTTATTACTTGTTACTTGTATGTACACTGAGAGCTTGTACACCAGAGACAAATTCCTTGTGTGTCCAATCATACTTGGCCAATAAAGAATTCTATTCTATTCTATTCTATTCTATTCTATTCTATTCTATTCTATTCTATTCTATTCTATTCTATTCTATTCCATTCCATTCCATTCCATTCCATTCCATTCCATTCCATTCTCCCCATTGTTGGGGTGGACAAGAGCAACTTGGCAACTTTAAGACTTGTAGACTTCAACTCCCAGAATTCCTCAACCACCTATGCTGAAGGGAGTTGTTGATTTTTTAAAGTTACCAAGGCTGGAGACCTCTGGACTAGAGGACCTGGTGGTCTCCTCCAACTCCACAGTTCAATGATAATCTTTTCTTTCCCCTTTCCCAACCACAAGGCTCCTGATGCAGGTTCTAACCCACTGCAAAGGCCTTCTGAAATGAGGATGACAGTCACAGGTTGCCAATTCTTGACTCAGAGGACAGACCAAACTCATCTTTTTATAACAGATCATCCACAAAAGAGGAGGGGGATTAAAACATCCCCCAAATAAGCAGCTTAGCAACCACAGAATACTCAAATTAAGCTTCTGAACACACAATCTTCGACCCAGACAATCATCAGGAAATAATAAAGTAGGATTGTAATTTTGAAGTGGAAGGAAAGAAAATGCAGAGAAGAAGATGACAATCTTTCTTCCTCCTTGGTGTAAAACCTGACATTTCAGACCTGATGCAAAATCACTGGTGTTGGCTTCTCTTATTACATAGCCATGGTTTGTCCATCCTTTACCCATCTTGGATGCTTTCCAGCTTCAGCTCCCAGAATTCTCCAGCCATCATGGTGGCCATTCCTGAGAATTCTGGGAGTTGGAGTTCACACATCTGGAAAGTTCATAGGACGAGGGTGTCTGGTTTAGTCTATCATACTGTTTTTTTTCAGGATATTTAACGAGATGCAAAACAATTACCTCAATACTGCTCATACCCCGTTCTTTATTATATAAGACCACCTGACACAATGGTCCACACAATGCTGGATTTTACAAAATGGAAGATTTTGTAACAAAATGCAATTTGCTTCGCTAATTACTTAAATGAAATCTAATTACTTCAATGACGTTAAGTTTTTTAATTACTTAAAAAAAACGTATTACACGTTTGGTTCCCTTTAACTCATTGTGGAATTTTAATGAAGTTTCTAACTAAAAAAAACCCCCTGCAACATAAAGGTAGTCCTTACTTAAAGACCAGTTGTTCAGTGACTGTTACGAAGTGCCAAATAAGTGAGATTTAGGACCAGGTTGTGGCCATTGCAGTGTCCCCTCGGTTGTGTGATTGCAAGCTGGGTACTCGGCAACTGGCTCACAATCAGGTAGAATCCCAGAGTCATGTGGCTTCCATCTGCAGGGAAAGCCAGCAGGAGATTGCCAATGGCATGCTTAACAACAGCAACTGGAAATGCCAGAACTGTCACCACGAGCTGGTACATCACATGACATCACACTTTACAACTGTATCACTGAGCAATAGAATTGCCAGTCCCACTGACCATCGTTAAGGAGGACTGCCTGTGTGCTTTGTGTGCTTGAGTGGTCTCAACGACAGCAGATATGCAACCAGGATAATAGTGGTGGTAGTGGTAGTGTGTGTTGCTGAGAGCCCAAAATATAGTCATGTGAATGTGGGGCGTGAGGATTGGCTTGGCATCAGAACAGAGTCTTAAGTACTTTTGGGAGGATCCACTGTAACTGTGAATGATTGCTAAACGACTGGTCATTAAGTCGAGGACTACCTTACTTATGTTTTATTTGTAGTTATTTGTTCTTTTTCTAAAACCGAGCTAGCTGTCCTGAACTGTATGTTAGATGGCTCATTATATACAGTGATTAAATACATTAAATGTAAGAGCCGTGATGGCGCAGTGGTTAGAAGGCAGTATTGCAGGCTAACTCTGCCCACAGCCAGGAGTTCATTCCTGACGGGCTGAAGATTGACTCAGCCCTCCATCCTTCTCAGGTCGGTAAAATGAGGACCCAGATTGTTGGGGGCAATAATGCTGACTCTGTAAGCCTCTTAAAGAGGGCTGTAAACCGCTGTGAAGCGGTATACAAGTCTAAGTGCCACTGCTATTGGTATCTTGCTTTTGTGATGAGATTGGAGCATATTGCATTGAAACATTTATTTGTAACCATAGATTTTAGCAAAATTGTGTGACGGAATTCATTTTGTTTCTTCTTGAAGACATTGGGAATATCAAATCTTGGTAGAAACATGCATTGTTATGCATATCAGACATATCATTTGCAAATTCCAGATGGGACTTTGTGTTTTTATTCTCCCCACCTTCTTACCATGTTGCTTTCCCAAGCCTGTTCTTTAACTTTTTGAATATTCACTCACCAAGCCTGGAATCTGATACGATACTAGAAAAGCAGCTGCATCCTTCAATAATCTCTTTTGATCCTGGATTTGCTCTTTGCTGGACTCTGGAAAGCGGACACCTGGGAGATAAACAGATTGTGGTTTTTTTCCCCTCTCTCTTTCAGATTAGACTGAAGCAACCCGCCATCTGCAAACTGCACAAAATCCCACCCACAGTTCAAGGCTCGGCTGCTGAGACTGACAGCAAATGGCCAAAGATCAGGATCTGTTGGGAAATACAGAAATGAATTAACAGATTTAAGTTACACAGGAAAGTGGGCTCCAACTGAACATTAGAAAAAGTTTCTTAATACAGGAAGTCCTCAACTTACAACAATTCCTTTAGTGACCGCTCAAAGTTACCATGGCACTGAAAAAAAGTGACTTATGACCGTTTTTCACACTTATGAACGTTGCAGCAATCCTATGGCCATGTGACCAAAATTCGGACGCTTGGCAACTGACTCATATTTATGACAGTTGCGGTGTTCCAGGGTCATATGATCACCTTTTGCAACTTTCTGACAAGCAAAGTCAATGGGGAAGCCAGATTAATAACCGTGTTACCAGTTTAACAGCTGCAGTGATTCACTTAACAACTGTGACAAGAAAGACTGTAAAATGGGGCAAAACTCACTTTAAAAATGTCTCGCTTAGCAACGGAAATTTTGGGCTCATTTGCAGTTGTTAAGTCAAGAACTACCTGTAATATCAGTAGTTCAACAGTAAGATGCACATTCATTGGTTGTACTCAAGGGGAAGCTAGAACGCTGTTGATGGGAAGTTTTAATTGGTGTTGCTGCACTGAGTGTGTGTGGGGGGGGAAATGAATTCTATGGCTGAAATGGCTGCATGGATTTCCATGGTACCTTTAAATCTGGGAATCTTTCAAGTGAAATCATACACTTTCTGAGAAAGTTAGACTGTTTTCCCAGAGTTTCTTTTTACAACTGGTAGCAAAGTGGCTTTAGGTACAACTGGTCCTCAACATATGACTGCAATAGAACCTGCCCATTAAGGTCATGTGTCAGGTATGAAGAATCTGGACCACACATTAAGTTCCAGTTAAGGTGATTTATTGATCATGACTGTTCACAAGAATCTAGTCAATCAATGGTCAGCGCTAAATTTATTTATTATTTATTTAGTTGTTAAATTTATCTGCTGCTTATCTTGCCATGGGTCTATCTTAAATTGGCAACAGATGAGAATTCAAGAGGGGTTTTGGACTGTGGGAACTTAATGACTCTAGTCTAATTTCTCACTTGAGTTCACCCCTCAGGCTCAGCCTGCCCTTCATGTTGCAACATAACCCTTTTTTGCAGTGGTCATTAAGTGAACGTGGAGGTCCTTAAGGGAATGCAATGGTCATTAAGCAAATGGACATGGATATGCCAAAAACTAGAAGTGCTGGTTTTTGGCAAAACCACTGTATAAAATGCAGTCATGTGACTGTAGGACACAGCAAAACGGCGGTAAAAGTGGCGGTGTTGCCAAAGTCATGTGACTGCAGAGGGGGGTCATCAAAATGTCAACTCTGAATTGTAAATCCCATTTTTCAGCTCAATTGTAACTTCAAACCCTGGTTAAGTGACTCATTATAAAGCCAAGGGCTACACGTATCCAAAACAGGGGGCTATATGCTTAAAACAAAGAAAGTGGCAACAGAACAGGTGATGGGCAACAAAGATTGCAATCCACCTGAAACACGATCCTCACCTGGAGAGAAGATATCTGGGTTAAACCGTATATCGAAGGATGTGTTACTGATGGAACCTACAGCTTTGCAGGCATTCTGAATCACTTCTCTGCTTTTGGGGTCCACTGTATGAGAAAAAAAAAAAAGGAAAAGATAGTTTTTGTGAAAGAAGGTCCAAGAAACATTTACAGACATTAAACTGAAAATCAAAGTGCATCCGCAAGCAGATAGTTCCCAAAATTTATGGCGTGATCCAATTTGAGAAAATTGTTGCTTTTTACGGACCTGCTGCAAAAAAAAAAGTAATACTGTAGACATGGGAAACACAAATTCTCTCAGTCCCAGGGCCCACGTGTTCCAACTGAATTAGGAATTGAAAGGCCCAGGATATAATTCTCCCCTCAGGCATCAAAGCACCTGATGAATTTGCACTTATTCCTCGTTCTCATTCCAAGAGGCTGTGGTGAATGACCTGGACTAGGAATAGAGACTCACATTTGTGTCCTGCCTTCAGTCATGGAAGCTCCCTGGGTGACTTTAGGCCAGGAATGGGCAACTATGGAAGCTTTACGACCTGTGGACTTCAATTCCTAGCATGGCTGGCTCAGGACTTCTGGGAGTTGAAGTTCACAGGTCATAAAGTTGCCATAGTTGCCACCCCCTCTTTAGGCCAATCTCTTAGTCATACTGAACTACATGCCTCTCTGTTTTCAGCTTGCCACATGCAGCCGTTGTGTTGTAGTGGGGAAGGTATCTCACTGGGAGTGAGAAGAACCCAGTTCTAGTCCCTCCCTCAGCCATGGAATCTCATAGAGCAACTTTGGGCCAGTCGTTCTCTTTCAACTCAACCTACCATGGGAGAATGGACTGCTATATATGCCACCTTGAGCTCCTGTATGAAAAACAGGGTGTAAATCTAAGCATCAGTAAAACCACCTAGTATGTGGAAATGGAGGATGCCAGAATGGATTCCCACCACAAGAGTCGATACCTGCTCCATCATCTGATGCGATGGTCTCTGTGAGCTCTTTCACCTGCTCTAGACCAGGAGTATTATCCTCCATCTTGTTGTCTTCTAGTACAGAGGTTTCCTTGTCTTCCACACCATTCTCTGGAAAAGTGGTAGGACTGCTGCCATTTCCCACCGAGGGGCTACTTGGCTTGTTAGCCTTTTGCTGCATTAATTGCAGAGCGGCCAACTTCATGAACATAAGATACCTGTTGTAGATGGGGAAAAAAGAAAAGAAGAAGAGCTGACTTGATCTGTAAAGATGGCGGAAGGAGCAGGCCATACTGAGGCATGAAGAATCCTGACCCTTTGGAGAACATTAGGAGCCTATAAGGACATCCCAGGAAAGGATGGAGCTACAAGGATTTGGATTATATGGTTTTGTAACTCTGCAAGATTTTAAGGATGGGAATAAGCATGACAGGATCCTTCCATCCCCCATAAAAAACACACAGACACACACAGACACACACTTTTTTGGGGTGGGGGAATGGAGAAGCCAGCTCAAAATCAAGCTGCAGATTTTTCCCCTTGACTTTGCTTGTCAGAAGGTTGCAGAAGGTGATCACATGACCCCGGGCCACTGCAATCGTCATAAATATGAGCCAACAGCCAAGTGTTCAAATTCTGATCATGTGACTATGGGGATGCTGCAACAGTCCTATGTGTGAAAAATGTTCACAAGTCAGTGCCATTTTAACTTTGATCATTAAATGATTGTTAAATCGAGGACTACCTGTACATTACTAATTAACTCTAGGAACCCTTGCATTTTTAAAAATGGCAGTAAGTTTGAAGTAAAATCTCCTTTTCCCTATGTCTGAATTCTGGGCCAGTTAGTAGGGATTTTGCTTCCACACAGTAACACAAACAGAAGTGTAGAAACAGCATAACTTTGCCGATTCTTCCACCTTTTAGACCCAGATTCCCTCCTCTGCTTAAAACAAGATATTCTTTGTCTTCCAACCTGTTTGTAACCCCTTTGCTCCATTGTTTGGTGTGGCTTTGCCTATGCTCACTGGAGCATGGGTTTGTTACCCCCTTGGGCCACTTCTCAGCTGCAATAGTAAGATTTTACTCTTTTAATATTTTACTGGAGCGACTGAAAAAAGCCGTTGTGAAGAAGACAGGAATGAATGGAGACACATTTCTGAAATTGGAGCCTTTTAATTGCCAATTTCACAAATGGATTTAAACAGCAGGGGTCTCCCACTCAAAAAAACCCCACCCACAAAATGGCTGCTGCAGCCATAAGAATGAAGCCACACCCCTTTTTAAGTGTGTCCAAAGGAGGCGTGGCTTTGGTCACATGGTTGCAGCTGGATTTTTCTGACCCAGCGCTAAGGATGCCCCTGTGAAAAGACACAGCACAATATGATGCAGCCGAGAAATCACATCCGATCTAGAGGATTGCTTGCTTGCTTACTAGTTTTTTTTAATCCACTTGTGCCAATTGAATTTAGAAAATTAATCTGTCACCTAATATTGAAACCAGGCATGCAGATGGACCTCAAAGATTTCAGCTTTCCTGATACTTTCGGGTGCACGAGAGACAGTTGAACATGCCCCGTCTTGTTCTTGAATTTTGCAAAAAGTATTGTGCTCAAATGTTCACAGTTACATTTTAAGGGCAGGTTTAAAATTATTTTAGTTTCCCAGACTTTTAAGGGATAGTTTTAAAAATATTGCTTCAAAAATACAAAATCACTGTTCTGTATATTGATTTATCTAAACATGGCTACTTTATTAAATAAACAACAGCCAATTTATATTCAGTTGCAGTGCCAGAATGTCTTTAATTTACGGGAAAAGTCATTTAAATAAACCTTGCTAGAGTAGACAACCAGGCTCAATTTGAGAAGATTAAGCTTAGAGCTTTGCAGAGGAAATTTTGCTAACAAATGAATATCTGCAGCCTTTATTTTTTGAAAAGCGTTATATATGAAAGGTGTCCATTTTTAAGAAACGCTGATTGAACTCAAATGTTGGCAATATATTTTGTACACTGCCTTTGGGAAAAGGTGTCAGGAAATCATATAACTTATATAAAAACATTTTTAATTATCAATTTTATATTTCCTCCCTTTGCTATGTAATTATAAATTTAACAATACACATAGGCAAAACCTATAAAATAATGTATTTCTGATGGGGTTTTCCCTCTTAGGTTTCTTTTTCATTATCTTTTGAGTTAATGACTTTAAAATTTAATTGCTTTGTGAGCTTCCAGGAAGCTTCAGCTGGTATTTAGGCAACGAACATTTTCGAAATAGAAATGCCCCCTTAAGATCTGTAAACAGTTAGCCTAACTATTGCACAATTAAGAAAGGTCCAAATGTATCCTAAACAAAACCTCAACTATAACCTGCAACTCCTAATCAAGGAGAATACAGGTAGTCCTCAAGTTACCACCACTCATTTAGCGACTGTTCAAAATTACAACAAAACTGAAAAAAGTGACTTGTGACTTCACACTTATGACCACTGCAGCATCCCCATGACCAAAATTCAGGCCCATGGCAACCAGCATATCTTTACAATAGTTGCAGCATTTTGGGATCACCTGATCATCATTTGCAACCTTCCCAGCCAATTACTGACAAGCAAAGACAATAGTGGAAGCTGGATTGCTTAAGGACTGCCTGATTATATTTAACAGCTGCAGAGATTAGCTTAATAACTGTTGCAAAGAAGGTCATAAAAATCAGCTGTGACTCTCTTAGCAACTGCCTTGCTTAGCAACGGAAAATCCTGTTCTCATTTGTGGTTGTAAGTCAAGCACTACCTGTAACTGGGTTCATAACAATAAACTAGGTTAAAATGAGATTGGGAGATTGAACATGTTGCACCAGCTACACATTGCTTTAAGCTATCATTTAGTTTATTTTGGGCGCAGCATGTTTGCTAGCCTAGATTCAAGGTTTGGGACATTAGGTAAACTCCATCAAAGAGTAACAAAGGCAATAGAAAACTCAAAGGATTCCTAAACCTTCTTCTACTCCGTTAATGTTGAAAAAAATGTCTTGGAGGTCCAACATGGCAAGTATGGAGTAAATTATTATTTATTATTTAGCTATTATATTTTTATTGCCTCTTCCCTCTGAGAACTCAAGGGAGGTCTTTCTTAATTTGATTTCTACAACATTTTTGAGAGGTAGGTCCAACAGAAATTCTGGTTATTTTCTGACAATGTGTTTAATATCTGAAATAACCCATTCTCAAGGTTTGTGCAATAGATGCACCCCTCAGCTAACAAAAATGACTGAATTCACACAACCTGCTAGGTCACCAAAGAACTGGGGTTAAGATAAGCCAGACATAGGATGCCGTGCGAATGCAACTGCTAGGTCTTAATCTGATTATTAATTAAGCTGAGTCTCCTTGCTGAATGGGGATCTGAAACTGGAATTCTTTGGTCTGTGTTCAATACCTTCACCTCACAAAACTGCACTGGTGCTGAAGTTGGCTGATGTCTTGAAGTTTTGTGGGGAACCCTGAGGGGTGGAAAGGAAACTACCAAGATATTAAACTGATTTTTTTCTTAAAATAAAATTGAAGGCTTCTGAAAAGTTGTGAAGAAAGCCTTGTGCCAACTAGCCTGAGGCCCCAATGGGGCTGTGGCACTCGGGCGGTGGCTGATAGAAAACACCTCAACACCTTCCTGTACGGCCTTTTCTCCCTCCCTCTCCTTCCTGCTTAGTTTCAATTTAATTGAATTTTGAACCTATGATCCTTATTTGCTTTAATGCAGGGGTGTCAAACTCAATTTCATTGAGGGCCACATCAGCATTGCGGTTGTCCTCGGGGAGGGGCGGGTAGGTGTGGCCAGGGTGGGCGTGGCCAGCTCTACACCATTCGTGTCAAGGGTCCCTGTGGGGGCCTGGGCAGGAGTGGGACAGATCTGAGGGTCTCTGGCAGAAGGGGGCGGGACCAGGGCAAGCGCCAAGGCATGGTCCACTGGAAGAGCCTGCCGAAACCCCTCCCCCGGAGCCCATCAAGCCGGATATGTGAAGTAGGCGAGGGCCATTTGCTGGCCACTTCCAGGCGATGGTGCATTTCTTCATTCCTCACAAAGGGTGACACCTCCCTAGCATGCACCCAGGGGGCGGGGCCGACGCGGCAGGGGCCGGTCCCTTGCTATTTCCAGATGGCCTTGTGGAGCTAAGACTGAATGCGTTTCAGCATAGATGGCCACCACACAATTGTACATTGGCTCCCGGCTGGCCTGGGCCAGGACCAAGGCAGCGGGGGCCGTTCCCTCACTGTTTCCAGGATGGCTTTGCAGGCCACATGAAACCAAGTCGCGGGCAGCATCCGGCCCCCGGGCCTTGTGTTTGACATGTCTGTTTTAATGTTTCATAGTGCAAATTAACTGAATGTCTATAATCCGCCTGGAGTTGCCTCTGACGAGCTGGGCGGCATGCAGGTTTAATTAATAATAAATAAATAGTGTTATCTATCCAAGCAAACAGTACAGGCAGTCCTCAAGTTACAACCATTCATTTAACGACCATTTGAAAAAAACTGACTTATAATTGTCTTTCACCCATGCAACGATTGCAGCATTCCCGCAGTCACGTGATCAAAATTAGGACGCTTGGCAACTGGAATGTATTTATGACGGTTGCAATGTCCCGGAGTCATGTGACCCCCCCCCCTCTTGCGACCTTCTGACAGGCAAAGTCAATGGGGAAGCCAGGTTCACTTAACAAGCATGGTACAGGTAGTCATCAACTTACAACCTCCACTGAGCCCAAAATTTCTGTTGCTAAGTGAGACATTTGGTAAGTGAGTTTTGCAGCGGTTAAGGGAATCACTGCAGTTGTTAAGTTAGTAACCCAGCTGTCAAGTGAATTTGGCTTCCTCGTTGACTTTGCTTGTCAGACGAGTCACAAAAGCTGAACACATCACCCCGGGACACCGCAACCGCCATAAGTACGAGTCAGTTGTCAAGCAGCTGAATTTTGATCACGTGACCATGGGAATGCTGCAACAGCTTAAATATGAAAAATGGTCATGAGTCGCTTTTTTCAATGACCTTGTAACTTTGAACACTCACTAAATGAACTGTTGTAAGTCGAGGACTACTTGTACTAACTTAACCGTAGTGATTCACTTAACAATTGTGGCAAGGAAGGTGGTAAAACGGGGCAAAACCCACTCATTCACTTAGTCTTGCTCAGACTAAATGGACATTTGGGGCTCGACTGCGGTCACCTGCAGTAAGATGGGAGCAAAACCAGGGAGCGAAAGAGAAAGAAATACCAAGGGGATTCACCTATGTTCCACAAAGGCGTCAACCAGTTCTTGCCGGAGACAACAAAGCTTGTGTCGATGCTGCTTGGGGAAGCCCATCTTCTGACATTCTTCGGGCATTTCTTCCCCCTCCATCGGTAGAAAATTCAGGTCGGGGGGAAAGGTGCGGAGCAAGTCAAGGATGTAATGGCGCCCGTCGTTGCCAATGATCCCTTTGCATTCCACAGATGAACATAACTCCACTTCCTCGCTCTTGTCGTTGAGGACCAGGTGCTTCTGGATCTTCAACGGGCGGCTGGTTTTCTCCAGCAGCTCCAGATACTTGGGGTGGGAGACAACTGTCTTGCCAAAGTCTATGGAGCCGTAGATGACGCTCTGTTCCTGCTCCCGTTCCAGAATGCCTGGAATGATGGACTGAGCTGTCACCCGGTACCCCCGGTAGTCCACCACCACTGTGCCCAGGGTGTATAGTCCTTCAATGTCCACAGCGTTGTATGTCCGGACCCCATTGAGGTCATTGGTTGGGGCCACGTAAGCAGCCACATCTCCTCCAAAGTCCTTATAGTGGTCCCGGACGTCAAAACCCAAGCTGAAGAAGATGTTGTTCCAGATAAACATCTGCATCTTGGTTTCCTCGCTCGGATTGATGGCCATCACGTTGCCATCAATGACTGCCATTGCGCCTCTGGTGGCCGCTGCGGTGAAGTCACTGTGAACCTGGGAAGGGCAAAACAATCAAATGATTACTAGATTACGAGACCAGTGACATTCCTTAATTTAGGCATGTCTAGTTTCCAAGTACTGGAAGTCCTCGACTTACAAAGTTTATTCGATGACTGTTCGAAGTTACAAGTTTCTTCTTTCTTTCTTTCCTTCCTTCCTTGCCCCCCTTCCTCCCTTCCTTCCCACCCTCCCCTTTTAATCTCAGTTTTATTTTTAAGCAACTCAAGGTGGCATATAGCCTTCTATTTTCCCTACAACAATCCTTTGTTTATACTGTGTTTTTGATTTATTTGCATTTATATGCTTGATTTTTTTCATTCTTTTAATTGTACATTTTAAAAAAACAACATTAAAAAAAGTAATTCTCCCAGGTATACCAAGATCACAATGAAAAGAGAAAAGCTTTTTCTTGGATTCCGCCCTGTCAAGCTACAGCATATAACACAGAAAATACTATCATGAAATAACATTTTGAAAAAGGGAACCTCATTTTAATTTTTCTTATTGTTTACATTCTAGGCCAGGGTAGGCAACCTTGACTCTTTTATGACTCGTGGACTTCAACTCCCAGAATTCCTGAGCCAGCATAGTCCACGAGTCATAAAAGAGCCAAAGTTGCCTACCCCTGTTCTAGGCCTCCAATATACAGATCCAGGGTCAGGAACTAGGGCCCTAACGCTAACTGAAGAAGACTAAATTGTTCACTGCATCAACAACAGGAATTTAGAAGCTGGTGTGATTCATCTAGCTCAGTGCTTTTCAATCTTGGCAACTGTAAGACGCATGGACTTCTAATCCCAGAATTCTGGCTGTGGATGAGCTTCTACTATACGTGTACTTCTACTGCTATGCTGGCTAGGGAATTCTGGGAGCTGAAGTCCACAAATCTTAAAGGTGCCAGTTGCCAAAGATGAGAAAGACTGAACTAGCTTAATTCTTCCTACAGCTAAAGCTGGTCACCTGGTGGCTTCCAGGTGTACGTAATTTCACCTTCCACCGATTCCAATCAGCATAGTCTGAGCAAGGTCTTGTAAAAGTTGCAACCCAGTGGTTTTAGGCTGCAAATTCTTGGCCTACCTTGACTAGTAGTAGCCATTACTATTCCCTTAAAGTCTTTCTGGAGACACTATTGACTGAACTTTGGACAAAGTAGCAGTTCTGATGCTAAGCTAGGATTCTGCTCTTTTGCTCTCAGTCAGGGTCTCAGTCAGACAGATTATTTGCATCTCCCATTATCTGCAATTTAACTAGGGAAGCTAAGGATTAACCTTATAACTTTTGGTGTGCCAAATTACAAACCACTAACCTTTGACCGCTAACTTATGATCTCTTTCTTAATGGGAATCTCAGGAGTTCGGGACTAAAACAGCCACAGTCCACCTCTTATGCAAGAAATATCCAGCCTTTTGCAATTTACCTTTGCTTTCAGCAATAGAGTGCTTATTTCAACCGACTTCTAGAAGGGGATTAGTCGTGTAAACTTTAATTATTGACCAAAGGAAATAAATTAATCTTGTAGGGCTGGCAATTCTCCTATTGTGTCTTGCCTTAAACCAGATTCCACGGTCTTGCTGAAAAGCAGCCTCACCAAACATCTGTCAAGTTTCCATTTCTAAGCACTGAGCACAAAAAATAAAATTTATCTTAGGTGTCATCCTTCCTGACAATAAGGACTAGAAACTTGTGATTGTGCTTTTTTGTTGTTGTCTCTGTCTGGACCTGTCTATTTCCCTGCAGGGTTTGAAATTTACCTTAAAGATCGCTCGTTCCCTCAACAACCTTTCCGGCAGATTTTTTCGTGGCAGTTCTCGGGTTGTCTGCAATTCCTCATTCCAATCTCTGGTCTGAAAGGAGATTAGAGAAGAGGCTAAATATATTAAATGCAAGCACACAAAGAAACCAACTTTCCAATCTTGGGCAGAAACACAGAAGACGGCAATCTGGTATTCTCTCTGGTTCACTGAATGCTTCTGGCTGTCTGAAACCACATTTCCCTTTTGAGCTGAGCTCTTGCATTTTATTCTATCATATTAACCAGGATTATCTGTGCCTTGCCAGTTCAAATGGATCAGGAAATGGTGGCTTCTCAGCAATAAAACCAGGCACGTGGCTCATTTGCAAGAGAAGAACTTGTGAGCTTTTAATTCGTTTTTTTTATTTATATAATCAAATTTAGAAAAAAAACCCATCTCACTCACAGAGCAACTTTTATTTTAAGAAAGCAGGAACTGATTTTTGCATCTATATTATTACCTTGTGTGTAAACATAATTTAGCAGCTCTTAAAATACTACAGTAAATTGTTTGAGTAATTTGAAGAGAGCGGGCATATGTCATTTAAATTCAATTTGCATTGATTTCTATAATTTGTATTATTGTAAATTGATAAATGACACAGATTAACAAAGATGAAAAAAATCCAGACTACATCAAAAACAACAAATGGTATGTTAAATGTGAACAGTATCCAAATGACAAATATATGCTAACTCAAGATCTATTAAAACAATGATTTATTGGGTGTGAATCATATAATATATTTTATTTGCTAAGCAATTTTAAAGGATCAGTGTTTTTTTTTTATAAAAAAAATAGGGTTTTAGACCCTAAAAAGGCTTCTCAAAGCATTTGACAAAATGGAAGGAGATATAACAAACACTTCAACAAAGACCTTAAAATGAAACTGAGCCGAATTACAAACTTAAATCATGCACTAAAAGCACCTTTCAAGACTGCAAAGAGCTGTTAAGGTGTATCACAATAAACAGATGAAATTGTTCAAAACAAAAATAGTTATTTCAGTATCGTAAAACTGTGGGCTTTTTTGTCTATGGAGATTCTCAATCACCCAGGTCATGTTGTCCCAAAGGTGCTTTTCAAAAAAGCAGTTGGACTTTCTTGTTTTTTTTTCCTTGAAAACTTTTCGCTTCTCAGCCAAGAAGCTTCTTCAGTTGATTGAATGGTGGGGAATAGAAGGATTTATATTCTTTGCAGTCATCTGGTCGTTAGTGCTCTGAAGGTCAGTTGTTAGCTCTCTGAGAGTCGTTGAGGCCTCTGGGAATTATCTGTACTCTCAGGGACATCTGAATCAGAGCACAAATGAGCGTGGACTACTGAAAAGACTAAGTTTAAACAAGAAGTGGTGTTGTATCCCTCCCCAATTCAATTTTCAGAGATATCCTCTTTGATCCCTCTGAGCTGTAGTGGCACAGTGATTAAACTGCAGTATTGCGGGCTAACTCTGCTGACTGCCTGCTGTTCGAGTCTCACTGGCTCAAGGCTGACTTGGCCTTCCATCTTTCCGAGGTCGGTAAAATGAGGATCTGGTTTGTTGGGAGCAATATGCTGCCTTTGTAAACCACTTAAGAGAGGATTGTAAAGCACTATGAAGTGGTATATAAGTCTTAAGTGGTATTGCTATTTCAAATCAGAGGCCTTCTCTGTCCAGAATGTGGACTTTGCTGAAGAATGACCTTTGTATTTCGCATGCAGATGGACTGCTGAATCCTATCCTCGTGGGTTTGTTCTTTTGTGCTGTGACATAGGCTTGTGAAGTTATTGTTTTGTTTCCCCAATATATAATCTGCATGTGTTTCACTGCATTGTAGTGCATATACAACATTGCTCAGTTTGTGTCTGGCTGTTTTATTCTGGGGGTGGACGAGCTTCTGCCTTAATGTTTTCTTGGATTTAAAGTGTGCACGCATGTTGTGTTGGTTAAAAATACTCCTAAGCTTTTTGGATATTCCTGCAACATATGGAGTGACAACATGGTTTTGTTGTTCTCTTCTCTGTTATGGAGGAACTCCTGTTGGATCTTTTGGTGATATAAGAATCTGCCTAGAGCAGGGGTAGGCAACCTTGGCTCTTTTGTGACTCGTGGACTTCAACTCCCAGAATTTCTGAGCCAGCCATGCTGAGGGGAAAGGGAAAGGTTTCCAAGCTGAGCCATGCTGGCTCAGGAATTCTGGGAGTTGAAGTCCAAGAGTCATAAAAGAGCCAAGGTTGCCTATCCCTGGCCTAGAGGTTATCAGCTTTCCTTTGATGTTTGGTTCTCAAAATAAGATTTTTTTCCCAGGAGACTTAAAAGGTGCCTCATGGACAGTAAGAATTAATGGAATATAGAGACCCCCTGTAAAAGCAAATGAAGAAATCCACAAAGCCCAGTGTGTCTTTATACCTGTCCTGGGATATGTTCTTCGTAGCCCAGTCTAGAGGTGTACGCATCTTCTGCTCTTACACAATCCATGACATGTTCTGCTAGAGGAGCTGTCCACGTGTATACTTGGAAGGGGGTGGATATTCTCTCTAGTGGGTGCCTCTGGACCCTGGTTTGAAATAAAATGAAACACAGTGATTAGTACTGCTCCTCTTCTAAAATACAAGTCTACAAATTCCAAACTAAGATTAACATATTTTTAAAAAATGGAATTAAAAGTTGTGGGTCTCATTCTTTCTAAAGTTCGAAGTCCCTTTAAATCCAAGCATCTCCAGTAACTCTGCTGACTGTGAGGTTCCTCTTTTACAAAACCTGCTGTTTTTTCCTTTACTATTGTACCTACTTTGCACTTTATATTGCACAAAACTCAGCAGATTACAAATAATACATCCGTATTGTGAAACAACATAAAGTTCAAGTTAAAGCTTTAAATCACTACTGTGGGGCCTATTTCAGGTTTGTTCCAGCCTCGTCTTATTATATGAGGAGGGGGCCATATTTTTATCTCCCACACTATGGATGTTTTGTTTTAGTTTATTGTGGAAGTTCTTACTGTACTTGATTTTGTTGTATGCCATCAAGAACCCAGACGATTCAGCAGCATACATGTTTAAATAATAATAACTCTCCAGCTAGGCTTTTTCTGTGTGGGTTTTGAAATGAGATGTTAAGTATTTACACTGTTGTTTTAAAAAAATGTTATTTGCTTTGGGTGCTCTACTAGCAAAAAGCAAGAATTACAAACAAATAGGAAAAAATAAACAGACAGCCAGTTTCAGTAAGATACTGGCCTAGATACCAGGAAATGAGTTCTAATCCCACCTTAGGCATGAAAACTGGTTGGGTGACTTTGAGCTAGTCACTCTCTCTTAACCCAGCCCACCTCATAGGGTTGTTGTTGTGGGGAAAATAAAAGAAGGAAGGAGTAACAAGTATGTTCACTGCCTTGAGTTACTTTTGAAGCAATAAAGGCAGGATAAACATCTAATAAATAAATAAATAACAGATGGTGCATCCTTAAAATGCTTGTAACACAAAGAATGAAAAGGAAACAACAAATGAAAAAATGATCCTCAGCTGGAATGTAGAAAGGGTACATGTATGTGTGTGGGGGGGGGGAGGGAGAGAAAGAGAGAGACTATAAAAGGCTAATAGAGAAAAAATACCGTTTCTTCTGCAGAGCTGCAAAATTCCTTTTGAAAGTTGGGCTAATTTGGTTCAGGAGCTCTACCAGGGAATGGCTGAGGAAGCTGGGATTAGCTGGCTTAGGGCTGAAGTTATAAGCTGTGGACCTGTGAGGAACAAAGATGAAGACATTTAGTGGCAATGCCACGGCTAGTAACAGCCTAAACTTTATCCAGGCAAAATGAGAAAAACAGCCACCAAGTCATTCAGCAAACCAGAAGTCAACCCCAGATTTGATTCTGGATGTAACAGGCCAGTTATGTGGCATTTGATCAACTCAACTTTTCAACTCAAACTTTTCTCATGGGGAACAGGATCCCACTAATCTGCTTTTGATTGTCAATTTGACCTGTGTAAAGAAGTGTTACATTGCATAGCTTGGAATGTCCAAGATTCAAGAGGAACATCCCATTTCCCCCAAAAAGAGATCCACGGTCAACACTCCTTGGGCTCGAAGCCTCCTCAGTCCCCTGGCTCTTTGAGTAGTCCATGCCATATGAATGGGCAGGCTCTATTATGCTTGTATGTCATGACGGTCATAAAATGGATCAGTCACAATTCTGGGGCAAATGCAGCAGTCATAAAGTGAATGCAACAATTATTAAGCGAATGTTAAAAGTTGTTAAGCAAACCAATGGTTCACTAGGGGAATGGTTTTGTCAAAAAGTGGAAGTATCAGTTTTCGGCCAAACCATTGTAAAACAGGGTCATGTGAACAAGGGACGCTGCAAATGGCAATAAACAGGTCCATGTTTGCCAAGCGCCTGAAGTCCGGTCGTGTGACTGGGGAGAGGGTCTGACTGTTGGAACTTCGAATCTGGGTTGTAAGTCACCATTTTCGGGTTGATTGTAATTTGGAAGAGTTGCTAAGCAACAGGTTGTAAGTCTAGGACTACCGGTGTGTCAAAAATTGGTGCTCTCTTTGCCTGCCCTTTTTCTCTACTTGGTGGTACAAAGATGATGGTACAGGATCCCTCAGCATTCATTTTGTTGCTCAAGTTCCAACTGGGACCAAAGTGGGGGCTAGTTTAAAGCAGTGGTCTCCAACCTTTCCAGGCTCATGGCCCAGAGGGAAGGAGAGCAGCTTCAAAACTGGTGTGCATGCGCACACAAATGGGGCCATGCGCACTGGTGCGACACTAGCAGCCCCATTTGCACATGCAGCATGTGCTGGTGACATGCGCATATGCAAACGGCCGTGTACCCCCTTGCAGGGGCTAGCAGCCCCATTCACGCATGCACAAATGGCTGTGCAACCCGCCCAGTGCTAGTGGCCCCATTCGCGCCCACACGCAAACAGGACTGCAGGTACTAGTGAGAGTGGGGGGAAATGCGCACTTATGCGTGCGCACACCAACCAGCCATCTCCGTGGCCCGCTGGCCAAGAGCTTGCAGCCCAGGACTGGGCTGCAGCCCATAGGTTGGCGACCCCTGGTTTAAAGGTCAAAATAGGTGTCTTTGGTATTGCAGAAACCCATTTTACTGCTTAAAATGCCTTAATTTTTTTCCCCCAAAAAAGATCACCCAAACCCTGCCCTCTTTTGGAGCACTGTCCTTTTCGTGCAGCCCTCATATCTCTGTCAATGAAGAGCAGTTTGGTGATATAAGCAACAGCATTATGATTAGAACAGAGGAACAACAGAAATGCCACTGGATCTTCCAAATTCAAATAAAAAAATGGTAATCATCAGAAATGGTAAATTCTATCCACAGTGTGAACTTAATGCAAGGTCCTACAGCCTGTCTCCCAAAATCAAGGAGAAGTCATTTGCTCAAAGCACAGATGTGCACCCAAAAAAGAGACATATGCAGACTGTCCCAAAAATGGAGCTGAGCCCAAAATAAGGCTCTGAAACACCAGCATCAAAATGAACCATATGGCATTTGACAAGGGAACCGAGAAAAAAGCCAGATATTTAGCTACTTACTGATTGAGGTAGAAACCTCGGGTGGATGCGGTAATGCTGACATGTCGATCTTCTACCGTGATGACATTCAAGTACATGAGATCTCCGTGCATCTTGCGATTGCCAGGTGGTGGATTCCAGCCACTCATAGTTAGGACTTTTAGGCACTGCAGAGGCTTGAGGAGTTATGGGCAGAGATCAAAGAGAGAAAATTGAAAGGTGAGCAAGAGCCACAGATCTACATTCCCTCTTGGGAGTGACAAAAAAAGAAAAAAAAAAGCACCATGTAAACAATTTAGATAATCAATCAATCAATGGCTTTGTAGTTTCTCTCTCCTTTTGGTATAATAATAGTTTAATAACTCAAGGATCTGCATTCCAGACATATTCTGAATTAAAATGATAAATTCCAAAGCTCTCAGTTGGTATGTTACGCCTTACATGGAGACAGCTGCAAGAATTTCTATACATTCCCAAATTATTTTTGTCTCCACTTGTCTTTCTGTTCTCAATCGTTTCCAAAGCCTCAAATTTTAGACCAGTGTTTCTCAACCTTGGCAACTTTAAGACACACAGACTCCAACTCCCAGAATGTGGAGTTTGTGGCCTTTGATATTATTTTGCATTTTATCAGAGCACAATATTTTGAGACAGCGATTGGGTAGGTTTATTCATTTCCCTAAACCAGGGGTAGTCAACCTTGGCTCTTTTATGACTCGTGGACTTCAATTCCCAGAATTCCTGAGCCAGCTTAGCTGGCTCAGGAATTCTGGGAGATGAAGTCCACGAGTCATAAAAGAGCCAAGGTTGACTACCCCTGCCCTAAACCATTATTTAATTGGCATGAAGAGGTTCAGTCACATCACATATGTTCACCTAGAGTTTACAAACTACAAATTCCATGTAGTCTTCGACTTATACACTTTATTTAGGGACTGTTCCAAGTTACAACGGTACTAAAAACAGTGACTTATGACCGGTCCTCACATCTATGATTGTTGTAGCATCTCGAGTCACATGATCAAAATTTGACTGCTTAGCAACCAGATATATTTATGACAGTTGCAGCGTCCGAGGGTTATGTGATTGCCACTTGTGACCTTCCCAGCTGGCTTCTGACAAGCATAGACAATGAAGGAAGCCAGATTTGCTTAATGACCAAGTGATCCACTTAACTGCAGTGAATCGTGGGAAGAAAGATCATAGAATTGGATGTGACTCGCTTAATAACTGCATCGATTAGCAATGGAAATTCTGGTTCCAATTGTAGTCATAATTCAAGGACTATCTGCCTATTATATTTAGTGCAATGGAATAAACCACTCTCTCTCTTGACTGTTGCCACTGTGTTTATGATATCCTTCACGTAGTCTTGGGGGTATCTTAGCAGAAAAGTGTAAGAGGGACTCAACTCTGGACTTTGTTCCTTCTAGTGACCGATTGCAGAAGAATAATTAACAGCCTGTTTTATGGGAAGGTACTTGGGATTCAGAAAATTGTTAACCCATAATATTTCCATGAAACACACTTGGGATCTTTTGTCCTGCAGTAAAATCCAGATTTTTTTTTCCCTAGGATGGGAAATGGGCAGAATCACAGAGGCAACCAGAAAAAGATGAGGATTTGGAAGAAAGCGATTCCCACAAAACCTCCAAAAAGTGACACTCCTAAAATTGATCTGCATCTCCAACTAAAAAGAGAAAGGTTCTAGGGTTGCAGAAAGAGATCTGAACTTGAAATGACTTTGATGCAAACAAAACTCTGCTCTTTGTTCCATGCAGCTGCTTCTCATTGAGGAGGCATTTTGCAATTGGAGCCGTTCACACTTGAAATGTTTCCTGTATCATTATTTCTTCCTCTGCTACCATGCCAGATTTCCAGAAGTAAGAAGCATTTGCTCTGGGAAGCTTTGTGGTTGTTGTTGTTAGTTGCGAAGTCGTGTCCAACCCATCGCAACCCCATGGATAACGTTCCTCCAGGCCTTCCTGTCCTCTACCATCTTCTGGAGTCCATTTAAGCTCACACCTACTGCTTCAGTGACTCCATCCAGCCACCTCCTTCTCTGTCATCCCCTTCTTCTTTTGCCCTCAATCTTTCCCAGCATTAGGCTCTTCTCCAGTGAGTCCTTCCTTCTCATTAGATGGCCAAAGTACTTGAGTTTCAACTTCAGGATCTGGCCTTCTAAAGAACAGTCAGGGTTGAACTCCTCTAGGACTGATCACCTTGCAGTCCAGGGGACTCGCAGGAGTTTTCTCCAGCACCATAGTTCAAAGGCCTCCATTCTTTTGCGCTCGGCCTTTCTTATGGTCCAAGCTTTGGGGTATTCATGCAGTTTCTTCTTGCTGGGAAATCCTTGTAAGGTCCAGCAGCCGGAATACACTTTGTATGCAGTGGGTCTTAAGGTCGGTGCAAACCAGCTGCAAGCTGGACTCGGAAAAATCCTTATCCAAGACCAAGACAAGTTGTTATGATTTGACAGGCAATTGTGAACCGGCTGACAAATGACCTGCCTTGGTACAAGAAGCACTTACTTAACGATGGTAATCAGGGCTGGGAATTCTGTCATTAAGAGATGCGGATGTACGGCACAACATCACATGACCATGCCAACTTATGACAGCAGTCCTGGCTGTCTTAAGATGCTGTTTGTGGATGAATGCTTTGTAGTTGCAGCATCCCACAATCACATGATCACCATCTACAGCCTCCTGCCACTTTCCTGTGGACCCTGCTTGTTGGAAGCCAGTAGCGAAAGTCTCCAATGGTCATCCCATGACTGCGGGACGCTGTGACTATCATAATTTAGAACAAGTTGCCACTTGCCCAGATCACATGATTGTGGAGCTGCTGCGATGGCCACAACTATGAGGACTGGTCATAAATCTCCCTCATTCAGTTCCCCTTATAACTGAACGTTCACCAAATGAGTGTAGTAGTGGCAATGTGGAAAACCATTGTTATTTCTAGGAATTTAGTCACATATTTTGATTTCTCCTTCAAGTTTAAAGTCTAGAGCAGGGGTAGGCAACTTTGGCTCTTTTGTGGACTTCAACTTCCAGAATTCCTGAGCCGGCATGGCTCAGCATGGAAGCCTCTCCCTTTCTCCTCAGCATGGCTGGCTCAGGAATTCTGGGAGTTGAAGTCCACGAGTCATAAAAGAGCCAAGGTTGCCTACCTCTGGTCTAGACGTTTAGAGCTCATTCTGAGCTAATTGCTTTCTTTATTCTTGTTTATTAAATAAAGGAGGAGGAGCTTTCATGCAGTGAAAAAGCTTTCCTTACTGTGAAAGTCTCAGATTTTTGATTCCCATCCCAGAATCATGTGCAAGCCAGCCAGCCATGGGCAGGTCTTGCAGTCTCCTGACCATAACAGGGCCACGAGGTCATGGTGCCTGGTTTTGATAAAAACCTTGGGGTGGTTGTTATTCTCCCTGGGGAGCTTCTGCACGGAGCCTAGCTCTGGATGTTGAGGAAAGTGGCCATCCTTGGAAATATCTCTGCTTTCATTATTAAGGAGCTCCTTATAAGAGATTGAGATCTCAACTTTCTCCGTATATATGCTTTCATGTTTTTAAATCCATTTGATTGAGGTAATAATGAAGCTTAAAATCCCTTTATTTACTGATGCGCTTATTGTCTCTGGATCCAAAAGAACAAATTGCCTGGACATCCAATCACCCCCCTGACCCTGGCAAAACAATGAATGGTCACTAAACAAGGATTACTTTCTGTATGAAAATTGTTTCCTGTATTTTTCAGACGGAAAATGAATTGCGCGTCCGGAGGATGGGTTATCTGGATTTCTACTTTCATTTTACTCTGTCTCTCTCCCTCCCTCTCCCTCAGCAAATGATATACCAGTGGTGGCAAACCTCTGGCACGGGTGCCAGAGGTGGCACTCAGAGCCCTCTCTGTGGGCACACGCGTCATCGCCCCAGTCCTAGGCCTTCAGCTGGGTTTTATAAAACCTTTTTGCTTTAAGCCTCCACTGCCATGTGCAAAAAAAAAAAAAAAAGGTTCAATCAGTCAATTTCAACTTCTCAAGGGAAAAAAAAGTTCTTGCAAAGTTAGAATTGATTGATTGAACTTTTTAGTCCCACCCAGTCTGCCGTTACCACTGCAGCCACGCCCACCCAATGGGCCACACCCACCCGGCACTTGACGATGCATAGGTGGGTTTTGGGTTGTAGTTTGGGCACTCGGTCTCTAAAAGGTTCGCCATCACTGTGTGATATACTGTACAATACACAGAAATAACATTACTGTATGGAATGGTCCTTTGGAATTTATATAGGAAATGCTTCTGGCCAAGCAATGCCTGCCTCTTTGTGGGCTTCCTTGGCATGGAATACTGAAAAAGGTGGGGTTTATCTGGGAGGAGACAGGAGAGTGGAAGCAGGCATTCTGAACAAGTGCTGGAAGTGACGACCAGCTTTCCTACTTGCAGATCTACGGATGCTACCTTCCATTCTCGGTTCTGAGGCTGAAGAGGGCAGAGCGGCCTCTCTTTGCTTCCGGGTAAGATGTGCTCAGGAGGGGTGCAGTCAATCTGCTCCATTTCTGTACCCTTCTTCTTCCGCTTGCCGCTGTCTAGAATTAAAACATGGGGGGGAGATTAAAAAAAAAAAGTATTAGCATTATCAGGGTAGGTCCAGCAGGTGAACTTAAGAAAAGAGGACAAATGACTTCATCTTGTCATCCGTGGCCCAATTCACACTTCCAAGGAGAGACCATGAGGACTGGAAAGTTGGCCCTCACAAAGAAAAGGGAGAAAACCTTCATTCTCTGATACAGATAGTCCTCAGCTTATGACTTACAACTTAACAACTGTTGGCAGTTGGGACAGACCTCCCCATCCCAATAGCTACTTATCACGAGTTTTCAAAATTATAGCTGCTGCAGCACCACTGCAATCATATGAACAAAGTTGAGCTACATTCGCCCTTACGACCAACCCCAGGGACACTGCAGCACCCCAACCAGCTAGGTCCCCGCAAGTAGGGCAGGAAGCAGAGCATGGGATGCCTCATTGCTTGGATATCTCTACCAGCAGTTTTAGACCTGTACTTGAATCAATTCTGTTAAGCAGTGCTTTGCATAGTCTCAAAATCAACCTCTCCATGAAAAAGGTCTCTATATGCGGACACGGCTTTTATTGAAAGGACAAATAAGTCACTTAGAAACGTAGAAAACTAACAGCAGCAAAAGACCTAGTGGTCCATTGAATCTGCCCTTTGAGGTTTTTTATTTTTATTTTTTTATTTTTTGTTGGATGGCAGACATGTGTTTATACCAAGCATGTCTAAATTTGATGCCTTAAATGCTACTGAATGTATTACTGCATAAATCAGAGATCAGCAACCCACCATATCACAGGAGTACAATGGACATCACCATCGCTGTCGTCTGCAAGCCTTCCAAATTAAATGGGAATTTAAGGTGTCATTTTTTTTTAATGTAAAAGAAAACCACTCAAAACAAGTTGCACCCGATTCTGGCATTCCTTGGCAAGATTTGCGAGGTTGGGAAGAATTTGGGGGAGGCCCTCAAGGGTGGTGATATGATGCTACTTGCAGCCTATATCCATCATAATTTTTCACGGATTATCGATAAAACCTAATTTTGATAATAAATTTTTGCCGACTTGGTTGTTAAAAGAGGTTTAAGGTGGTTACGCTTTTAGAACTGGTAAGAATTTAAAGTCAGCCAAAATTTGCAAAATTAATTTTAAACAGCTTTGGCTGATGAAGTTATACAAAAACTATCCTTACAAGGGTACGACGCACATATGCAGCCTGGAAAGCTACTGAATGCTTCTGCCTTAGGCTCGCCTTCTCTACGAGCCACATCAGAAGGAACTGCATCAAAACCCCAATGGCTCAGGACTAAGCAAGATAATTCCTCTCAGTAGAGAAGTATCCATTTCTCAATACCTCCAAGGTCCCCATCGGTGAAGACACTGAGGAATGACAGTGAGTTGCAGTCAACACCATTGAAGGCATCTGATGGATCAAGGCTCTTGAGGAGATCACGGACATGACGGACGTGTATCCGAGCTTCTCGAACTGTATATGGCTCTAGGAATGCAGAAGAGTAGACAAAAGTTAAAAAAAGAAAACAAAAACTCATTACAGGTAGTCCTCAACTTACAGAAGGTTGCTTAGCAAACATTCAAAGTTAAGACAGACCTCCCCAAAAGGTACTTATGATCGAGCTCCGAAGTTCTGATGGCCAGCTCCCACCCCGCTGATCATGTGACTGCATTCGGGTGCTTGGCAACTGGCCCACATTTACAGTCATTTGCAGTGTCCCACTGTTATGGGACTGTGATTTACGATGATCTGGGCAAAAACCTCCCAAAGCGAACAATGTGTTCGCTTAACAACCCACAGTGTTCGTTTAATGATCGCCATAAAAAAAATCATAAAATTGGGGCAGTTGTGTGATGACCCACTTTACAACTGTTACCATTTATTACTGTAGTTGGCAGGCTCCATCATAGTCTTAAATCAAGGACGATCTGTATTCAGCTCTCTTGTTTCTTTATTACACTAATTCCCAATCTTTCTACTCACATTAAAAAAAACATGACATATAATACCTGAAACTAAAATGCAATATTCAAAAGAAACATTAAAATGGATAATATTAAAAATGTTGGGTGCATCAGCTTCAACTGAGCAACAACTAAAGCTGATACACCACCTAATGTTGTAAGTTACAAATACAAACTACTACTACTACTGATGATGATGATGTTGGAAGGGACCTTGGAGGTCTTCTAGTCCAACCCCCTGCTCAGGCAGGAAACCCTATACCATTACAGATAAATGGCTGTCAAGTCTCTTCTTAAAAACTTCCAGTGTTGGAGCATTCACCACTTCTGGAGGCAGGTTGTTCCACTGGTTAATTGTTCTAACTGTCAGGAGATTTCTCCTTAGTTCTAGGTTGCTTCTCTCTTTGGTTAATTTCCATCCGTTGTTTCTTGTCCTGCCTTCAGGCGCTTTGGAGAATAACTTGACTCCCTCTTCTTTGTGGCAACCCCTGAGATATTGGAACACTGCTAGAACAAATCCATATTCTGCATGGATTTATTTAATACTTAAAAACTATTGCAAATGCCACTTTAAGCTGCTGGACTCTAAGAAATGCAATGTTTCCTTTTGTTGTGTTCTTTTCACATTTTCTTTTCCTGAGTCTTACATATCTTTAAGACTTTTCTTGATCAATTCCATCTTTTGAAAATCAAGAAGAACATCTACATCAGTGGTTCTCAACCTGTGGGTCGGGACCCCATTTGGGGTCGAATGACCATTTCACAGGGGTCACCAAACAACGCAGTCCGCCATTTTTTCCCCCCTTTTCCTTAGCTGTGCTACTCCCTTTTATTCTATTGGCTTTTGAAAGCCAATAGAATAGACTCTCTTGAATAGAGTCTAATTCTATTGGCTTTCAAAAGCCAATAGGAATTGTCCAGGCTGTCTCTGCCCTGCTGAGCCCAGCAAAAGTCCCATTCTGCAAACGGTGCTGCACCAGTTGAGTGGTCCTCGACCTACGACCGGTTGAGTAGTCCTCAACTTATGACCGGTTGGAGGTCACGGCATTAAAAAGGTTGAGAACCACTGATCTACATGCTGGAGCCCCGATACCAAATGTTATAGCAACCTCCTTTAAAATGGCCCATCCAGGTACACCAGATCCCCTAAAATTCCAAGCCAACATGTTTGGAATCAATGAGCTCTGGAGCCAATATCCAGAGATAAATGGGTAGTTGGATTCCTAGGAAGGACCTTTCTTTCCATGTATCGTGCCCTAGATAGCAACTCTTGCCTTCAACTACTCCTTATATATCAGTTCTTACCTTCAACTACCTTCAATACTGAATCTTCTTGTAAGCCTTCAATGGTCTTCAATTCAGCAAAGTTATCAAGAACATTGCCATCTAACTGCAGAGAGAAACATGTTCGGTGACAGGTATCCTCGCGATCCATCAAAACCTGGTGGATCTCCTGAACCATCTCTTGGGGGGACACCTGGCAGAGCAGGGGACAGACGAGAGAAGAGAGGGTCACAACTGTCCTCAGTTTTCCTTTAGGATTTCTACAGGGCATGTGAAAAGTGTTTTCAAAATATACAATGCAGGCATTCAAAGCAAAACACACATTGAAATCAGATCTTCTCTACAAAAGTGAAGGATAAAACTTAATCCAAGCTTAAGAAAACTACGGGTAAGCAAATTACTAAACTAGTGTTTCTCAACCTTAGCAACTTTAAGATATGTGGACATCAAGCCCCAAATTCCTCAGCCACTTGCCTGAATAATAAATTTCTTGGAGAAAAGGTGAAATATTTAAATAAAATACTTTTTTTAAAAGCAACTGTCAAAAAAAAGCTAAGGAATAATCACATTAATTCAGAAAGCAGAAACAGGAGGAGATATGGTCTTTATCTCAAATCCTACAGAAGAGGAAGAATTCTAAATGCAGATAACAAGGATATGATTCCTTCTGTAAATGATGATCCACAGCTTTTGGATCAGGAAAATATAGTGGAGAAGAATAAGTAAGATGACTTGATTTGGCTCCTCTGGACATTCAACAAAATGTACTGGTCTGACTTGGATCACACATTTTGCTCCATCAGGAGTTGGAAACAAATCCACTGGCCATAAATTAAAGTTAAAAAGTTAACTAAAATGGTGCTTATGGGAGACCATGCAATAGTTTGGCCCACAAAATACTTAAACTCTGCAAAGTTACACAATGGCTTTAAAAAGTGTCCGGCTCTCCTCCTAAACTAATATAGTTTGTTTAGTTTTGCCTATAATGTTATAGAGACTTGGCTGTTATGGTTTTATAGCTTCATATGTTGATGGACCTAGTCAACTGTGGCTTGTTAAATAAACCATGGTATAACACAATGTGTGAACAAGCTCTCTGAAAGAATGGATATTGTGTGTCTGCGTGTGTGTGTATGCATGTGTGCCTTTTAGACAGTGTTAACTTCTGACAACCGACTGGATTAGTCCCTACAGTTTTCTTGGCAAAGTTTCAGAAGTGGTTTTCCATTGCCTGCTTCCGAGGACTGAGAAAGAGTGACTGGCTCAAGATTCCCCAGTTGGCTTTAGCCTAAAACAGGACTGGAACTCAGAGTCTCCTGGTTTCTGGCCTGGTGCCTTAACCACTACTCCAAACTGGCTCTCTTCAGAATGGTCTACACTAGTGTTTTTCAACTTTTAGGACATGTGGACTTCGACTCCCAGAATTCCCCAGCCAGCATGTTTGTGTATGCCTCAATCTTTCCTCTGAAGCCTAGTGTATAGAAAATCCTCAACATGTCACACCACCCAAATGCAGCCTTTCTTGTTTTTTTTCTAATAAAATGCATTCAATCAGTTCCAACATCGCTCTAGAAGAATTTAACCTGGGAGAGAATTATTTACTCTCTTGCTCACTTATCTGAACTTTGACCAAACTGCAGAAGATTGTGTAATCAGAACTGTCAAAGAAGCCAACGTCTGCAGAAGCCCAAACTTTTCAGATTGTTTATAGTCCTTAAAAGAGGAAAAAGATGAAAGCAAAGTGTGGATTTGGCAGGATTACTGAGTGACCCAGAAGGGGGATTGTGTATTTAATGGCCCACCATACCATGGGTGGAATACATTTTCATACATTTTCTCTGAAGAATACCTGAAAAAATTAAATAGAAGCTTACTTTAGGAGAAAGCTAAATAGAACTGAAGAAGCTTCTTGAAGGAGAAGTGAAAGGTTTTCAAAAAAAGAAAAAAAACCCAAGAAAGTCCAGTTGCCTTTTAGAAAAAGCACCTTTGGAACAACCAGGACCTAGATGATTTGAGAATCTCCATAGAACAGGGGTAGGCAACCCTGGCTCTTTTATGACTTCATGGACTTCAACTCCCAGAATTCTGGGAATTGAAGTCCATGAGTCATAAAAGAGCCAGGGTTGCCTACCCCTGCCATAGACAAACAGAGCTTCATTTATTCTGCAATTACTCCATCTGGAACCGCAAGTAGCCATGCAACAAATTTAAAACCTAGCTCTGGATCAATTCAGAATCTCATCTCAAGTGAGATTTCAGGCTAGAAAATGCCAATGTATCTGGCTAAGAAATCTAGCATCTGCAGTTCCTACACATCTGGAGGGTACTAGGATGGGGAAGACGAATCTGAGGCAATAACTGCTAAGTCGACTGGCAGATGATTCATCAGGATTTGGGACTTGCCAAGAAAGTTAGACCAAATGGCTTTGCAGAAATACTCACTTGTAGGGGAAAGGGTTCTACTGCGGGGGCATGGACTTTGACTGTGAAACCAGTATCCTGGATGACGATGACCTCTTGGTCGTCTGTATGGTTTGGATCTTCGTGGTCATTTTGTCTGATCTCCTCCTTGCCGTTCTCGTGCAAACTGTCCCCGTTCATCAGAGCGGTGGTGGAAGGGTGCACTTCTGGTCATGGGAAAGGAGAAGATGGTTTATAGCTATCTGGAGCCTCGAACAGCACTAGTGCAAATTGCCCATAGCAATGAACTGTGTCAATTTTATAACCTGTGGACTTCAAGTCCCAGAATTCCTGGGAATTAAAGTCCACAGGTCATAAAAGTGACATAGGTGCCCATCCTTGCTTTAGACCAGGGGTCCCCAACCCCCGTTCGGTGGACCAGCACTGAGCCACAGTATACCAGCAACTGGGCCGCGCAAACAAGTGAAGCCCCATCTGCGGGATGCACGCAGCACACAAAACCACGCTCCCTCTGGTCCACAGAAAAACCTCTGTCCACGGAACCAGTCCCCGCTGCCCAAACTGCTTTAGACCATGCCCTCATGACTGTCATGTGGAAAGGATGCCCTAAAGCAGTGGTTCTCAAAACATTTTGATCTCAGGACCCTTTGTCAAATGTGAAAGATCAGGTCCACACATGAAGGTCCAATTAAACCGATTTATTGCTAAATAGCCGATACACAGGAGTCTTCTCAATTAATGATTAGCATCTGCTTGGAGTTAGCTAATGGTCCATGGGATTCAAGGGAGCTTGAATTTAATCCACTTGTGGCTATGTAGGGATTTTAGGTCGATTCCTCTTTTGACTCCGCCCCCTACCACTCCTTCTCCTAACACCCTTCATGTTCTTAAAAATGCTTGAGCACCCGACAGAATTCTGGTTTATGCAGATTACATCTATCAATATTTATGGTATTAGAAATTAACTCTTGGGGTATTTTAAAATATTTGACTTCGTGGACCCCATGAAAAGTTCTGGGGACCTCTGAGACCACACTCTCAGAATGGCTGCCCTAAAACATTTGAGAGGGAAAAAAAACCCTTTATTTTATCTGTTACATTAACACATTCAATTTCAGAGAACATTTTCTTTAGTTCTGCTAGCCTAATAATAAAAAAAAGCTTATTTGAAATTGTTCTAGTCATGAGAATGATTACAATAATTTGTTTTCTAAGTTATCTGGACATTTACCAGAAGGTTATGATCTACCTTCTGCCCTCTTCAAGCAAAGCCTTTGGAGTATATGGAAAACACATTTAAATCTATCTAATAAATGAATCTATCTACACAATGAATGATCACTGCCAAATTTCTTAGACAGGTACAAATAACCGCAAACATTTATAGGATTTAAGCGACCTGACCCAGCTTGAATAATACCCACTATACTACGCTACCTCTCAGATCAGCAGGTAGTGCTCAGAAATTTTGTGGGAACACAGAAGGACTAATTGTGCCCTTTCCTAAAGCAGCTCAGGATTTGAGATTCTTGCCTCTAGGTCAGACATGTCAAACTCGTGACGTCACGTGACGTTATGCAACGTATCGGAACTTTTTCCCCATTGCCGGCAATGAGCTAAACACGGTTTCATTGTGATGCATCCGGCCCATAGGCCGGCAATTTGACACCACTGCTCTAGGTCAACATGAGGTCATACTGGGGTGTAATTTGAGTGGGAAGGAGGAAGGAAGAAAGGATGGGGAGGAAGAAGAGGAGGAGGAGGAAGAGGAGAAGAAGGGAGATGGGAGGAGGAAGAGGAAGAGGCAAATCTTTCTGCTACTCAAGTTACTACTTAGAAGGCATTCGAAAACAATACAGGTAGTCCTTGACTTACAATAATTCATTTAGTGACTGTTCAAAATCACAATACTGAAAAAGTGACTTATGACCATTTTTTCACACTTACGGCCATTGCAGCATCTCCGTGGTCACATGATCAAAATTCAGAGGCTTGGTAACTGGTTCATATTTATGACGGTTGCAGTGTCTCAGGATCATGTGATCTACCTTTTACCACCTTCTGAGAAGTAAAATCCATGGGGAAGCCAGATTCATTTAACAGCCTTGTTACTAGGCTAACTGCAGCAATTCACTTACCAACTGTGGCAAGAAAGACTGTAAAATGGGGCAAAACTCAGTTAATAAATGTCTCACATAACAACAGAAATTTTGGGCTCAATGGTCATCGTAAGTTGAGGATTACCTGTAACAGGCCAAAAGTTAAAATCTTTGCTTATTTTCTCTCTTGCTCTGCTGGTGAATGCTTAGGAGAAATCGGTTTTTTAACTGATCTTTCTTTTTTCTTCTTCTTCTTCTTTTTCCTGGCCTAAATGACTACTCTCTCTCTCTCTCTCTTTTTTTTTTTTGCCTGGGGAGATATTTTTTATTTTTTATTTCGGAGAAAGGAGGCAACATGGCAGTTAGTGGAGGAAGAAGCTGAGCAAGGAAGGCAGGATAAAATACATCACCTAATTCAGGTCAGCTTGAAGCATCCCCTTTAATTAAAGCTGAAACAAACCTCTGGTGTAGCTTTAGCCTCTGTCCTGCCAAGACGTACACAATAAGCACACAATTAAAACCCTCAACCCTGTCTGCCTCAAAGCAACCTCTGGATGTATGTGCGTGCGTGTAGCAGACCTCCCCGCTTATTTTATTCTTTCAGTTGTGAAGAATCAAAAATGTTTCAACCTCAATCCATTGCAGGTTATGTTTCAACAGAGACCAGATGGCTATCAGTCAAAAGTCCAGCAGTAGCGGATTCTTGCACCAGATGGAGGGCTGGTCTAGATTAGAGGTGAGGACCCATGGCCCCTTTATAACTTGTGGACTTCAACTCCCAGAATTCCTGAGCTAGCATGAAGCCAGCATTGAAGTCCACAAATCATAAAAGGACACAAATCATCGTTCTTTATCTCTGGTTTAGATGATCTTCACGGTTCCTTGCAATATTTCCAGGCTATGACATTGTAATCTTTGGGTTTTTTTTTTTTAGGGCAATTCCAAATTCAATCTCTGTATAAGCCTCATGACAGATGGCTTTGGCCTTATTTACCCTACGGAATCATTTTTAGGAAGGAGACCAAATTCCTCACAAGAAAGGAAGGATAAAAGATCAACCCAGCAGGGTGGCAAAGGAAAGAATGCCATTTTAATCCTCACCGAAGAGGGGGGGGGGGGAAATGCTGCTCTTGATCTACAGGTTGTGCATTCCAGAACATTCCTCCTTCAGATTCTGTGCCAGGAGCAGCACTTTGTGTGATGTATGTGGTCCAAATTATAATTTGAACTATGTACAGACTGCTGAACATTTTCTGCTCTTATTTTGCTGTGGTATGCCGGTAGTTCTCGACTTACGACTACATTTGGGCTCCAAATTTCTGTTGCTAAGCAATGCAGTTAAAGTGAGTTTTGCCCCATTTTATGACCTCTCTTGCCACAGTTGTTAAAAGTGAGTCACTGCAGTTGTTAATATAGTAACACAGTTATGAAATGAATCTGGCTTCCCCACTGACTTCGCTTGTCAGAAGGTCACAAACCATGATCACATGATTCCCTGCAGCCATCTTAAATATGAGTCAGTTGCCAAGCGTCTGAATTTTGATCACCTGACTACAGGGGATGCTGCAACGATCCTAAGTCACTTTTTCAATGCCTTTGTAACTTCGAATGGTCACTAAATGAACAGCTGTAACTCGAGGACTACCTGTATTTCCAACCTATAGTTCAAAGCACAGAGAGTAGGATTATATCCAAGATCAACCACTAATATTTCCCAGGGAGATTACTGAAGATGTAAAGCAGGGGTCTTCAAACCTGGCAACTTTAAGACCTGTGGACTTCAACTCCCAGAATTCCTCAGCCATCCAGCCAGGAATTCTGGGAGTTGAAGTCCACAGTTCTTAAAGTTGCCAGGTTTGAAGACCCCTGATGTAAAGGATATTGGGGAGACTCGACCTTCTTCAGTCTGTCCCTCTAAATATGTTTGGACAACACTTATCCTCCAGTGTGTCTAGGAGGCATCCGAGTGAAGAAGGCTGATTAGATGACCCTCAGCCAGAGAGATGAAAAGTCTGATTTAAAGGCTGCTTCCTAAAATGGCAAGATGATTCCTGGACAAGTTACAGGTTTAGCTGGTTGAGATGCGTGGTCCTGTCATATCTCTGAATTCCTCTAGTTGCCTATATTTTCTCTACCAAATTCATATGAGAGATGGCTGGAGCCCAGATGTTAGAGTAGCTTTCTGTGTGCAGAAAAGTACAGTTGGTCCTCGGCTTACGGCCACAACTGAGCCCAAAATTTCTGTTGCTAAGTAAGAGAGTTTCCATCCTGGACCTGATGCTCTGCAGTTGAGGCAGACGGTTTTCCTGCCTTTATGGGAATTAGGCCTCCAATCTTTTTTTTTTTTTTTTTTTGTGCTTAACACAGGTAGTCCTTGACTTATGACTACAATTGGGACTAGAATTTCCCTTGCTAAGCAAGGCAGTTGTTAAGTAAGTCGCACCCAATTTTACAACTTTTGTTGCCATGGTTAAGTGAATTACTTGCAATTGTTAAGTGAATCCAGCTTCCCCATTGATTTTCCTTGTTGGAAGCTGGCTGGAAAGGTCACATGACCCTGGGATTGGCATAATAATAATAATAATAATAATAGTAGTAGTAGTAGTAGTAGTAGTAGTAGTAGTAGTAGTAGTAGTAGTAGTAGTTAGAAGGGACCTTGGAAGTCATCTAGTCCAACCCCCTGCTCAGGCAGGAAACCCTATACCAGTGATGGCGAACGTTTTAGAGACCAAGTGCACAAAAACTGGCCCTGCCCCTGTTCCACCCCCTGCCCCTGCCCCTGCCCCTACCCCACCTGCCTGCAGGGCCACTCACTGCCTCCAGGGCTCACCGCAGATCACCCAGGCAGCCCAGCAGCACCATGGTGGCCACGCCCTCTGCCCACACCCCACAACATCAACTGTGTGCGATGGGGCATGAGGGCAGATTCTTGTCTACACTGCCTGGCTGCCATGTCCTTGGTTGCGCTGCTCCACGTGGGCCATGCTCAGAGGCAACTCTCCTCCAGGGAGACTGCTGGTGAGAAGGAGGTCACAGGAGGAGGCAAGGCTGGAGCAATGGCACATGTGCCCACAGAGAGGGCTCAGTGTGCCGCCTCTGGCACCCGT